AGGTGTTTTGTTGACAAATATGAAATTTGGTGTGGTCAAAACATATGCAACTTTATATATTTGGTTTAAATAACGGCATTTTTACAATTTCCTTTGTTCTATTGTTCTTCTTATTATTAGCTAGAGACACTGCGTAAAGAGATTTAAAGCTACCTTCACATTTTTATTGCGTTGTTTTTTCACAAAGCTACAATAGAGTTTGGTCAAAAATGGCACGCGATAAATTTGGATTTGAGCTCAGACAACGAATTGTGACTGCGTATTCTTCTGGATTATCACAGAAATGTATTGCCGAGAAATATACCGTTCATAAAAGCTCCATATCGCGCATCATTAATAATTACAAAAAAAATTCACAAGTCTCTGTTATACACCGTGGTGGTCGAAGTCGAAAAACAAGCGATCGGACAGACAAATTAATAATCAGACACGTGAAAAAAGACCCATTTATATCTTCCTCTAAGATAGTGGAAAGATTTCAGTTGCCAGTTTCTGCTCGCACCATCCGTAGAAGACTTTTACAAGCCTCCCTCTGCGCAAGACGTCCTGCAAAAAAACCACTGATATCGAAGCGAAACCAGAAAAAGCGTTTGGAATTTGCTAAAGCTCATATAAATTGGACAGAGAGTAAATGGAGAACTATATTATTTAGTGATGAGTCCAAATTTAACATCATTGGTAGCGATGGCATGTGCTATGTAAGGCGACCAGAAGGAAAACGACTCGAAGCACGTTACTGTAAAAAAACGGTCAAGCATGGAGGGGGCAATATAATGGTGTGGGGTTGTTTTTCTGGTGCTGGAGTTGGCCCCCTACATAGAATTGTTGGTATTATGGATAGATTTATGTATAAAGACATATTGCAAAGGGTAATGCTCCCATTCGCAGAATATAATATGCCATTGCGGTGGGTCTTTCAACAGGACAACGACCCCAAACACGCTTCGAAGGTGGTCAAATCGTGGTTTGCCGATAATAGAGTTACGGTAATGGAATGGCCACCCCAATCCCCAGATTTAAACCCAATAGAGAACCTGTGGGAAATCGTAAACAAAAAAATTGATCGAGAAAATTGTACAAGTTTAGATGTTTTATTTTGCCGGCTGGAAGATGCCTGGAAATCAATCCCAAAAAGCGTCATTGACAATCTTATAGCGTCAATGCCTCGAAGATGTCAGGCTGTAATCGACAACAACGGATTTGCAACAAAATATTAACTTTATTTGCACTTTACTGAGCTCGATTTAATTAGTTGCATATGTTTTGGCCACTTCATAATAAGACTGAATATCTTTTTCTAATTTTTTTTTATAAATGAATTGAATATCTATGGAGTATATGTTTTTTTCTTAAACTACAAGCAATAAAAAATAATATTTAAAAAAATAATTGCATAATTTTGTTTTCAGAAAAATTTTTCACGGTTTTTGGTAAAGGTTAGATTTCAGTTGCATATGATATGGCCACCACTGTATATCTGTCGGAACACTTACTGAAACTTTTTACGTTATTCTAAAGGCCTTCAAATAGGTCACTGGTGTACAACAATTTCATCATATAGGCATAGCTGTTTTATTATTCCCCCAAAACAACTACAAATAACCCTGAAAACTCTTCGATTGCCTTTCTTTAGTTTTAAATTAAAATTAAAATCTGTTCATGCTATAAACACAAAAAAACAGATTTTCAAAACAATGGCAATTTGTTTTCAGTACAATGCGAGAGAAAAAAATGTTTGACCCTCACGCACAAATAATGATTGGCTGTGTTCTCTCCCTCCATCCTCACCCCCTCTACTTTTAACCACTGGTGGTATTTCTTTTAATTGCTGTCAAGAATAAACCAATCAGATCACGATTGAAAGATAAAACAAAAAACACGAGAAGAGAAGAGAAAGAGAGAGGTTAAGCAGAAAATAGCAAGATTTACAAAGCCCATTGATATCATCATCGTCGAACTACAAAATGTGTGTTTTTTCACTCATGAACATCATCCGATGATCATGGCTATAAAGACGGCAGCAAAGATATGTATGTAGGTATATACGAACGAACGGATACAGACATATTCACATCAAAGCAGATGATACTATCCACCTCCCCATCTCACAATATTTTCCAAAAGTCCTCTAAGAGAAAAAAGTGTTGTTACTTTTGCATAATTTATACGCTTTGATGGTGGCTAATTACACCCAGAGTGGAGTCGGTCGGTCGGTCTTCCTACAGATATATATCCTTTGTATTTTACCTTCTATGTTTCCTCTTTTTGACTCATTCATCCATTTTTTTTTACATTAGATTTTAAGTTAGTAGAAATTCTGCAATGTGGGCGCTTTGAAGAGAACTGTGAAAGAATTTAACATTTATTAGAGTTACGGCTATTGAAAAATACGATCATTTATAGGAGATATAGCAGAAGAATTGGACGGACACATCCCACCTTAATGCGAGATCTAATGCGTTGACAGAAAAAATGTGGATATGCAAAGTTTGAAGAGAATCGGACACCGATTTCCCGGGCATTCAAAATTTTGTTTCATTGGGGGAGTTACAAGAAGTAGTGGGCCAAAAATAAATGATTTTTTTCTTTTCAAAATTGTATGGGGGAGATACCAGAGTAAGAAAAAGTAGACCCATGTATACCAATTTCACACTTTCCCTAACATACAGGGTAAGATAAAAAACTGTAACAAAGTCAAACGGAAATCGGAAATAGCATCAAATTTTAAAAAAAGTTTTAATTGGTCATCTTTGGCATGAATTATGACCTTGTAGCTCTGCGGTATTTTACCCCATTACCGGTGAAGCGCTTGCTTGAGATGATCGACACTTTGTTATTTTTTAGTGCCAACCTTGCTTTCCAAAATACTCCAGAGACAAAAGTCCAACGGATTGTTATCCGAAAATGTTGGTGGCCATTATGCGCTGGAAATGAAGCGAGGAATCTCATTTTGTAACCATTCTTGGTTGGCGCGTGCTGAGTGCGATGGTGCTGAGTCGTGTTAGAATGTTCAAGGTCTGCGGCCAAAATGTTTGCGTGCCCAAGGCTTTAATACACCCTCTAGAATATTTTCGCGATAATATTCGGCTTTTATTCTGATGACACGGTCGATTAATACGAGCGGAGATCGATCATCGGCTGTTATGGCGCCATCACTATGGCCGGCGCTCGAGTTCTGGGGGCCAACCGAAGTTGCACATTTTCAGCTGACCTCTTTCGGCAGTTCACCACTTTTGGCCAAGCGAAGAAACTCTTTAGCTCTTTTGAGTCTATTTTCTGTTGCTTCTCTTGCGGTGTAAGTTCTTGTACTTTTTGGAATTTCAATGGCTTTACCCCGAACTAATTTTTCAATATTTGACGAATGGAATATTGCGATATGTTCAGGTCACTAGCCATTTTTCGGCGATTGCGACGCGGGTTTCGATCAAGTCGCTTCTTTACTTTTCGAGACATTTCTGCTGATGTTGCTGTTTTTTTTTCGTCCACTTCCTTGACGTCGGGCTACGCCACCAGTATTACGGTAACGGGCGATGGTACGAGACACAAAAGATTTATTCACATTTAAATGCTGTAGTTCTCTAACGATAGCCACTTGTGGTTCTCCAGCCAAAATTAAAGAAATCACATTATCACGCTTGAATTCCATCGCTAATAACTGTTGTTCTGGAAAATTCTCACCATAATGCTTTTGTACGCTTGTAAACAATATAATGAGCATTTACTGGAATAATTTTAACATCTGTCGGACGAGTGGCTTAGAAATGACAGCAGTCTGAAGTTGATTGCAGTTTTTTCATCTCACCCTAATGAATAATGAATCTTACTCCTTGTGGCAAATGCCTCCATACGATCTTGGAGCCAGCGTATGAACTGTAGCAAGAACATCGAAGAGCGTACATAAGGAGTCTCATTTATACAAGAAACCCATAGGGAAGTCGTCGAATGTATGTCACAATGTTCTTACCAGTTCTGACCTCACAGCTCATCTTTAAATAATTCCTCGTCCTCCTGTATAAAGACGGTCTTCTGATCGTCTGTAAAAAACCTCCCCACTGTAAGTCTATAAAGATAGAGGCTCCACACAGCTTATTTATAAAGACTTCTCGCAGTTCGCCTAGAAAGACTCCCATTCAGCTCGTCGATAAAGATTCCCTTTACTTCGTCAAAAAGTCTTCCTTCCGCATGTAATAAGACTCGTCCATAAACCCTCTCCACATTTCGTCTTTAAAGATTCCGCACAACCCGTCTATAAAACTCCCTTTTGCTCGAAAATAAAGACTTCCTTCAGCTTGTCTTTGAACACTGTTTTAAGCTCGTCTATATAGACTCCCCATAGCTCTTCTAGGAAGACTCCCCTCAGATAGTCTAGGGGGAGCTACCCGCACAAAGACTCCTCACAGCTCAGCCACCGGTTCATGTACAAAGATAGCTTTCAGCTCGTCAACAAACAGTCGCTATAGCGTGTCTCTAAAGACTCCCCGCACGCTCGTATATAAAAAACTCTCCATAACTCGTCTATAAAGGCTCCCCTTAGATCGTCTTTTAAAAATGTACCATAGCTCTATTACAGACTCCGCACAGCTCGTCTATACCCTCCACAAACCGTACCTAGAAAAATTCCCTTCAGCTCGTCCAATTTTGGGACAATAAAGATCGGAATTGTGCAGCCATCTGAATAACACCCACATGACTGACTGATTCTTTGACTGCCCAGAAACACCTACTCATCTAACTCTGGTATCGTTATGGAACCAACCTTACAAGTTGCGTCCTTCTTGAGTTTTGACTTAGAAGCAGAACCAGGTTGAGAGGAATCAGAACGGACACAGCTAACAGTATGAGATGCTACAACAAAAGACCCCCATAGGCCCCTCTGTAGAGATTCCCCTCAGCTCGTCATTGATACCATATCAATTCCACCCAATATTATATCCACTTTTTTTTATTCACCTGTATTTTCCCGTAACTAATCTCACTTGCTTTGACTCTTCTCCTTACAGCTAGTGCCAATTCCGAAGATCGAACACCTATCCATCCATCCAATATCAACTTGAGGACAATAAATTTTAACCTTAGGCTAATACCCTATCACCCAAAAAATAAAAGCGCAACCAAAACCTATTGACTGAACCCCGCCCCGCCGGCCCCTCCTGCAACACAAAAACCTACAACCGTGGCTAATAACAGTAAATCGAGTAGACGCAACAAAATGGCCAATACCGGTGATATATGGTTACAATGGTTCTCTTGCTGTTTTCATCAGCCACAATCACCCTCACGACGAAGACATCAGCGGCTTCGCATCGATCGTTCAATGATTGGAAATCCCACCAATTTTGTGCACACCGGTCACATTGGTTCGGCTGATGTTGAACTGTCGACCAATCACTTGAATGCAATCCAAACACAAATGCAAAGTAAAGGTGGCTATGAAACGAATTCAATACAGCTTCAGGTGAGTTTTTTGGAGATTTGAAAATCGTAACATTTTCAGAAGTTCCCCTTAAGACCTCCTCTGGTTTTCTAATGTTTACAAATTTCCTGGACCTAATTATTAATATATATTTTCGTCTCCTTTCAGGCCTGCTGATAGTTTCTTAAGTATATACCTCACCACCAACCCCTCCCCCACTTCATCTAATTCATCATCGTGTTTCTTGGACTGTTAACCTAAAGTTTTTGAGTACAGGGCGCTTGTAGGCGGTGTATTTGTTCCACACACCAGCCACCCACATGTGACATATTTCACAACGAAGCTCTGCAGTGCAATCTCCTCCTCTCGCTTATTTTGTATGTATTTTTGTACTTGTTAAGGAGCCCACTACCACCAACCACTTCTTTTCTTGTCCAAAAAAAAAAAAAACATAATTCTTTAGGTAATAATGTGTAATTAATAATTCTCTCCCTCGAACACAATACTTGCATAATTTTATTAATTATTTTTTAATATTTATAAGCAAAAGTGTTGTGTTAAAATGGAAAAAAACTAACCACAGAAGAAGAACAAACAAAAGAAAACAAATTCATAAATTTGGCCTTTATTTAAAACAAAACAAACAAAAAAAAGAAAACTTAGGAGAATGTTTTAAACATTTTCTCATAGCCTTAGTCATTATTAATTAAATAAAATTCTATATATTTAAATTTAAATATTATTAACAATTATATTATATACTTAAGTACTGTATGTACTGTACTTAACAAATCAAAATGTGGTATACAAAACAAAAACAAACAAACGTGTAATCGTGTTCGATTTTGTAAAAGTTGTTTGAAAATTGAGAATTACAGAGCAAAACCTTTCAATATTGTGTTGTGTGTCGGATAAATGGCCGCCAAAAAAAATATTAACTCTTCGAACTGAAAGTAAACCCTTTAGACCATCAAAATGTAGACTTTCTAGGCAACCTGAATGGGGTGTTTATAGCTACCCCTAAAGAAGTATATATAGGCCAAAGGAGACTTTTTACATGTCTCAAAGAAAGCTCTAATAGAGAAGAACCAAAAGTGAGTTTAAAGAAGCCCTGAGACGGAAGTCTATATAAGCGATCAGAGGGAAGCAGGAAGTGTTATATTTACGGCTGTCTGAAAGAAGACTTCATTGATGGTGACATGGGAGTGTTATTTGTAGATCAACAAAATGGAGTCCCACAGATTGGTGAAATAGAAAGACTTAGATAACAAGCTTTAACCTAATGGATGTTAATTGCAACTTGACTAGAGTACTCAAAGCAAGGTTCCTTTCCTCCAAATCAGGCTTGGTATCAAATGACCTGATTTCAAGAGTTATAAGCTTCCAACTTTCAACATGATTCACATTTTCAGCTCGAAGTCTTTAGAGACGATCAGAGGGAAGTCTTTGCACACATGAAATATTATCTTTACGACAGTCAGAATGAGGACTTTATTGAGGGTGAGATCGGAGTGTGCTTTATTGATCAACAAAATGAGGTCCCACAGAATGAAGTCATGATGGGATAGAATGACTTGGATACATTCACGATAACCACCTTTGACCTAACGAATGTTAATTGCAACTAGACTAGAGTACTCAAAGCAAAGGTTCCTCTCCTCCAAATCAGGCGAGGTAGCATATGACCCGATTTTAGGATTTATAAGTATCCATCTTCCAACATGATTCACATTTTCAGCTCGTCTATATTTTGACTCCCACAGCTTCGCTAGAAAGACTATCCATCTATCTCGCTCGGACTTCTCTGGTCCATTGTTTTGGTTCATCCTGCCTAGCTAGAAGTTTTTTTCACTTGGCCTTTAAAGTTTTACTCGCTTTAGGTCTATATAAAAATAAAAAATATAAAGGGTTTCATCGACAAGACACAATGGGGTCTTCATAGGCAACCAGGAGGCAGTAGTTGAAAATGACTAAAAGGCTATATTTTTAGGCAAAAAAACACAAGGGAATCTTTTCAGAAACAGAGAAGTATCCACACAGACAAAACGACACAGCTGCTCTTTCTAGTCGTACTGAAGCAGGTGTTTACAATCGACCTGAAGCAACTGGCTTTTGAAGACGAGGCAAAGAAATAGCTCTGCACCGAACCAATTAGTCTTTATACAAGACGTGCAGGTGGCAATGTGTCTCAGCAGATAAGCTGTAGAAAACTGAAATCTTTAAAGAAGGTTGTTTGAAAGGATGACAGAAAGTAAATTCCTCATGGGTCAACTGCAGAACCGACAGATGTTCAATAGGATCTGTCATTTCTTTATCCATCCAACCATTGTCATCATTTTTTGAATTTAGAGAGATCGACATGCAATGACGGCTACCAGGATTCAAATATTTTTTTTTTAAAAGAAAGGAGAACAATACCCTAGATCGCAAGATCTCTGGTCAGAGACTGACTTAGAAACCTTTCCCCTGTTTTCCGATTGTCAATTGCAGATTTTCATAGATGTACCAAACTATCTGTCCTTTATGAATGAGATGAAAGTTGGAAACCTTTAGAGACGGGCCTAGGTAACAGGACTTGCTTTGGTTTGAGGAACGAAATCTAACTTAACCGAATTCATCTTGTGTCTCAACAGATAAGGTGAAAGAGGATAGGAGAAAGAAGTTCCAAATCGGGCAACACCAAATCGACAAATGTTCATTGTCCAATCCACTGCCATCATATTTTGAAATTAGAGACCTCACCCTGCACCGACGGGTACTATTATCTTCTTAAGATAAGGAAGGAAAGAGATCCTTAATTGCAAGATATCTGGTCAGAGATTGCCTTATATACCTTTCCACTTGTTTCCAATTGTCAATTATGGATATTCATAGATTTTTTTGGACGAATTGAAGTAGATGTTCTTTATGGACAAGATGAAAGTGGGAATTCCTTCTTAATGCGACCAAAAATAACAGGCCTTGGTCTGCTGAAAATCGAGAGATGTTCATCTATTTATTCACTGCCATCATTTTTGGAAATTAGAGACTTCATCCTGCAATGACGAGTACTATTATTGTCCAGGATTCTAATGCAATATATTTTTAACAGAAAAATAGAGCGAACCCTTAATCGCAAGATCTCTGGTCAGAGACCTTTCCACTGGTCTCCAATTGCTATCTATTGAAATCGAGTTTGAAATAAATCTCTTGAAACGGGTACTATTATTGTCCAAAATCTTTTTAAGAGAAAAAAGCAAACAGATCCTTAATCGCAAGATCTCCGATCAGAGACCTTTCCATGGGTTTTCAAATTGCCATCCATTGAAATTGAGTTTCAAATAGGTCTCTTCAACACTGCCAATGTAGTAGCTATCCAATAGTTTAACAGCATAATCGAAAGGTATAACGTTCGCCTGAGACCCACCTCAAGCCAGCTAATTCATCGACCGCTTAGATTCCTAAAATATTTTAGTGACCTGTTTCAGGAGGACTTAAAAGACTAGCAGAAGGCCTGAAGTCTTTATTTATGCCTGAAAATATAGAGGTCCAATATCGGTTATCGGTAGGTTATGACTCCTTTATAAGTCTTTCTAGTTTCTATTCTGGACCTATACAGTTTCATTGAATTCCAAAACCCATCGTCTTCTTTAAGCGACCGTTGTAGATTGTTTTTTTTTTTTTTTTTTTTTTGACAGACTAAAAGGATGAGTTGATGAATACAACTTCCAGTTCGAGACAGTTGGATTCCACAACAATTTGGCAAATGTTTTAAATTCGGGCTAAGATAGTGTCAACCCTGAATTTTGAATTGTTAATACCGGGAAGCTAAATAAACGAAACCAGCATAATATCTCTGGAAATGCACACAGACAGCATACGTAAATAAATATATATTTTTTTAGTAAAAATATACCACCATTATAGTCTGATCTTTTCTTATACGATTTTTTTATATAATTTTTGTTACTTAAAAGAAGAAAAAAAAACGATTATTTGCATTTACTAAATTGTAACGCGCACAATCATATAAACAAAAACAATACCTATATCTCCCCAATATCTCTCCCCTCCACCCCCTCCTTAACCGCATATATATAAAGTCTGAAATCAAAAGCATTATATATATATTTGAACAACAAATAAAACGAAAAGCAATTGCATAAATTATTATTATAATAATAAATAGTTGATTTAAAAATCTAGTTTTAAGAAGAAAAAAAACAAATAATAAAAAACCAAACAAAAAAAGGAAATAAACAATTTTTTACTGAATTTTTTAAGTCTTTTTTACCATGATAACATGTTTTTTAACCAATTAACAAAAATATTCTTCAGACACACATACACACACACATTTGTCTATTACAATCTGTATGTAATCACCACATCTAATTTTATTGTAAGAATGAAAGAAGTTTTTGTTTTACGAACGTATGGAATTAATGTATCAATAATAATAATATGTACCTCCCAAACTTTTTATAAGAATTAATAACAATAATAAATAAATAAAAAACGAAATGAATTAAATGCCAATTATGTTTTAAATTTATATGACCGAAAAACTACAACCCCGAACAATTTTTTTTATTTTTCCCCCTTTACATATAGGCATAGATAATGTGCTGGAATCTGTTTAAATTACAACTAATTGAAATGATAGAAAACATAAAAACAACAATAAAGAAAATTATCTATAAATGTTAGTGTTAAAATGTAAAAGAAAATAAAAATTATAAAAGTATTAAAAATTCTAAAAAAAAAAAACAATAAAAAATTTAAATTATTTAAGAGAACATGTTTTATTTTTTGAGAAGCTGAATTTGTTAAGGGTGATAGAGAAGGAAGATTAAATTATGTTCTAAACGACTAGAGAATATTCTTGTTGATCTGTCATAGATGAACTGGACCAAATGGTCTTATTCCCGCCTTTTTTCAGCATGCATCGATACAAATAGTGTCGATTCTGGGGGAAATTTCAAAGGCTTGTCTGAGTCTATCGCACATTCTGGTACTATGGAGAGAAGTCATCGTCACTTACATTCCCATAGCTGGCAAACCAAATCATTCACTTTCAATGGACTATAGACCCATTGTCCAGGATCTCATAAATTGTTAACAGAGGGAGAAGGAAGCAGATTATAATCACATGATCTCTGGTTAGAAACTGCCTTATATACAATTCAAATGATTTCCAATTGCCATCTATTGAACAGGCCTTTTAAAAATGTATAGCTTAACCATGCACTCGGTTGGTAGATCTTTCAACTGAGAGCTACATCGATTCTGGGGGAGATTTTCAAGGTATGTCTGCATCTATTGCACATTTTTAGAACTTTGGAGAGAAGAGACCAACAGTTACATTTCCAAAGCTGGCAAACCAAGTCAATCACTTTCAAAGAACTGCAGACCTATTCGTCTTCCCCCCTTTTCTAAATCGATGTTGAAATCAGGACTCTATTACCTTCGACCGCCATCAACGCTGCTCAGCACGTTTACATGAAGTTAAAATCTGTCGGGACTCAAAAAACAACGGAGCAACCAATTCTTTGAACATTCTGCGATTTTATTTTGTGCGAAACACCTAAGAGTTGGTGCCAAGAACAGAAATTATAAAACTACTTTTCTTTTTCGGTTTCTCCCTCAGCCATATGGCTAGAGAGGAGGGCACATATCATTTGATACGAACAAAACATGCGTCATCGTAATAAAGGTTTTAGACCCTAGGTCTCTTTGGACCAAATCCATTTCAGGACATTTGGAATCGATTTAGCAATGTACGTCCGTCCGTCTGTCTGCGCACGATAACTCTCGAAGGGAGTATCCGATTTTATCCAAACTTGGTATATCGTAATATTATTATCAAACTTAGATCGAGCTCGGAGATGGACATTATTGGTCCATTCCTTCTGTCAATATTTTTAAAGAAAAAAATTTACTCCACGGAAAGAGAGAGGATAATCCGAATTTACTCCAACTTTGCATATTCTAATATTTGCATCAATGCTAGGTCAGGTGCGAAAATGGTCAATATAGCTTAACTCCATCAAGTACCTCCACCACAAAGGGTCCAAATTTTGAATAATTATAACTATTATGAAATATGATGTATGTTTCCGATTGTCTTCAAATTGCACAAATAATAATATTTTTATTAACGCAAAATCTGGTGTGAAGATGGGATATATCGGTCCACTCCTTCTGGTACCTCCCCCACAAAGGGTCAACATTTGAATATTCATGAAGCTCATAAAATGCTAAACGTCCGATTCCATTCAGATTTGGCACGTCTCAAGATCTGTTGTAAAGATGGTAGAGATCGGACAATTTCTTTTGATACCTCCTCCACAAAGGTTACAATTTTAAAAACCCCAAAAAAAGCATCCGACAATCTTCAAATTACAATATTTATACTAAAACAAGATCTGTTGTGAAGATGGTATGTGTCGGTCCACTACTTTTGGTACCTCCCCCACAAAGGGTCAACATTTTGGGTATCCATGAAGCTTATAAAACGCGAAATTAACATCCGATTGCATTCAGACTTGACACATATCAAAATGTCCATCAACACAAGATCTGTTATAAAGATGATAGAAATCGGACAATTTCTTCTGGTACCTCCTCCCTCCATAGGGATCAAGATTTTGAAAAACAAAACGCTCAAAGAAAGCGAAATAAGCATACAACTATCCTCAAATTTCACACATCCAAATATTTTTGCTAACGCAAGATCTGTTGAAAAGATGATTTATATCTCCCAACCCCTTCTGGTATCTCACCCACAAAGGGTCACAATTTTCAGTGCTTATATTTGTCAAAACTTGCGAAACAAGTCAGCGATTCTTTACAATTTGCTATATCTAAATATTTCTCTTGACCAGAAATCTGATATGAATATGTAATTTATCGAAATTTATGATTTCGCATAAAAATGTATATAAATGTTTGATTTTCTTCAAATTTTGCACATACCAATATTTATATCTGTATTTGAAGAAATATGAAAATGGAATACATCGGCCCGTGGGAGACGTTGAAACGATGGGCTGTATCAGTTGTATTTGATGTATTAATAGCTAAAAAACTCCATGTCTATAGGTCATTTACAAGCATTTTCTGCTCCTCAGTTGAACTCAAATACTCTGCTTTCTTTCTGTATACAATAAATAACCACTCCCAACTTGTCTATAATATATCACCCTTTCATCTCCTCTATGACTAAATGGCTTCGACTCCTTTTTCGTTGGCCTAAAAGGGATCTCCTTCCGGTTCTCGAGGCAAAAGACAGATTCCATTTCTATTTATTTTCCAATGGGTATTTATTTTCTTTAATTTTCATTTTGCAGCTTCTCTTGACAAAATAGTAAGCCTTTTAAATATTATTCTAATACCAACTTAAAAATAAGAAAAAAACCTTATTCACTCTCACTTCCGCTGCCACTGCCGCTACCACTTCCACTGCCAGAACCTCCACTTTTACTGCCAGCATCATCGCCACTACCGCTGTGATCGCTACCACTGCCGCGTTCAACATCCGATTCGCTGTCCGAATCACGCAGCGCCTTAACAACTTTAGTCTTGTCCACCACTTTCTTGCTGCGACGACCCTCAAAATCAGAGCCATCATCATCATCCGATGAATAAATTGCCGATGCTTTTTGATCAGCAGAACCGCCACCGGCGCCCGATGAGGAGGATGCAGGATTTGTCTTTTTGTTGTATTTATTCTTAATAGCACTCAATGAGATGGCATTCTCATCATCGCTACCCTCGTCCTGGTGATAGGCGCCATGTGAACCACCAGCCATGGCATCTGCTCCTTTCTTCTTTTTGGGCGGCGGTTTGTGTTGGGCACGCATTGCTTGTCGCAGTTTCTCTTCTTCCTTCTTCAGATTGTACAAACGATCCTGTGTTGGATCCTTGCCAACTTGTGTGAGGATCTTAATACCAGAGACCTTCTGTGAACGATCGGCCAAGGACATGGTCATCTTCTTGTGCGTGAATGACTCCGTGGAGTGTGGTCGGAAAGTGAGTTTGGTACGGAACACAGCTTGGCCCTGGAGACCAGTACCCTGGCGAATGAATAAATGATTGTGATCGCCGTGCAAGGGCTGGCGGTAAACATCGAATATTTCATTACCCAAATGCAGGGACATACTGCCATCGGACCATCGAACAAAGCGGGCATTTGATTCCTTTACCATGTCGCCATTATTATTCATAAATTCTCGCCACCGTATGGTGTTACTAACTTTCAATTTGATACGCTGACGACCTTCCTCGTCCATGGTTTCCTCCTCATCGATTTCATCTTCATAGGTTTCGGGATCAAATGGTCGTGTCTCGACGGACAAGAAATTGGGCAGTTTTACAAAATGTATTTCCCTACCCAAATCGGTGACAATGCGGGGAATTTCAACATCAATACGAGTTTCAGGTATAGGCTCGGGCTCATCTTCCTTTTGTTGGCCCACCCTTTCGGCAGAACGAGATCTGGCCCGGGAACCGGAACGTGATCGAGATCTTGATCTGGAACGTGACTTGGTCCTTGATCTGGCTGAACCTCTCGATGATGACCTTGATCGAGATTTTGATCTTCGTGATCCTTTCTCCGATTCACTATCCGATTTCGCCTTTCCTGCATCATCCTCATCTTCAGACATACTTATGTCATCGGCATCGCCAAAAATATCTTGGGCATCAACCTTTTTGGATTCTCCCTCATTTTCACTGTCATCGGAATCAATAATTCGAGATTTTTTGTTTTTCGAAGGTGAGCCCTTGTCACTTCCCTCGGCCTCGGATCCACTGGAAACTGCTTTGCGTTTCTTTTTTGCCTTATCACCACCAATATCACTGCCAGATTCAGAGCCGCTACGAGACCTCCGCGAATGTGGTGTACCCGAACGACTGCGTGATCCCGAACGAGAACGTGATTTCGATCTAGATCGAGAACGTGAGGCAGAACGTGACTTTGATGAGCCACTTCTTGATCTGGGAGAGCCGGATTTTGATCTAGATCTGCTACGAGACTGTCGATCATCTATTTGAAGATTGGGAGATTGAGACCTTGACTCCTCTTCATTTGCCGCATTTGCATCTTTGGATGGACTACCACCACCACCGGATTTCTTTGATGTTTTCGAATGTTGACTTCCTGCCGAATTGGAACGTTTGCTGTGTGGTGTACCCGAACGCGACCGAGAGCGAGATTGCGATCTGGATTTATTACCCGGAGAACCGGTGTGACGGCTATTTGGCGTTCCAGATCTTGAGCGCGATCCAGACCTAGAACGGGATCGGGAAGAACGCCTCGATGCTGGACTGCCTGATCGTGATCTGTCACTACCACTGCCTCCCGATTTATGTGAAGCTGGTGATCTGAAATGAGGCGTCACATTGAAATGATAAACTTAAAGGTTTTATTAAATGCGCCTTACCCGGCATTGCTTGTTTTGGCGTTTGGTGTATTGCTCCGACTGCGACTGCTGCTACTGGAGTCCGAATCTGAACCAGATCCTAAAAAAAATGGAGAATGTGTTGTCAGATCTTTAATTTTTTGATAAAATGTACTCTTACCGCTGTCGTTTTGACTATTATAACCCATTTTCTAATATAATTTTGTAAATTTTCAATTTTTTCTCAAACCATCAGACAACGAAGCAAACAAATTTTTTGAAGGCGGTGTCAAGTCAATTTTTCGGCGGCGTCAAAATGCAATCGATAACTATTTGTCAAAAACACTTTGCAGCCACCTCATCAAAAAGCGCTCCTTATAACCCTTTATCTATAATCAACTACTCAATGGGGAAAGAGATAAAGAGCGTGACATTTAACATCACTTTTCCAACTTTTTCGCACCCCTACATGAATGAAACATTATTCTCCCATAAATTCTCTCTGTCATATTTTGTATGTACATAGAGAAAATATAATTGTCTCCTATAAAATTATAGAGTTGAGCTGCTTCCATTGAGATATCACCACAGTGGAACGTTCTATATTTTGATAAAAATAAACTCACTTCTCAAAACCAAAATCTATTACAGTATAATATTTGCTACGTTACTAAGTGCAGTAATCATAATGTAGCATCGACTGAACATACCCATGTATGGCACAAACATTTGAGAGATGACTGAACATACCCGCATGACTTGTGTTTGTTATTTTCTCAACTAGGAATTTGGTGGCTTGCAGCTTTAAACTAACAAGAAACATTCAAAATGGGCTGTCCTATGGGATTTGGTGAAATTAACATTCCTTCCTCCAGAGCTTTTTGGGACGATTGCGACGAGGACGAGTGTCCAAAAGTAGAAGCAAAGAAGTAAGTTTCATCAACAGGTCGATATTCCACATATAAATTAATGACATTATTGTCGTCACAGATTGCAATTAGAATTTGAATCATGCCCGGAACAGGCTGAATGGAAAAATAAATGCAAACGAATGCTGGTGTTCGAGGGACCCTCAATAAGTAGTTTCGCCGAAGCTACTCTCTTATTAAATGGTAGTCAGAAAATTGCAGCTATTCCTAGTAAAAAGTCATCATTGCACTATGTGCCGACAACAAAACTGCTGATTGCCATTGTGGACGAGGATTTGACGCCAAGCGGCGAAATATGTCAACTATTGTTGGAGCTTTGTAAAGCGGAAGAAGTTATTACCGTGACCATAAAAGCAAAAGTGGAATATAAGACGGAAAATGTTGCAGCAGTAAGGGATGCAATTACATTTATTAGATCCATTGATGGTGTGCTAAATCACATAGAGGCTTTAGAGGCACCAAATTTTATTGCCGGTGTTGCTGCGGGAAGTAAGTATTAAAATTGTTACCAAATTGTATTCTCTATTAATATATTTTCTCGTTAGTATCCTCCTGGCGTTGCAATGAAGGTTTGAAGACTCAATCATATGTTGTATATACCGACAATTTGGCCTTGGATCCTTTGGCGGCCAAGCCAGTCCTCGCCTTACTAAAAGACTTGAATATAGACTATTCATCTTCTTACAAACCAAAGAAGCGTGACGACTCCCATTTGTATATGTAAACGGAAAGATGTAAAAACATTGTAAATTTTAATTATTGTGTAGCATGGGAACTTGAGTGTAATTAAGGTTTAGGGTAGTATTTGTTTGCATTTTTTTTAAATATAAAGTTCAATTTTATGCTGATTTTATTTGTAAAAGAAAATTCCATATAAAAAACTTTATTTCTCTAAATCGAATATGCTTAGATTAAGACCCTTAGATCTTTGTTCTAGGTGGGCTTTTGATATGGCGATGAACTGTGGCCGTTGCAGCAGGGAATATGCCTGAACCAAAAGGCTACTGGCAAGCATATGCAGCTGAGTGTAACCACTGCAGAAGAGATCAATGCCCAACTCTAAGGCCGTGCCAAAATCACACTCATCTACGGCTATGCTTGCAGCAGTGGCAATGGGTTGCAACTTTTCCATTACTGCCGTTTTTACTTCATCATTTTTATCGTTGGCATTCGAGCCGGCTGAATCAAACAGTTTTAAAATCCTCTTCAATTCTGCATCACTTTCAATTAAGGGTCTATAACCCAGCTGAGTCTTTGATTCATAGGGTACAACAATGCCGGCACGATGAAATGTCTTGCAAACCACTTTGGAACTGCGTGCTCGACGTATTTTGTCCAAAGCATCTAGTTGTACTTCACAGGAGCCAATAAATTTTTGTAAAGATTTCTTGGTATTGGCCACAGTGCCGGCCGTAAAGGGAGTTCCCTGGAAATCCTTATCCAAAAAGTATAGAAATGCATCAAAAACATTTGCGGCAATAAAATCGAATTCACAATTCTTTGTAGAATCGTTACGGGCCATCAGCAGCGATTCCTTGTCATGAGGATCATCACGCCAATAGCCATAATGTATTCCCGTGCCTTTGCGCACAAAAACTGTCTGGAATTCAGGTGGATCATAATAGAATCGCCAGTGTCTCAAATAATCACCCGGTTCGTGTAGTTTGGCTTGATTGAACTTTCCCGCCAAAAATTCAAATGGTCCAACTGCCAGCAATTGGAATTGGCTTTCAAGATATTTTAAAATTTCTTCACCCTGCAAATTGGGTTTTAGCTGTTCCAAAAACTTCCAGAAGGCATAGAAATCCGGTGGCATTTCAACGAGAAATTTGTGGCGTATAAACTCATGACTTTTTAACAAGTTGTCGTATTCCTGTTGCTCTGATAATTTGATGCGTTTCTGCAGCAAGGCCATGTAATCCTTTCCACTGATATTGGCCAAAGCTTCTTTTCTCAGTTCTTCGGTTTCATACTTGTCCTTTTCTTTCGGCGTATCGCTGTTATCCTTCGTTGAGGTGGTTGTTCCAGAAGTAGACTCCATTTCGGATGATCGCCGTTTTGTTATTTTCTTAGGGGATTTCTCTGCTTCCTTGGGTGTATCTGTGTTCTTGTCGGGATGATTGTATTTTTGCAAATGTGCTTCATTTTTCTGGTAACACTTGTCCCAATACTTGCAGTCTTCTTTCGGCATTTTTGCAAAAAAACAATTTTGCAAGGTTTGCACTGATGAAATCAGGTTTTTGGCACTGAATCACACAACGAAGCGAAACTATTTTTTCGACGGCGGCATCATGTTGGGTGTAAAGCAAATAACGGCGATATGCTATGCTTTCGGTATACTCTGTACACAAACCCATTAACAACTATTATACATGTATACATCAATACATTAAACACACACAAGGAATTTGTAAACAATTCTAATTGGACAAAACTTTAAATACACAGCCAGCTAAAAATAACGACGCCGTTATAGAGACTCAATAGAGAGGTTGAATGCCTCCTTAAATAAATATGGAAGGCAAACGGCAAAATGTATAATCAACATATGCCATGATCCTGAATCTGCAAGTGTCTACTCGATTTTTAATGTTTTTCGATACCATAACGGAAAAATCACTTGTAGTAAAATTTTACAAATTCTGGAGAATAAAGATCGCCTGAATAATTTTTGAAAAGAATAACTACAAAACTGTGTTCCACGTTAACTGGAAGAAATGATTTCGAAAATTACCGATTCAAAAACGTCAATAGTTCACGAATTTGAAAATACAGCTTAAAGAAAAATCTTTTTGGGACAAAGCAAATCGCTTGTAATGTAAAAGAGAATTTATATTTGTTGTTGTATATCATTCAATGAATACAATTTAAATAGCAAAAAACAATATTAGAAAATATTATGACGTTTTTAATTAAATTTTTGAAACTTTGAAATGTTTTGTTGTATGGTGGTTACTTGTTAGAACTAAACAGAGCTTAATGGTACTAGAAGAGAGAGATAGCTTATAAAAGGCCTGTGCAAATTATAATGCCGTCATGAATCTCTAATCCTCCACAGTAATTCCCTTTACGGAATGCACACACTCTTCCTTGTTTATCAAATGACATGTTTTGTTAACCAATGACATTAACTGACTTACATCCTTTGACCAGGCATTCAAAACATCCGATGGACTCTTCTTGACGGTGAAGTATATAATTTCGGCAGGACGATCAATTTTAACACGTATGGTATCGCTGTTGGCCAATTTGGAGAGATATTCCTCACAACGATTTGTGGGTAAATTCAGTAGTTCACTCATACGGGTTAAATGCAAGCGGGAATAATACATGGCAATTATGCGTATGTTCTAAAAAAGAAGAAAAGATATTGAACAATTTATGGAAGAGATTGTATAAGTCACTCATTTACATGTTCAATCAAACGATCCTTGAGTTCGGCAATGCACTTTTTGCCATGCTTGGTGTTCTCCTGGAACATTTCATTTTCAGCCAAGACCGTGCCAAAATCATTGTTAAATGAATCGAAATTAATCAGTTCCTTCGACATGAATAGACGCAAAATTTCTCTGAAAAAAAGTAGGAAACATTTTTAACTAAATCTCAGTGGAAACTCGCCCGATTTTCACTTACTTGTAGACTGGAATTTCCTCCAGTTTCTTATTCTTCGACAAATGAGCCATCATATCACTTTGCTCGTTGTCATAGGGAGCCAATATACAGTATAAGACAGCGCAGATTAGTTTCTCTTTGAGTTCTTTTTCCTGCTCGGGAGTAAGTTCTACGGGTGGCAATGGTTCTGGTTTCTTTACCTCCTCCTCTTTGTCCTTTTTCTTTTTGTCATCTTCGGGTTTCTTTTTATCTTCATCCATTGGCTCGGGTTTGGGCACAACTGGCTTGGGTGGCTCAGCAATGGCCTGGTAATGTCTTGAAGTTTTCAAATATGATGTATCACGATCCAGGCTAATCATTAAATTGTAAAATTTCAATTTGAGATCATGTTGGGCAGGATCATCGAAAAATTTGATACTGATTTTCTTGGCAATAATCTGTGTTGAAACAAAATCTTCTTTCAGCAGACACAAACGCATTTGTTCCAAAATCAGTTCCACCTGAAAGGTAATATATTTACATTATAAGTTTTCAGTAAAAACAAAGAGGCATTCCCCCATACCTTCTCCCTTTTGTCCATTGATCCATATGTTTCGACTTGCAACTCCTCCATGACAGATGCCGCACCAGCAATATCACCATCAGCCTCCTTAATATCGGCCAGAATCTTGGTCAATCTGGCTCTTTCAATTTCTACATAGATTTTACCTTCGGTCACTGACCTCAGGGTATCAATCAATTTCAGTTTTGTCTCTTTGTCTGGGGTTTTATCCACATAGGTGCAACATTCTTGTATCATTTTGGAAACGGCTTGTTTCAACTGGGAACGACGACGCACCAAAAGGGAAACATATTCATTGAGGGCATTCCAATTGCCGGCCTCAAAGCATATTTGGCAAATAGCTACCAACACCCTGGAGCAGGATACCATATCGGCACCCAAACGGGTTTGTTTCTCCAGAGACAATAACATTTCAATGGCCTCATGAAACGAGTCGGGGTTCTTTTTGGCCAACTCCTTGGCAATGGGAATTTTCTCATCACAAGCTGGAGCATAGTCGACCTCCATCTTTTGGATGCGACCTCCATCAAATAAGTAATTATCCATTGTGTGCAGCTAGAACAATTAGTGACACAATTATTCGTAATGTATAAAATTGAATAATTTATTTAATAATACGTACTTCTTTTAAATAAATTAAAACTCGATTTGCAAAAGTTTGCGATGCGGTCTCAGCCTTTGGAAAATATTTTTGCTTTAATCATTCCACAGTTGTAAACGAGGGTATTCAAATTTTGTTGTTGACAGTTGCTAAGAAAAAGTAGCAAGTCACTGAGTGCACCTTCAATGTTGACGTTGAACTGTGTGCCAGAAATTTTTGAAGATTGTGTGTTGTTTGGCTCTTGCGCAGTCTTTATCCGTGTAGAACTTGAATCGTCGTAAATTCTATTATAAAAGGAAAAAGAGCAAAACATGGTAATGCAGTTTTTAAGAGGAACAAACGTGTGGCTCGCTTTCATGTGTATGAATTCATACAAATTGATGTTAACAAACTATGTTATCAATTCCCCATGAATGAAAGAGTTACAAATTTGTTTGGGCATTAAAATAAGAAAATTACAGATTAAAACAAAGTTTTACTATGATATTTTGAGTTTATGTGAGAGCAGATTTGAAGGCCTCTCCCTTCTTAATGTGCAAGTACATAAAACGCTTGAAATCATGGCCAGACATATTAATGTCAAATTTTAATGGAAAACGACGACAGAATTTTAGTGCTCTGTATGAAATGTCGCAAAATGTGCCTAGCCATGACTTCAAGCTTGTTATGTACTTACACCCTTTGTCATAAACTAAAAACTTTCTAATGAAATGTTTCGTGACTGGCTAAGTCTTCAGTGTGGTACCACTTCACTTTGGGCTATCTGATTAGTTTGCATGGCTTTGTGCAATATGACGACAACACTGGGATATCAACTCCAAGTAGATGATATTTGCCAATTGTTTTTGTGTGCAAAAAAGTCGGTGTGCTACTCCGCATATTTCTGTTTTATTAATTAATAATATAAAGAATATTTATTATATTATTTGTTGTTCAATTTTATAATCTCCACCAAAATCTATTCTAAACCCTCGACGAGCGTTAGTGAACAAAACAATCAAAGAAATATCAACTGCAAAGAAGTACAACAAATTTTTTGCGCGCCAATTCTGCTGCTAGTAGGCTTCTATACGTGACCAAACAAACGAAATCGTACAGGAAACATGGCTCACATTCAAGAATATCAGGATTTGGTGCTTGATGCAGTGGAAGTGGTGGAATTCAAATTAAGTAAGTATTTGGTGACATGAAATGCAGCATGAATTTAAATTGTATTTTTATAGGTAGGTTGTAAGTGACGTGCCACTGCATTGCCACTTATGACACATAGGGAATTTGGGTCTATAACAATAGATTCCCTTTAAGTTCTCCTTTTTTGGCTCTCAGCATTTGAGGTTAGGACAGAAGAAAGATTTGCTGTGGAAAGTAAAGGGCAGATGTGTCGTTTCAACTCCCATAACAAAAAGTCCACATGTAGCCTCCTCTAGTCGCTTTCTCAGAATGCAGAAATGATACTTAAGCCGAATGGTAGGTGAACCAAAATGACAGTCATTGTTGTCAGGAAGCCGGAGAAGCCTTTAGAGATTAGTATTTCTAAGCGACAACATTTATAGTCGCCAGATAGAAAGCTATTGACAAACTAAAGGTTTACGGCCTGCTAAATGGAGGCATTATTTACTAGCCCAAGGGGATGGATGGAGTCTTTATAGATGGTTTAAAGGGAGGGAGTCCTCATAGATGATTTGATTTAGGTAATTACAAACGAAGTGGGATGTCGAGATTGAGGATCAGAAGTGAGAGTCTTGATAGACTACCATATGCAAGCCAAGGGACGAACATAAGGAATTCTTCATATATTTAATGACGACTAAAGGCAAGTCTAAAGACCATCAGAGGTCTAGGCAAGATGGGAACCCATAGACGACCAGAATGAAATCTATAGACTGCTAGAGGGTAGTTTTAATTCCTAGGTAAATTGAGGCTGGGAGGCTGGGTGACATTCTAAGTAATCAGATTAAAGTTTTTATGGGTGACCATGTAGGTTTCTTCATAGCTGACAGTCTCGAACTATTGCAGTGGGTTTCCTATTGTATACAGAAAGAGGCAAAGACGACAGTTTTGGGTCGCTTATTTCGTTTCTTACTGGGCAGGGTAGCCTCTCTGCTTTATCCCCTTTCGACGTCATTCATTTTATGTTCCTTCCGTTTTTGTTTCTTTGCAGTACGTTCAAAAAATGATTTGGAAAAAGATGATATGGCCTTTCATCCAATGATGGCACATCAAATATTCGGTGAATCTGAAAGTATTTTTGGTTATCGTGGCCTGAAAGTGCAAATTTTATATACGGCTGGGCCGCTACATATATACTTGGGCTTGGAGTACGACAAGAAAGTCGACGAGCTGTCCAATGGTGAAATCAAAGCCGACGATGTCGTGGCAACAATTGCTGAAAAACTACCAGATGGTTGTTATTTTGTTAATATGGATGAGTTCCTCAAGACATTAGATAAGGCTGATAAATTCCAACCATTCGGCGAGAAACTGGCTGAATACAAAACCAAAGATGATGAGAGCGACAATGAACGACATTTCGAGATATACTATTGTAATTTCAAATATCCATCGTTCTTGAAGTTCTTTTCACGCCTGCAAACGTTTGTCTTGTGGTTTGTTGATGCCGCCTCGTACATCGATGTCGATGATCCCCAGTGGTCGTATTTCATATGGTAAATGATAGAAGAACTTTTTAATGAACTTGCCTAATATCTTTTTTTAATTTTTTTAGCTATGAAAAATACAAAAACGACAATGGTGAAGAGTTGTTTGCAACCGTTGGTTATTCCACAATCTATGAGTATTATGCCTATCCCCAGCACATAAGACCACGTATTAGTCAAATGTTGATATTACCACCATTCCAAAAACTTGGTATTGGCACCAAAATGGTCGAGACCATATATAAGTATTATCACAATCAGAAAAATGTCATCGATATTACTGTGGAAGACCCTTCGGAGGAATTCCAACGTATGCGTAATTTTGTCGACTGCCGTTTGTGCATGGAATTGAAAACCTTTCAAAGGGAGGAAATTAAAAAAGGCTTTACAAAAGACAAGGTTAAGGAGGCCAGGGAAACGTATAAGGTAAGTTATCTATCCCTTATTTGCCTTATGATATTGTAAATTATGTTTATTTCTAGTTAAATCCCAGACAATGCCGTAAGGTATATGAAATCTTACGTCTTTACCATACCAATATCCATGACAAAGACGACTATACAGCCTATCGTCTGGATGTCAAGAAACGCCTCAATGCTGTCTATCATAAGCAATTGAGTGATATCAAGAAAATGGAAAAGGCCAAATTGGATACGGAATGGCTGAGGGCCAGATTGCCAACAATCAAACAGCGTATCGAACAATTGCAGGAGGAATATGAACATGTTGAAAAGGATTATAAACAAATTATACAAAAATTACGCGATGCCTAAATGTTGTATTTTGTAGCGTTTATTCTATTATTTTCCTTATTCGAAATATTATTGTAATTTAAAGAATTTTTTTGTTTTTTTCTAATCTGAATTTAAATCGTTCCAAATAAAATCAACACGTTATTTATTACCTTTTTCAAGAAATTAAGATGGAGTTTTCTACAAAGTCAGAATATTTTTTAAGGGCTGACGGACCAATAATATTCTTTTTTTGAGACTATTTTTCCAGATCCTATTGAATAATTATAGGGGACTTTTTTAAATTAAGTTGTTTGAGAGACTACAGATAATAGTTAATAGTTTTAACAGGATCTATAATAGTGGTATTTTATGAATATTTTTGGGGTCCTAGGGAACAACAATAATACTGGATTATTTTCAAGGACCTACGAAACAATATTTGTGACTATTTTACAGGCCTCTCGGAGCAATAATCTCAAGGGCTCTAGACTATAAACCATGGATTTTTAAAGAGTAGTTTCTTTGAGCCAGTGGGTGGGGGAGGAAAAAAATAGTTTAAATAACATTTTTGAAGAGCCTATATAGTAAATCATGGGTTTCTAAAATTTATTCCCCCCATTAAAAACACATCGCTTTCTTTGGGTTTTATATATATATAAAATGATGTTTTATTTTTCTTAATAAAGGCTGATGTTATATACTACAGATTAAGGTTATGTTTTGTTCGTACATCTTCTAAATTCCAATATTTTATATAAGTTAAAAAATATATTTTATTCCTTCCTTTCCCATAAATATTTGAAACTTAGAAGATGTCCGTATTTTATAAGATATTGTGCAAAAAAATACAATTTTATATATTTATGGGGAGTTTCATCATAGCACTATGGAAGTCTAATATTAAATTATTTGATATAAAAAATATCGTATATTTCGCAATGACATCAGAAAAATGCAACAAAAACAAAAATCACAACTAAATTTTCCAAATTAAAGTTACAGGACATTTTGATATCACGATCACATAGGTACAGTTTACACATCATGTTAAAGTCATATAAAAAGTGACTTGTTTTCCAATTTATATTTACCATTTTCAAATATAAGCAGATTTTTATATGTTTTCTCATACTACGTCAATCGGAAGTTATTATAAAATGGGTTTTTCAAAAATGTTTACAAATTTGATATTTAAAAGAAAGATATAAAAACGGTTTATATAAAAAAGGAGGAATTTACTTTGCATATGACTCTAACATGGTGTGTAAACTGTCCTTCAGTTTCCACAGATTCTCAATTATATGAAACCTTTTTTCGATACTTTTCCTATAAAAGCAAAAAATGTGGAATCATTTTCAACATAACCAAACGTTTAATAATAATTATTTTATAAACCGTACATTTTTTAAATATACCTGATTTGAAATCGCATTGCCAAGGTGTAAACCTATTGAGCTAAACTTTCAAATTAAAGGTGAATTTCTTATCCTAGATACATACAAAAGGGTGTCCAAAAATTGGGTATAATTTTTATTTCGAAACAATTGTAAAATTTTGAGAATATTTTCCAGACAACACCAGAAATCTAAGAGTTTTCCTAGTATCGTTCGTTGTTTTATCGACGAAGAGCGATTTGAAAAACGTAGCGTCGATAAAATGCATGAAGCCATGCCAGTAGGCTTTACCGTCAGCCCAATCATGAATATCTCCTCGGGAAGCATTTATTTCGTAAACTTTACGAAGTAATTCTTCCAATCATGGCAGAAGAATACAGGTAGATGCATCAACGCTTGGGAGCATTGATATGTCAAAAAAAATTAAATGTTTTTTCAAATATAAGTAGATTTTGATATGTTTTCTTAAACTACGTCAATGGGAGGCTATTATAATTCGCGTCTTTCAACAATTTTTACAAATTTAAATAACTTTTCATTCAACATTTTCAATTCCAAAATTGGTTTGACAGTTCATTGTTTCAGCAGCTGTGTCGATGCGTCTACCTATATTCTTCTACCATGCTTCCAATCATGAAATTTTGAGGAGAAATAATTTGCGAAGATGTCAACGCGAATTGGCCTTTCTCGAACTTTGCGAACCCTATTTGTACGGATTGATGCAAACCATGGTAGAAGAATAAAGGTAGTCGCATCTACACAGCTGTTGGGACAATGAACAGTTATAGTACGTTTATATATATGAGGGTTAACCCACTGGATTTGGATTTAAATTGTCATATCCATTACTTTTACTTCAAATAAATCCTCTCAAAGAAGGTTAACCCTACAAAAAGTTCTAACGTAAACATGGCATGAAATCGATTTTGCAATTGAAAATGTTGAATGAAAAATTATTGCAATTTTTAAAAATTGTTGAAAAATATATATTTTTTTGAGAAATATTTTAATTTCTTTGAAAATTTTCTTCAGTTTTAAGGAAGATTATAAGTTTAAGGTGAAAATACATAAAACGCATTTCTGACTAGCTTAAGACATCGGCTGGGTTCTTCGGAGAAGAACAAAGGAGCCTAGGGCCGAAATCGAATTAAGTAAACCTAAAACTCCTCTCTTACTTTTCGAAGAAGACAGCTGATGACTTAAGCCAGTCAAAAAAGCCCTAAGGTACAAGTACATAAGAAGCTTGAAGTCATGGCTAGGGATTACAGAGCCGCACTAAAATCCTGCAGTCGTTTTCCATTATAATTTGACATTAATATGCCTAGCCATGACTTCAAGCTTTTTATGTACTTGCACCTTTCCCCCTCGGAGTTAGATGTGGAGATAAATTTTTGTTTATGATAGCAAAAAAGGGGAAAGAGAAAAATTCCGAACGAAATTGTTATTTATGATTGGGCTGAATATTTCATAAATATACCAGTGCCTTACGAAGCAACATGATTTATAAAATTGTACCCAAATTATGGACACCCTTTGTTCAACTGTGTATATGAGCAATCTTATAAGGCACAAACACAATGAAGCTCAATTTTTTTTAAAAAGTTTATCGAATTTGGTAAAAAATATGTCACAGCACTCAATTGGTGCCCAAGAAGAGTTTTATTTCTAGGTCGCCAAATCAGTGTTGTCATACTTTTTCTCCTGCCAAAGAAAAGCAGCATTGTGTTCATGACCCCAAATTTTTGGTTTTGATATATTTTTGGAGTTTTCCATCCATCTATCTTTCCAATTAACACGATCCATATTCTTCCATCCATTTTTCAAAACGATTAACATCATCTATGGATACGGTTTTCTTCGTACGCTGCATTGCATCTTGAAAATCTTGCAGCGTGATGGGCAAGTCAACATCTTCACGACGTATTTGACGTATTTCATCGGGTGTACGACCAAATATTTGACGACGCATCGGCATCATGGCAGCATCACGGCAAACGTTGCTGATATCAAAACCCGAATAACCTTTCATCTGATCGGCAATTGTATTGGTGTCTAGTGTGGGACTGAGATTTACATCTTTCAGGCAGAGTTTCAACAATGCCGAACGGGTGTCCTCTGGAAAGAGAAAAGATACAAATTAGTAAATTTTAAGGAATAAAGGTGGAAGTACATAGAACGATTAGCACTGTCGCGTGGCTTATTAATGTCAAATTATAAGAGAGAACGATGGCAGAATTCTTTTGTGGCTCTGAAATCCCTTTTGTAGTAAGGCTACATTCAATTAAACCCCGTTTTTGTTTATGGACATTATAGAGGCATTATCAGATGTAATAAGTTTTACATATGTGCTGTCAAATGGGAAAGCTTATTTGAAATGACTTTGGCTTCTTAATTTTATCATGGTTATTGCAGTAACAATAGGAATTTTGACAACTTGGGCCATTTCGGAAATGCAACACTACAACAAACTTCAAACTTTTGCAGATCAGCTGTTGTAGATGCTTCGTTGTACACAACAATTAACAACACCGAGAACTTTTTCTTATGATGAAGGACATATAATCTCCCTTTTTATATGTTTATGTTCAAAAAAAATAAATAAAATTCGTCTTCTTGAGATATGGAATTAGGAACTGGTTTTAAGTGCCAAGAAACGTCGAAAATAAGAGATTATTTATTATTTTTGTAAAATATGCCACTCGTCATACGTTTATATTTCAGATATGAAAATAAGTTTTGTGTGAAAAATGACAAGGGGAAGTTCGTTAGGAAAAAGGTTGCCATATGGAATTTAGTGGTGAGGAAAACAACAATTTGTCTTGTGTAAACATCAGTTAAAAATAATGTAGTTTAGGGTGACATAGTTCTAGTTCGGCCCGTAATTACATCGAAGATGCTAACCGATGATTTTTGCAAGCAAAAATTACTGTGATTTTTAAATTACCAGGGTGCTTTTAAACCCAGTATTCATCTTTAAAGGGATGCTAGAGCTGCACACATATTCTTGTGGGCATATTAATATCAAATTATAAAGTGAAATGACGTAAGAATTTAAGTGCGGCTTTGACATCCCTTTATGATATGTCACAAAATATGCAAAGTGAAGACTTCAAGCTGCTTATGTATCCACATCGTTAAGGCTAAAATAGACCAAAACTAAAAGTGAGAAAACATAAAACGCTTTTTTGCCTGGGTCATCGACAGGCTTTTTCGGAAAGGAACAAACGGGCTCAAAGGCCAAAATCGTCAACTTAAAACTCCTTTGTTCATCTACGAAAAAGCCAGCCGATGACTTAAGACAGACAGAAATCGTTTTATATATTCCCACCTTTAGGCTGGAAATACATAAAGCGCATATTTGGCTGGCTTAAGTCATCGGCTGGTTTCTTTTTTGGGGTTTTAATTGATTGTTGGATAGGTACCCGTAGTACCTATGTACCAAGACTGGTTATCGGCTGGTTTCTTTGTAGATGAACAAAGGAGTTTTAGGTTGCCTTAGTTCGATTTTGACCCTAGGATCCTTTGTTCATTTCCGAAGAAGCCAGCCGATGACTTAAGCCATCCGGATAAGCGCTTTATGTATTCTCATCTTTAAAGCGTGTCTTCGGAGTGAAAATACAACACTGTTGTCATTTGTAGCCGAAAACAGTGTTGTATTTTCACTCCGAAGTCGAAGTTTGGTAATTCTACCAACCTCTGTTTGTGTTTTTCTATTCCTTTTCAATACTCACCATTGGGCAATGAAATATATATCCTTTTCTCAAACCTTCGGCGGAATGCCTCATCGATATCCCATGGATGATTTGTGGCGGCCAATACCATAATAATTTTATCCTCTTGCATGGTGACATTCAAACCATCCATTTGTATCAATAGCTCAGCTTTAAAACGTCTACTGGCCTCATGTTCCGAATCGCTGCGCCTTGCCGAACACAAAGCATCAATCTCATCAATGAATATTGTACTGGGAGCATAAAACCGTGCCATTTCGAAGAGCAATCTCACCAATTTCTCACTTTCACCACGATACTTGGAAGTCAACGTTGAGGAGGATACATTAAAGAATGTCGTACCACATTCCGTGGCCACAGCCTTTGCCAGCATGGTTTTTCCCGTTCCGGGTGGACCAACCATCAAAACACCGCGCCATGGTCTACGGATACCCTTAAAGAAATCTGGCATTATTATGGGTAATACCACTGCCTCTTGTAGAATTGACTTGGCCTCATTCAAGCCGGCCACATCGGTCCACTTGACCCCGGGATTCTTTTGCAGAATATCCTTCTCCAACGTGTCCACCAAGTGCGGCTCATAGCCGGCCGGTGAAAATGTTTTCGCCTTTGTGGAAGTTTTCGGTGAATTCTTAGGTGTACTCTGTGATGTGGAATTCTCTTCTAATGAGGTAGCTTCTTGATCATCCGAATTGGAGTTTTCATCAATGGAATTCTTTTTCATTTTCTCCTTGGGTTTTATCTGTGAATTGACCATTAGTTTGCGGGCCCGTACCCTTTCCACGGAGCGGCTTTTACGATTTGGCATGGTGGCAGTTTTCAACGAACGTGAGTTACGCTTCTCGCCGCGTTCGGTTAGACCAGCTGTGGCCACATTGTGGGAGCTACCATGATGGCTGAGATTTATCGATGGCAATGTGGGCTGCAGCTCGGGATCACGGCGTCGCAACGAAGAAATCCATCGATTATCGTTGTGTGTATTGAAAGTGGTGGAATTAGCATGTTGTAATGGATTTGGATTCGGCCCGGCCGCATTGGCGGGTGGTAAATTTGTATTCGTTCTCGGTTGCGGTGATACTTCTGGCGGGAACAGAAAGGGGATATTACAATGTGAAATGAAATGCCTTATTTTCATTTACCTTGTGTGGGAATACGACTCTTAAGCCTCATGGTTCCAATGCTCGATGAAGACTGTGACGGCACCAATCCACTCATCGATGTCGTTCTTGTGGTTTCGGTCTTCTTACCCGTTTTTGTCGGTCTGTGAGTTGTTGTGATTTTGGTAAAAGCGAATGGTGGATATTGATCCAATATCAGTGAATCCATCATGCGTGCCATGTGTGAGAGTCCTGTTGGAGGCGCTGATGATGTGCTGGAAATAAAATAAGGAAATGGGAATTAAACGGTTAAATTCTTCTTGGAAAAAGACCTTATTTAATGAAGAATTGATAGATTGTGAAGAGGTTAGAAGTAGATGAGATGGGATGATGTCGTCGTTCACAGACGATCTTTCGAGAAATTTAGGTATTACTGATAGGCCTGGAATTTTCTGGTCAGGCAAAAACCCTATTATAGACCCGCTGATAGGTCAGACAATTTATAAAAAACGTGTTAAACAACTTACTATAGGTGTGTTGACAGAAATGACAGGATCCAGAGAGTCTGCTCTAGACGAGCTGACTGGCCAGTCAGTCTACCGCAGATGTGCTGACTGTGGCAGGTCAGGGAGTCAGACACAGACGTGCTGCTGGGTCAATATGCTTATAATAGAGGCGCTAGGACGCAGCAAGTATCAAACGTATTCGGGACAATGTATTTACAGCGGCGACCAACATCCCTAAAAATGTGGCGCCCAAATAGAGAGACACAGCATCATCCATTTCAGAGTTAGAAATAGCTTTAGGGTTATGAGGCCACAAATGGAGAGAATAGTAAATTCATCTATAGTGGCGCCTAAAGGCTCCACACAACATATACAAATCTACTTATTTTTGAAGAAACGTTAACAATTTTTTGGCATATCCCTGATCAAAAGTTTTTATGCATCTACCTGTATTCTTCTACCATGGTACATACCATGGCAGAAGAATACAGGTAGATGCATCAACGCTTGGGAGCATTGATATGTCAAAAAATTGAAATGTTTTTTTAAATATAAGTAGATTTTTATATGTTTCCTTATTCTCAGTCAAAAGGAGGTTATTATAATTCGCGTTTTTTCAAAAATTTTTGCAAATTTAAATAATTTTTCATTTAACATTTTCAATTCCAAAATTGGTTTGACAGTTCATTGTCCCAGCAGCTGTGTCGACGCGTCTACCTATATTCTTCTACCATGGTACATACGTACTTTTTCGATCACAGCGAGCCCTATTTTCATTGGAAGAATACAATTTAATTGAAGTGTAGCATGTTTTTAGTGTGAGAATGTATGTTTTTTCCAGAACTGCAAGAATGTAAAAGTTTTAACTACGATAACCGATTTTCCCTTTATGATATCGAAAACAAATTGCAAAACTTTTAGATTCTTGCAGATACTCGAACACAGCAATATAAAATTAAAATTTTTTATAAATAACACTATATATGTAAAAATCCATTCCGTCTCATATGTCTTAAGGGTGCTCTCGTGACGTGATAAAAATAATAATATCCAAAAGTATAATTTTTGAAAACATTGTAACCTATGATTGCATGAGTTTACTTTAATAATTCCAGCATGGAATTCACATATATATATTTCTTCTTACTTCTCCTCTCAATATTAGATAAGTACAAGTCTCCCAACAAAGTAGCTGTCTAACAAAACAGCTATACGTCTCCTAAACTAAAACCTTAACAATTATAGATAACTGGAAGCGAGTCCTTTTAGAAGTCATTCAACTATAATGGAATTAAAGTTCATTGCTGTTGTGCTTTTTAAAGTTTTCAATATTACATGACGACTTGTTGACATGTTTGCATGCTCTGCAAGTGGTTTTACCTCAAATACAAATTAACCCAACAAATAAATGCAATTTATAGAAACAAAAGATTTAAAACGAAATTTAATAAAAAAAATCTCTACTTTTATCACACTGGTATTTTTAATAAAAGGGAAGTGTCAAAAATAGAGGTAGACTCATTTGATAAATCGAATTTGGTAACCCTTTTCTGACGAACTCGACATAGTCATTTTTCAAATATTTTTTTTATATCTAAAATATTTACGTACGACGAGCGGCAGATCTTACAAAAAGAATAAATCTTTTATTTTCGGTGTTCTTTGGCACGTAAGGATAGATGTACAGGGTGAGATGACAAAACAGCAACCAACTTCAGACTGCTGTCATTTCAAAGCCACTCGTCCGACAGCTGTTAAAATTACTACAGTGACAGCTCCATATATTGTTTACAAGCGTACAAAAGCACTTTTGCTGAGAATTTTCCAGAAAAAAAGTTATTCGTGATGGAATTCAAGCGTGATAGTGTGATTTCTTTATATTTGGCTGGAAAATCGCAAGTGGCTATCGTTAGTATACTCCAGCATTTAAGTGGGAATAAATCGTTTGTCTCGTACCATCGTTTGTTGCCGTGATACTGGTAGCGTAGCCCGACGTCAAGGAAGTGGACGGAAGAAAACAGCAACATCAGCAGAAATAGTTCGAAAAGTAAAGAAGCGACTTGATCGAAACCTGCGTCATAGTGGCCGAAAAATGGCGCGTGTGCTGAACATATCGCCATTTTCCATTCGGTAAATATTGAAAAATGAGCTCAGGGTAAAGCCATTGAAATTCCAAAAAGGGCAAGAACTTACACCGCAACAGAGAGCAAATAGACTAAGACTCAAAATAGGTAAAGAGTTGCTTCACTTGGCCGAAAGTGGAGAACTTGCCGAATTTGGCTTTCTCCGATGAGAAAATATTCGTTGTTCAGCAGTTTGTAAACAAACAAAATGATCGTGTTTACTTGCCAAAGAGATCAGCTGAAAATGTACGCCTTTGGTTGGCCACCAGAACTCAAGCGCCAGTCATGGTGATGGTGTGGGCCGCCATAGCAGACGATGGTCGCTCTCCGCTCGTATTAATCGACCATGGCATCAGAATAAATGCCAAATATTATTGCGAAAATATTCTGGAGGGTGTATTAAAGCCTTGGACATGCAAACATTTTGGCCGCAGACCTTGGACATCCTAACAGGACTTAGCACGCGCCACCCAAGAATGGTTACAAAATGAGGGTCCTTGCTTCATTTCCAGCGCACAATGGCCACCAAAATCTCTGTATATCAATCCGTTGGACTATTGTATCTGGAGTATTTTGGAAAGCAAGGTTGGCAATGTAAAAAATACCAAAGTGTCGATCACCTCAAGCAAGCGCTTCGCCAGGAATAGGCCAAAATACCGCAGAGCAACATTCGGGCGGCGTGTGACGGTTTCATTGGCTCTTTGGAGGCCATAATTCGTGCCAAAGGTGACCAATTCGAACAAATCTAAACTTATTCTAAAATTTGATGCTATATCCGACATTTTTTGCTTTAATTCAATAAAATTAAAAAAAAAATTAAAAATTATGGCGTTTGACTTTGTTGGAGTTTTTTTTTATCTCACCCTGTATATACTTTGTTATGTCTAATATTAATATTTCGATGAGTAAAACTGGGAATACTTAAGCGCTTATTTGGCTGGCTTAAGTCAGCCGATGACTTAAGCCAGCCAAATATGCGCTTTATATTACAATATAATGCTATATCATGATATGGTGCCTGATTATGTTTTTTACAATAAAACCTATCTATTGAATCAAAGCCACAATAAAACAGCTCAACTTTATGTATTTCATGTCCTTGTCCTTGTCATGCATTCATTTATTGAGGTTATAAACTTAACTCATTTTGCATTTTAGAATGAGATTAGATGCAAATGCACACATGCCAACAAACATTCAATGAGACAGAAAAAAAAAACATATGCACAGTGTATGTTTTCCATAAACTGTTATGGCAGACACCCTAAGGACTCTAGCACTCCTGTTACAATTTGACCAACAACCCCAACATTAAGTGGCTATATTATTTGGCTCAATAGGTTTGGGTTTCCCCCTCAATTTGTGGCTATATTATATAGACCAATGGGTTTGGGTCCCCCCTCAACTTTGTGGTATATACAATTACTATACAACACAGCAACAACAGGAAAAAAACTTTCCTAACAGACAAAGTCAAAGCCAATGACATTAAAACACGAAACGGCGACCTTATACTCCTTGCTTCCTAATATGAAATATGAACGAAATATTCTTGATATCTACATTTGTGTGTGTATGTGAAACTTTGTAACTTGGTATTTGTGTGTATGGGAATTAATTGAAATTGCAAGAGTTTAAATATGTTTTTAACTTATTTTTAGTACTCTCTTCCTTCACCTCGAGTACGGTGTTGTTTTGCATCGTTGAGAACCTAAAGTGTTGCCTATTGTTAGGCGCTAGTTTGTTTTCAATGTGTCTGTTGTATCGTTGCTGCGTTTTTAGTTCATTGAACTTGTCATAAAATGTCGCCGCATTTTATTTATTTTGTTTGTGTTGTTGTAGCTGTTGGTAGTTGGCAAAAAATTGATTGCTATAGTATAAAAATTTCTTCCGCGGGATATACTATAATGCTAATGGGATTTTAATTCATTGTAATTGATTTAGACATTTTAATGGGTGTGTATGTACTTTGTGAATATATATTGTATTTATAAATAAAATGTTTATATTGATGGTAAATGTCGGAACATATACAGATATATGTATTTTACGAGGTGTGAGTTTTGGAAAATTTATTTTGATCATTGAAGGGAAATTCACTCTGTTAGTTTTTTTTTAACTTAAAGCTACTATAAAGATGAGAATACATAAAACGTCATAGACTGGCTTCTTCGGAAAAAACAAAGGAGCATAGGGCCAAAATAGAACTAAGTCAACCTAAAACTTCTTTGTTCCTCTATTCGTTTGACAACATCACATTGTAAAAATGTTTATTTACAAATCCATTGAACATACACAAAGCAGAGATGGGAATCTGTTTTCTATGCAGTGAAATTGAAAAGGTAAATTACAGAAAATCCATAGATGGGAATGCTTATTTGAAATGACTTTAAATTCTTAATTTTACTATGGGAAATTGAGACTCCTAGTTTTTTTTTTTAACTTTTGAGCCGATTCTTAAAGCTGCTAAGGGTGAGAATACAGAAAACGTATTTTTTGACTGGCTTCTTCGGAAAAAAACAAAAGAGGCCAAAAACGAACTAAGTCAACCTAAAGCTAATTTTTTCCTTTACGAAGAAGCCAGCCAATGACTTAAGCCAATCAAAAAACCCTCTAATGTCTCTCACCTTAAGGGTCTTACAATGTTTAATTCTTTATTTCCGTGTGTGTGTCAAAATTGACATATGTAAAAGACTCACAGGTCTTGCTATCACACACTTTCATATGGGTTTGGTTTCCTTTGGTTACATTATGATTATATTGTATTTTCTTAAAAAAAAAAAAATTCTTTATAGATAAATTTTTACCGCAAATATAATTATATATATTTTTTCCCACAAGTTTTTGTGGGGACTCCATCTGTTTAATTTTCATACTTTTCTTGCAAAAGAGAATAAAAGTACCTTACTCTCATAGAAAGAAGTTGCTGGGCAACTCCTGCTGGAAAAGTAACCTGACAAATCTACTTTTGATTAAAAAAACATTTCCGATGAAAATAGGGCTCGCTGTGATCGAAAAAGTACATTTGTACTTTACTCCTGTATTTAACAATGTATCACAGGTCGTGTTCAACTTGTACGTGTGTAAAAAACATATCGTCTGATAGAGCCTTAAGTTGAGAAACTGCTTTTTGACTGACTTATGTCATCGTGTGTCTTCTTCGTAAAATAACAAAGGAACGTGGGTTAAACAGGTATAAATAATGGGCAGAAATTATGTTTTATGTATTCTCAACTTAAAAGTCGTTTTTTGTAAAATATTTGTTTAAAAACTGTCAAGGTCGATTTCATTGGAAAAGTGTTGCCATATTCGATTTAGCAAATAAGTTTCTCCATATTTTTTTTTTTAATTTTTCCTCACAATGAATAATATTTTTGTTGTATTTCAAAATTATTTTAATTTGAAATCCAATCACGTATTTTAAAATTGGTAGTCAAGGGGACTTTCTGTGTAACCAGTTAACCCGTTAACGCTTTATATTGTCTCAACTTAAGATTACTTTGATTTTTTTTCAAAAAATGCTTTGTAGATGAATACAGGTAGATGCATTAACGCTTGGGAACATTTATATATTTCAAAAAATTTTAAATTTTTTATAGAAAAATAAGTATATTTTTTATAAGTTTGGTATATGTTTTTGTTTCATTTAAAAAATTCAATGCAACTTCCTGTATTCTTCTACCATGGAAAAATTACAAGGTAAAGTTCGTTGGAAAAGGGTTGCCGTATTCGATTTAGCAAATATTTTGGTTTATTTTTTTGTGCCAGCATTCATTTTGTTTAATAGTTATTTGCGTCCTTAAGAATCCTAGGGTTGAGGACCCGTAGGAGCCATCGCAAATGGAAAGGGGAAAGCAAGAACCATATTTCATGTAATGTCGTGAATGCAGGGGATAATGTAAAATGGGTACACCATCTCACACCTAGACGAATCGGATACAAAGTATATTTTAGTATAATGTCAAATGACATCTAATTCTCTTTTAATGAGTATAAAACAAAAATACGACTTCATTTCGAACTATATTATTTAGATGAAGATTACATGGAACTAGCATTTAATGGCCTCCCAAATTGACATTACTCTCGAATTTTGACTGGGAAATAATTAGCTAAGTAGCGATCTCCCCAATTTTTCACACCTTCAAGTGACATTAGTTTTTCAAATTTGGATTAGGCTTAATTACCTCCCCTATTTTTTACACCCTCATAGTAGTAGCTCATGGTCATTTTCATCTTAATTCAATTCCACATTTATGGAATGTAGTTCAACGGCCTAGCAGGCCTCTTCATATTATTATTTTGTCACATTTCATTTTCTTCGCTCGCAGGCTAGAAACAAGGTAATTGATGGCATTTTGAATTGAGTTCATCGTTCAATACTTTTTTTGCCCATACTAAGACATTGTTATTATATACATGTTATTTTTGTTGTTGTTTTTTTTTTTTTCTTGTATTTATTCTGCTTTTGTTTTTTTTTTTTTCAATTTTAATTTATTCTTAGCACAAATGACGAGTACGAGTACCCTACTTTTGTTTAATAATCGAGTACATTTTATGACTAGGTCATAAAAGAGAGAGAGAGAGCACAGAAACTAGAGTGGAATAATAACAAACAATGACATCCTTCCTTACGAGGAGGTTGGGCCATTAAGCTGTTGTTTTATATACTTTATGCATGTGTAGAAGATTTACATGTGTGCTTGAGAGAAAGGATATCGTTATCATTTTAAAATTTAATAAATAAAAACATAAACATGGGAGTCTTGTGTTAAATATTTTTACATTGGTGTTGCATTTTTAAGAGAATCGATCTCCAGTGAAAATGGAAAAACGCTATACAAGCAATTGAATAAATAATCGAAGAAATTTTAGAGTTCTTCTTATCCCTCGGTTATATGCATGGAAGATGAATATTGGTAGACGCATCGACACAGCTGCTGGGACAACCAACTGTCAAACCAATTTTGGAAATTGAAAATGTTGAATGAAAAAAGTATTTAAATTTGTAAAAATAGTTGAAAACGCGAATTATAATAACCTCCGAATGGCGTCGTATAAGAAAACATACAAAAATCTACTTATATTTGAAAAAAACATTTAAATTTTTTTTTGACATATCAATGCTCCCAAGCTTTGATGCATCTACCTGTATTCTTCTGCCATGGTTATATGTAAAAACACCAGCAAATGCCTCAGCAACGAATTCGAAAAATCGTGATGCACGCAATTGACTTTTTCATGATAATAAGATCTAATGTAAACACGACTTAAAACAATGTATTCTTTCGTGGTTATAGATCCCTTTCAGCAACTACAGGAAAAGAGTAAACAGTGTTGCGTTTTTTATTTCTGGGAGATAAGTGCATATTTCTTTCAAATAAGAAAGTCGCCGAAATTTCCATCGATCTATATACCATCAGAAAGGTAGTTTATCTTTAAGGAAATAGGAAAAATCCAACTCTATAGTATAACCATATTCTGTTAAATAGGCATTTTTTTTGATTATTTTACATTTTTTCATAAATTTCTTAAATTAGAGAAGAATGTGATCGGATGTTAATAGTGGGTAGCCAATTATCGTCTGATAGACTCTTAAGGTGAGAATACATAAATCGCTTTTTTGCCTGGCTGATGTCATCTTCGTAAATAAACAAAGGAGCGTAGGGTAAACATGTGTAAATAACGGGCCGAAATTAAGGTTTATATATGTATAACTGAAGATTACGTTCTTACGAATATGCCACTCGTCGTACGTAAATATTTCAGACATAAAAATATTTCTAATTTGAAAAATAACAAGGTCGAGTTCAAGGCCTACATATGGTCGGCCAAGAAGACTATTTTTAACAACAATTTGACAGTAAACTTAGTAGATTTTAACAGGTAGTCCCATCGACACAGCTGCTGGGACAATAAAGATGCATATTGGTAGACGCACCGACACAGCTGCTGGGACAACCAACTGTCAAACCAATTTTGGAATTGAAAATGTTGAATGAAAAATTATTTAAATTTGTAAAAAATTGTTGAAAAATGCGAATTATAATAACCTCCGAATGACATCGTATAAGAAAACTTATAAAAATCTACTTATATTTGAAAAAAACATTTAATTTTTTGACATATCAATGCTCCCAAGCTTTGATGCATCTACCTGTATTCTTCTGCCATGGTTATATGTAAAAACACCAGCAAATGCCTCAGCAACGAATTCGAAAAATCGTGATGTACGCAATTGACTTTATCATGATAGCAAGATCTAATATAAACACGACTTAAAACAATGTCTTCTTTCGTGGTTATAGATCCCTTTCAGCAACTACAGGAAAAGAGTAAACAGTGTTGCGTTTTTTATTTCTGGGAGATAAGTGCATATTTCTTTCAAATAAGAATGCCGACGAAATTTCCATCAATCTCTATACCATCAGAAAGGTAGTTTATCTTTAAGGAAAAAGGAAAAATCCAACTCTGTAGTAGAATCATATTCTGTTAAATAGGCAAGTTTGTTTTGATTATCTACATACCATCAGAAAGGTAGTTTATCTTTGAGGAAATAGGAAAAATCCAACTCTGTAGTAGAACAATTTGACAGTAAACTTAGTAGATTTTAACTGGTAGTTGCATCGACACAGCTGCTGGGACAATGAACTAACTGTCAAACCAATTTTGGAATTGAAAATTTTGAATGAAAAATAATTTAAATTTGTAAAAATTGTTGAAAAATGCATTTCATAACAACCTTTGATTGACGTCGTATAGGAAAACATATACAAATCTACTTGTTACTGAAGAAACATTTTAAAATTTTTGACATATCAATGTCCCCAAGTGTTGATGCATCTACCTATATTCTTCTAGCATGCCCCTTATCGTGTGATAGCAGCTTAAATTATTTTTTTCCACTGAAAATAGGGCTCGCTGTGATCTAAAAAGAACATATATACTTTTCTCATGTATTTCACAACTGAGATGTCGTCCATGTACCATACGATCTGTGGAACATTTAAACATGGGAAATTTGACACTACATATGTAAAATTCTCATCATCTGATGTACTGTACTTTCTTATTGGATCATAAAAATTATTTAGATCTATACCCTGCTCTTCAACTTTGTATATGAGATCCCGGCCTTTTCAGGTGGTCTATATAGATCTTCACCTCGTCTCCAGCCTGTCTAGAACATCCTAGCTTCTCATCAGTTATCCTATAATTAACATTCTGGTATTCATTTCGTCTATAATAAAATTCTCTGTTCTCCAAATCGCTTTTCTAGAAAATAAAAATTACTTTTTCCTTTCAATTATAAGGCGTTGCCAGCCACTAAACTTCCTATATTTGAAAATGTTTCCAAGTAAGTTTCCCAAGTATTTCTGGGGTTCATCATTTATTAACGACAAAAACATGTAATGTAGACGACGTTTACAATTTCTTTAGAATTAGTTTTCGTATTTGATATGAGAATGAAGGAGGAAAGGACCTTCTCTCCATGTGTAAATATGTGTGCACAACTGTATGTGTGTGTGTGAGTTTTTTGTGGGTTTAATGTACCGGCATTGTAATAATGCCAACTTCACACGCTAATTACCTTACCATTCATGTAAATCCCACAAGGAGTGATATGGCGTATGACGATACGCCGAAACCAATGGCACAGCAACTTCATATTCCACTTGAAAATCCGATGGAGCCGGAGCTGCTGTTGCCGCGGTTGTTGTTGCCATGGCATTGGAGGGGCCAACACGATCCAGGGCAGGATTCGAATTGGAGACCAAGGAACGTTTACGTAAATACATATTTGAAGATTGTTGCGATGTGGACGGCGGCGGCGGTGGTGGCTGTTGTGAGGGTGGCGGTGGTGTTGCTTGCTGTGCCGGATGATGGTAGGCATGCTGATACTGGGAATGTGGATGAGGGGCATGATTCCCGTTGAGCTGGTGTAAATTATTAGCGGCTGTCATATTTGTTCCAGGATGATTATGATGACTGACCAATGCCGAGTCATGATGATTCAAACCGAACCAATTTTGGGTATTGGCATTAAACATGGCGACCACTCTCGAAATTCTTCTTCTTCTTTTTCTCACAGACACTTGTTTTTGTTCACATTGAGAATTTTTTTTGCAAATAATTATTTTTTTAATTATTTCATTAACTTATTTCTTTTGATTGCTTTCTAGTCACCCGTGTTTTCCCCGTTATTGTTCGCGAATCATGTACGTCCGTTATTTGTGAGGGTAGTTTTCAAACTGACCACTGACTGGCGGATGGTTTAGCCAAACGCACAAGTCGTCTAGGATGTTTAGCTCGCTTTGTTCTCAGTTTGTGAGCGTGTTTTTTGTTCGTATTATTTCTATATTATCGTAAATGGAAACATGAGAAATATGGGATGGGGGTGGCAGGGTGATACAACTTCACTGGCCACTATGGTTCAACTTTAGTTTGCTTGCATGTCCTTTTGGTTGGATGGTCATTGCGGCTGCAGGGAAACCAGCTACAGTGGGAATGGATGATATCCAGTGGGAATCTCAGTGCAACTGGGCTGAATCTTAATCTGGAAATACATAAAGAGCATATTTGTCTGGCTTAAGTCATCGGCTGGCTTCTTCGTAGATGAACAAAGGAGCCTAGGGCCAAAATCGAACTAAGTCAACCTAAACCTCCTTTGTTCACCTACGAAGAAGCCAGCCGATGACTTAAGCCAGCCAAATATGCGCTTTATGTATTCCCAGCTTAAGATTATCTATAGAAATATCATTTCAGCCGGTCTTAGTTGAAGATTTTCTGCAAGAATCTCATTCCAGCTGAGCTGAATCGAATTTTTCTTTAGAAATCCCAAATTCAGCCAGGCTGCATCTAAAATTTCCCAAAGGCAGAACAGAAAGGGTAAACTCATTTGCTAAATTGAATATGGCAACCCTTTTCTGACGAACTCGATCTTGTCATTTTTCAAAGAAAATTTAATATCGTATCTTAAACATTTTCGTACGACGAGTGGCAGATTTTACACAAATAATAAATAATCTTTTATTTTTGGCGTTCCTTGGCACGTAAAACAGTTATACGTTTCATATCTTAGGAATAGAAAGTTTGTTTATATTTTCTTTGGCTAAAACATATAAAGATTTATAACCCTTCATCTTAAGGAACGTTTTCGTTGATCTTAAGGTGAGAATACATAACACGCTTTTTTGACTGGCTTAAGTCATCGGCAGGCTTCTTTTTTTTTGGAATCGGTAGTTGGTTTTGCCGTCAAGACGAGTTTGGTACGGTACCCTAAGATTCATGTACCATTGCTTTATAATCGATTAGTGGTTATCTATAATTATATTTTCCTTTCAGTCTTTCATTTCTTTGCTTTCTTGTAGATTTGCGCTCGGCAGGCTTCTTCTGAAAAGAACAAAGGAACTTGGGGCCAAAATCGATCAAAGCCAACCTAAAACTTTTTTGTTCCCCTAGCGTTTTATGTATTCTTGCCTTTAATTCTCGTGTAGGCCTAGAATGAGGTTTCACCTAAAATCCGCGTTTACGGATCAAATCCCCTGAATTACCAGCTGAAAATGTTGTATCAAACCAGGGGCTGGATTCTTGTTCTATGAAAATATGAAATGAAAAATATTTCCTTTATAACATTTTTCATTTGACATTTCTTTCCTTTATAAAAGTCTTCATTTCACATTTTCATAGAACAAGAATTGAGGCCCAGGAGTAATATTGTCTTCATACTTTTCCTGGGTGAAACCAAATTTAACCGTTCCATAATTAAGTCTTACATGACTTATCAGACGAATATTTTATGTTTCTGTTTTAGATTATATTTTTTTTATTTATTTTTTTTTTGGCTTTTATACCCTTTAAAAAGCGTGAAAATAACAAAATATTTGTTCTGAAATAAATACAATTTGTTTCCTGCTGTACGCCCATATTTAAGGAGGAACTACAAAACATCAATTTGAAAATGAGGGGACATAAAATAAAAAAAATACTATCGAATGATAGCACTTGGCAATTGTACCATGGATTTTCCATAGAAATCTCAATCCGGCCAGGCTGATTTTTCACTTATGTCCCACTGTATTTCTTTGTCATTCATAACTCATTCGGTCACTATTCAAGCACCCACCTCCTGCTCCTTGTTACCTTGGTATTTCGCTGACTTTTAATGGTGGTGGTGGTCAAGAGTTCTGGCCAGTCATCAGGTACATAACCACATGCATGTGTACATACATATGAATGTGTTGTAGTTTTAGGAGAAACCACTTGTTCATTTGATTGTTTTATTGGCTTTTGTTCTCTTCAGTCAAATGGCAGAAGCAAGAACAACAACAACAACCACAATAGGAACATCATCATTACCACCGTTATTAATATGAAATGAGGTTAAAGGAAATTGGTATTGTTTGGCGTTCATATTACACATACACACACATAAAATTGGATACCGGGTTTTTTCGCTACTTTCTTGACGTTTGCGTTTTTTGTAGCGTGGTCTCTACTTGCACTGGTAGATCATTTAAGTTTGATGAGCTACTTGTTACGGAGTGTAATTTTTTTGGATCTCCATTTTGTCCATTGTAGAATCAAGAAGATAATGTAATGCAACCATATGTTTACAATTTTTTCAAAATTAATCGTTTGACAACATCTCATTGTCAAAATATGTGTCAATTGTAAATACAATTGTAAATACACAAATCATAGATGGAAACATTGTTTTATGCAGTGAAATTTGACAAGGTAAATTACAGAAAATAAAGAAATGGGTATACTAATTTGAAATGACATTACTTTTTTAATTTTGCCATTATTTTGTCTCAAGCTCACTTCTACCCATTTACAAATTTTAACTTATAAGTACCCTTATAATTAGCCAATCACAAAAAAAAAATATTTAAATCTTAAATGTGATAACACATAAAACGCTTTATTGGCTGGCTTAAAGGTGAGAATATATAAAAAGCATTTTTACTGGCTTAAGTATCGGCAACCTTAAATTATTTTCTTCCACTACGAAGAAGACAGCCGATGACTTAAGCCAGTCAGAAAAGCGTCTAATGTATTCTCACCTTAAGTCATCGGCTGGCTTCTTCGTAAGAGATGAGCAAGTATATATTATGGGACGAAATTGAACTAAACTAACTTAAAACTTCTTTGTCCTTTTCGAAGAGGCCAGCCGATGACCTCAGACAGTAAAAAACTTGTTCTATGTGTTTAAGTAATGGGCTGGCTGACTAGATTAAATTATGGACCAAACCCGAACTACGTCACCCTAATTATTTTAGCTCTTTTTTAACGGGCGTTTACACTAGAGACCATGGCAGAAGAATACAGGTAGATGCATCAACGCTTGGGAGCATTGATATGTCAAAAAAATTTAAATGTTTTTTCAAATATAAGTAGAATTTTATATGTTTTCTTATACGACGTCATTCGGAGACTATTATAATTCGCGTTTTCAACAATTTTTACAAATTTTAATAACTTTTCATTAAACATTTTCAATTCCAAAATTGGTTTGACAGTTCATTGTCCCAGCAGCTGTGTCGACGCGTCTACCTATATTCTTCTACCATGCTAGAGACATTGTCTTGAATCCGAGTTGCTATTAACTACCACATACAGACAGAGCCGATTGATTTTCTCATTGTCTAAATTTTTTCTTCCCTCCATTCGGGGAAAGCATTGTACATCTGAAAGTTCTTCAACAAATTTTACTTCGATTTTCCGGGCCTTGTTGAATTTTTTTTCGATATAGAGACGTTTGTTTGAAGTAGTCCATCCTCCTACGCCGATTGTGAAATTTGTATTGCGGTAGTATTGAGGTGAGAATACATAAAACGCTTTTTGACTGACTTAAGTCATCGACATGGTAGAATAAAGAAGATAATATCATGCAATCATATATTTACAATTTTTCAAAATAATTAATTTGACAACATCTTATTGTCAAAATATTTATATATAAGTCCATTGTATATACACAAATCAGAGATGGGAACCTGCTTTCTTTGCAGTTAAACTTTGACAAGGTAAATTACAGAAAATGCAGAGGTGGGAATGCTTATTTGAAATGACTTCAACTTCTTAATTTTACCATGGTCATCGGCTGGCTTCTTCGGAAAATAACAAAGGAGCGTAGGGCCTAAACCGAACTAAGTCAACCTAAAACTCCATTATTTCTCTACAAAGAAACCAGCTGATGACTTAAGACAGTCAAAAAAGCGTTTTATATATTCTCACCGTTAGCCTTGTTTTTAGTACGTTTACACATACTAAATTGAATTCCATTGCGTTTATATCAAATGATTTGATTTTATTTGACATTTACGCAATGAAATTGATACTGGAAATCCACTGGATTTGTGACGCAGGGTCAATAATTACAGTGAACTTTTGTTCTTCGACATAGGGTCTAAACATAACAGTACAGTACAACATGAAATTAAATTGCCAACTCTTGCTCTGTTCTAGAACTTTTAATAATCTAGTAGTTTTACATTTTTTGAAATATCATAAAGGGAAAATCGGTTATAGTTGTAAAAACTTTTACATTCTTGTAGATCTTTAGCAGACCATCTATTCTCTCAAAGTTGAAGAATCTACTTATTTTGTAATTTTATTTCGATATCGTAATGGGAAACTCGTTTATCATAGTAACATAATTTACATTCTTACAGTTGTGAACAGAGCAATTAATATAAGACCTACCTCCCTCATTGAAGCCTACTCGCAATTCGTCTTTGCCAGGCCAAGAATTTTCCTTCTCCTCATTACTTTTTATTACGTTTATGTTACAGTTAAACAATTATTTTTCACGTGTTTGTTTTTGTTCTTATTGTTGGTGCTGCTGCTGCTAGCTTTTGGTTAAGTGGACGCACAACATGGCACGCCATCTTCAAGCATGAATCGATTTTATCAGAATTTCTTTTTATTTAACCAAATAAATCGAGGGTAATGACAATAAATTAAAACCAACGGTTCCAGTTGGAATGCAACTCCAGTTGGATACAAAGTAATAAACCTACATTCCTTTACCGTTTCTAATTAGCCTAGATGGCGAAGATGGCGTGAGAAATCCTGTTTTTTGGGGATACGTTTTTTTTTCACAGGAATCACCACCAGAGACTGGTAAGTGGAGACTTGCATATACTATTTTACTTTATATACAATGCGCTCATCGATAATCTATTTTATATACTACTCAAGTACATTGACAGATTTTAAGTGTAAAAATGAAACGGATATTGGATTTACTGATAATATTTAATAGAGTTATGACTCTAAAGATGAGAATACATAAAACGCTTTTTTGTCTGGCTTAAGTCATCGGCTGGCTTCTTCGGAAAAGAACAAAGGAGCGTAGGGCCAAAATCGAACTAAGTCAACCTAGAACTCAACGAAGAAGCCACCCGATGACTTATGTCCGTCAAAAAAGTATTTTATGTACTCTCACCTTAATTCTTGTGTTTTATATTTTTAATCATTGTCCCTATATACTAAACATAACGGTACTTAATCCTAGATTTTGTTTACATAATTTATCCTTAAAAAAAATACAACAACAATCCTTAAGTTTACAGATGTTAATCAGTTGATCTTAAGATGATCGTTACAAAGGAAGTTCACACTAAATGATATGTTATCAACTAATGACTAATAGGGTAGTTCACATTAAATCAATCATCTTTAAGGAACACTTCAATCTCCTTAGAGCTTATGACAAATACAAAAATGCGGAGATGGACTAGAAAAATGCGGTGTTGGCAAATAATGTCTTTTAAAGAAGAAAGAAATAAAAGACGCGCTTTCAAATTGTGGAGATACTGAATTCCCTTTGATGCAGGTGGGTATTGAAATATCCAGAGAAGACAATATTTAGCGTCATATGTAGTTCCCTCGGAAAGGATCGTCTAATACCCAAGTTTCGTAGTAAAAAGTTTTACTTTCCTGTAACTCACTCTAGCAACCGTAGCTCTGAATATCCCTGCGGTCTGCTTGAGTACTTATTAAGGTATCTTGCAACCGTATCCTTGAATATCATTGCAGTCCTTTTTAGTATTTATTAATTACTCTTGCAACCGTAGTTCTAAGATTCCCATTTTTGAAGTCAGAATATTCGAAGAACAACAATATATATTCTTGATCAGCATAAAATTCGATGTCGAATTAGCGATGTCCGTCCGTCTGTGGAAATCACTGTAGCTTCCGAACGAAATGAAGTGAGTTGATAAAATTTTACTCAAATGTATATTATGTCTGCAGGAGTTTTGGTATTGAAAAAGGGCCATGTAAGTTTTCGTTTTGGTATAGCCCCCATATAATGGAACCTCCCTATTTTCGGTATTTTGGCGATTTAAGCGACATTATTTACCGGAAATCTTTCAAATTTGGTATTTGAAGTTCGTAATGGATACAGCCTTAGACACAAAATTGTCTGTGCAGGTTCAAGTTCTTCGTATAGCCCCCATGTTACTGTACCTTCCGATATTCTGTATTTTGATGATTTAATCGACATTATTCACCGGAATTGCTTCAAATTTGGTATTTGATGTTCGTAATGGACACTAAAGCCTAAGACAGAAAATTGTCTGTGCAGGTCCACGTTTTGGTATAGCCCCCATATAAAGGTACCTCCCGATATTCGGAATTTTCATGATTTTAGCGACATTATTCATAGGAATTGCTTCAAATTTGGTATTTGAACTTCGTAATGGATATTACAACTTTTTTACTTGTTGTAGACTCCAATCTCAAAGAAGTGATTCAAAGGCGATCTTATATTTTGATCATCTATACCGACTGCCTGACTTTTCTGCTCGTCGACAATTAACCACCTGTCCTTTAAATCGTTTATAAGACATTAACGTTTCTTCAAGCTTTCTATAATATACTGTCATGTATGAAAGTATATAGACTCCCAGCCCCTCTGCTCTTCCCCAACATACTCCCTGGGCCTTCAGTTTCTCGTTTTGTTGCCTTTGATTTATCAGCAATGTCACGTGTCATAATTGACCTTTACATGAAGGCCTTAACTGCCTGCCCGCGGTGTTACATCTTCAGAAGATTTGACAAGGTCATGTCGGCCAAAAAAATACGGTTTCCGGCATTATTAACACACACATAGACACAACAAATTAAAATCCTTCAACATAACCTTCATGTGTGCAGAGATTTTTTTGTTGGTTTGTTTTGAAAATTTACTTTAAACTGGCATCGATTTTTCAACAAATGAGAGAACCGTTATCAGACGGCATATCATGAAATTTTCCTAATTAGGTTTGTTGTTGTTTTTTTTTTCTAACTACACACACATGCACATACATACATGTATATAATACAGTATAATGGATGGTGATACTTACCCTGGCATAACAGGTAGATATGATGTGGTAGAGTCCAATGTGCGAATGGTGGTATTACCACGGACCACCAATTTTTCGCGTGTTACACGGCGAAAGGTTTCTTCTTGACGCATTTTTGGGGATTTACTTTACTTTCACAAAGTTTCCAATATTTTTGAATTTTTTTCTATACTTTTTCCATTGGCACTTTGATCGCTCTCCTATTTTTTTGTTATTGTATTTTATCCGTTCTGCGTGGCTTTCCTAGGCCAAATCGTATTTCACACTATGCCCCAAGTGTGGGTTGGATGCTGTGTATAAGGCTTTCGAATTGAAGAAGGAGGATGATGATGATGACAGATGCTTTAACACTTGTTAGGCTGCTTCTGCGTTTGCAGTGCGCAGGATTGAAAATTGATAAATGTTTTGAATTCAAGATTTTGTTTTGAAATTATTTGCATTTTGTTCTTCTTCTTTTTTCTTGGTTAATTATTTAGAGGAAATTTCCACTTTTATTACACAACTGCATTCACTCAAGGATATTTTTGCATTGTTCCAGCCAGTTACGGTGGCCAGTTTTGTTTTCTATTTGCCGTTTCGTGTGTCTAATATTGTCGTCATCGTCATTTGACCATTTGCTTGTGCCTGGTGGGGGTATGTTAGGTTGGAACGATTTACGAGTTTTCTTTTATCCTTTTTAAGGAAGGAAAACATGCTTGGTGAAAGGGTGCAAAGGGCTAAAGGTATTGACGGATATTATAGACGGAAAAGAACAAAGGAGCGTAGGGCCAAAATCGAACTAAGTCAACCTAAATCTCCTTTGTTTCTCTACAAAGAAGCTAGCCGACGACTTAAAGGTGAGAATACATAAAATGCTCTTTAACTGGCTTCTTTTTAAAATAACAAAGGAGTTTTAGGTTGACTTAGTTCGATTTTGGCCATATACTCCTCTGTTCTTTTCCGAAGAAGCCAGCCGATGACTTAAGCCAGTTAAATTATGTATTCTCATCTTTAGCTCGTCTATATTGTACCCCAATTTTGACAATTGAGTCACTGAGAGTTTGCAAAATTTAATTTTCTCATTTGGTCAGTATCATCAGCTGATAGAAAATAAACGTTTTTTTACGTAGAAAAAAATTATTAGACATTTCTGGCAATAATTTAATTGTTTTTCACATTTATAGTCTCCCCCCTGCTTTTTTAACTTTCAGCCAATTTATTTCCAGTCCACCCCAATATTTACGCCATAGCTTTGGTCATTTTTTTTCTAATGGTCATTTTTTTTCTAAATTTGTGTCCACATAGATTTATTTATTGACAACAGGTAGTAGTTTTTTTTTCTTGGTGTCTGATAGATATTTTCTTTTTTATTTTGAATCAATTTAATTGATAGTTGTTTTTCGTTTAACGTTTAATATTAAATCAATAAATGTGCCATTACGAATTACAAGTTTTGTGTATTTGCCAATTTCAAATTGAATATGAATGGTTATTTAATTGCATCTGTATAGAAACATCAAAAAATAGTCTAACAATTTATGTAAATTTTTTTCGTAGTTGTATATTGTTCTTTCTTTTTTTTCTAGTTTACAACAAGAGTATTTAAAAAAATTGGATAGAAAATATGATTTGTTAACATATCTATTGATATTTACGGGCAGAACGTGCCTTCCAGGCTTTGATCAAATTATAGGAGAAATACAAAGTGAAACCGTGTATTTGGAAACCCACAAAACAGAAAGCATACCACAATAGGCCATAGGGTAGACCCTGAAATTGAAATAAAACATTAATATTTTACTTTTATGTCTTAAAACTTAAAAAACTAAAAAAAAACTTAAAAATCATCATTTAACTCACCCTCCACAGGAAAATATCGGTTTCCTCCAAATCGGATTTATCTTCTAGGCTAAGATATTCCAAAACATCACCGAAATAATAGACAAAACAGTAGAGCAGTGGCAGCACACCAAACAGTCCCAGGGTAAGCCAGTTAAATTATGTATTCTCATCTTTAGCTCGTCTATATTGTACCCCAATTTTGACAATTGAGTCACTGAGAGTTTGCAAAATTTAATTTTCTCATTTGGTCAGTATCATCAGCTGATAGAAAATAAACGTTTTTTTACGTAGAAAAAAATTATTAGACATTTCTGGCAATAATTTAATTGTTTTTCACATTTATAGTCTCCCCCCTGCTTTTTTAACTTTCAGCCAATTTATTTCCAGTCCACCCCAATATTTACGCCATAGCTTTGGTCATTTTTTTTCTAATGGTCATTTTTTTTCTAAATTTGTGTCCACATAGATTTATTTATTGACAACAGGTAGTAGTTTTTTTTTCTTGGTGTCTGATAGATATTTTCTTTTTTATTTTGAATCAATTTAATTGATAGTTGTTTTTCGTTTAACGTTTAATATTAAATCAATAAATGTGCCATTACGAATTACAAGTTTTGTGTATTTGCCAATTTCAAATTGAATATGAATGGTTATTTAATTGCATCTGTATAGAAACATCAAAAAATAGTCTAACAATTTATGTAAATTTTTTTCGTAGTTGTATATTGTTCTTTCTTTTTTTTCTAGTTTACAACAAGAGTATTTAAAAAAATTGGATAGAAAATATGATTTGTTAACATATCTATTGATATTTACGGGCAGAACGTGCCTTCCAGGCTTTGATCAAATTATAGGAGAAATACAAAGTGAAACCGTGTATTTGGAAACCCACAAAACAGAAAGCATACCACAATAGGCCATAGGGTAGACCCTGAAATTGAAATAAAACATTAATATTTTACTTTTATGTCTTAAAACTTAAAAAACTAAAAAAAAACTTAAAAATCATCATTTAACTCACCCTCCACAGGAAAATATCGGTTTCCTCCAAATCGGATTTATCTTCTAGGCTAAGATATTCCAAAACATCACCGAAATAATAGACAAAACAGTAGAGCAGTGGCAGCACACCAAACAGTCCCAGGGTAAGCCAGTTAAATTATGTATTCTCATCTTTAGCTCGTCTATATTGTACCCCAATTTTGACAATTGAGTCACTGAGAGTTTGCAAAATTTAATTTTCTCATTTGGTCAGTATCATCAGCTGATAGAAAATAAACGTTTTTTTACGTAGAAAAAAATTATTAGACATTTCTGGCAATAATTTAATTGTTTTTCACATTTATAGTCTCCCCCCTGCTTTTTTAACTTTCAGCCAATTTATTTCCAGTCCACCCCAATATTTACGCCATAGCTTTGGTCATTTTTTTTCTAATGGTCATTTTTTTTCTAAATTTGTGTCCACATAGATTTATTTATTGACAACAGGTAGTAGTTTTTTTTTCTTGGTGTCTGATAGATATTTTCTTTTTTATTTTGAATCAATTTAATTGATAGTTGTTTTTCGTTTAACGTTTAATATTAAATCAATAAATGTGCCATTACGAATTACAAGTTTTGTGTATTTGCCAATTTCAAATTGAATATGAATGGTTATTTAATTGCATCTGTATAGAAACATCAAAAAATAGTCTAACAATTTATGTAAATTTTTTTCGTAGTTGTATATTGTTCTTTCTTTTTTTTCTAGTTTACAACAAGAGTATTTAAAAAAATTGGATAGAAAATATGATTTGTTAACATATCTATTGATATTTACGGGCAGAACGTGCCTTCCAGGCTTTGATCAAATTATAGGAGAAATACAAAGTGAAACCGTGTATTTGGAAACCCACAAAACAGAAAGCATACCACAATAGGCCATAGGGTAGACCCTGAAATTGAAATAAAACATTAATATTTTACTTTTATGTCTTAAAACTTAAAAAACTAAAAAAAAACTTAAAAATCATCATTTAACTCACCCTCCACAGGAAAATATCGGTTTCCTCCAAATCGGATTTATCTTCTAGGCTAAGATATTCCAAAACATCACCGAAATAATAGACAAAACAGTAGAGCAGTGGCAGCACACCAAACAGTCCCAGGGTAAGCCAGTTAAATTATGTATTCTCATCTTTAGCTCGTCTATATTGTACCCCAATTTTGACAATTGAGTCACTGAGAGTTTGCAAAATTTAATTTTCTCATTTGGTCAGTATCATCAGCTGATAGAAAATAAACGTTTTTTTACGTAGAAAAAAATTATTAGACATTTCTGGCAATAATTTAATTGTTTTTCACATTTATAGTCTCCCCCCTGCTTTTTTAACTTTCAGCCAATTTATTTCCAGTCCACCCCAATATTTACGCCATAGCTTTGGTCATTTTTTTTCTAATGGTCATTTTTTTTCTAAATTTGTGTCCACATAGATTTATTTATTGACAACAGGTAGTAGTTTTTTTTTCTTGGTGTCTGATAGATATTTTCTTTTTTATTTTGAATCAATTTAATTGATAGTTGTTTTTCGTTTAACGTTTAATATTAAATCAATAAATGTGCCATTACGAATTACAAGTTTTGTGTATTTGCCAATTTCAAATTGAATATGAATGGTTATTTAATTGCATCTGTATAGAAACATCAAAAAATAGTCTAACAATTTATGTAAATTTTTTTCGTAGTTGTATATTGTTCTTTCTTTTTTTTCTAGTTTACAACAAGAGTATTTAAAAAAATTGGATAGAAAATATGATTTGTTAACATATCTATTGATATTTACGGGCAGAACGTGCCTTCCAGGCTTTGATCAAATTATAGGAGAAATACAAAGTGAAACCGTGTATTTGGAAACCCACAAAACAGAAAGCATACCACAATAGGCCATAGGGTAGACCCTGAAATTGAAATAAAACATTAATATTTTACTTTTATGTCTTAAAACTTAAAAAACTAAAAAAAAACTTTAAAATCATCATTTAACTCACCCTCCACAGGAAAATATCGGTTTCCTCCAAATCGGATTTATCTTCTAGGCTAAGATATTCCAAAACATCACCGAAATAATAGACAAAACAGTAGAGCAGTGGCAGCACACCAAACAGTCCCAGGGTAAGCCAGTTAAATTATGTATTCTCATCTTTAGCTCGTCTATATTGTACCCCAATTTTGACAATTGAGTCACTGAGAGTTTGCAAAATTTAATTTTCTCATTTGGTCAGTATCATCAGCTGATAGAAAATAAACGTTTTTTTACGTAGAAAAAAATTATTAGACATTTCTGGCAATAATTTAATTGTTTTTCACATTTATAGTCTCCCCCCTGCTTTTTTAACTTTCAGCCAATTTATTTCCAGTCCACCCCAATATTTACGCCATAGCTTTGGTCATTTTTTTTCTAATGCGGCATTTTTTTTGTTTTTAATTTCACTTTTTTGTGTTTTTGTCCCCACGTTTTACAGTTAAGGGTGGTTGTTGTATGGTGCACTTTTTTCACTGACATAATGTAGAATGTAACGGAGAATGAGAATATAAATACAGGTATGGTGTGAGAGAATTTAACATAAAATTGACGTTTTAATAAATTCGATGTCAAAACAAGTGTACTATTAGGTTAGGTTGAAGGAAAGATTAGAATATTAAAGGGGTTTTTGGGAAATTTGGGGTTTTCGGATAAAATGCGTGTTATCCATAGAAGATCGATGAAAGGATATTTACTGTTAAGGTGAGAATACATAAAATGCTTTTTTGACTGCCTTAGGTCATCGGCGGAAATGAGTCCTGTTGGAATGTCCAAGGTCTGTGGCCAAAATGTTTGGGTGCCCTAGGCTTCAATACACCCTCCAGATTATTTTCGCGTTAATATTCGGCATTTATTCTAATGCCACGGTCGATTTTTTACTTTTCGAACCATTTCTGCTGATTTTGCTGTTTTCTTCCGTCCACTGTCTTGACGTCGGGCTACTCTACCAGTATCACGGTAACGAGACACAAAAGATTTATTCGCATTTAAATGCTAGAGTGCTCTAACGATAGCCACTTGTGATTTTCCAGCCAAATATAAAGAAATCACACTATCACGCTTTTCTGGAAAATTCTCACCAAAATGCTTTTGTACGCTTGTAAACAATATAATAAGCTGTCACTAGAATAATTTTAACAACTAGGATGCAGTTTTTTTTATCTCACCATGTATTTATTCCCCTTTTTAGGAGATCTTTATATTTTTAATAGTTTAAGTGCAATCATACAATTACATTTTTTATATGAGGTCCTTCATAGTCAAATGTATATTTTATAGTTCTTACTTAAATATGGGCGTACAGCTGGCAAGACATTTACACTTGTTTCCCACCAAATATTTTTCAATTTTCACGCCTATAGAGAGAACCGGCTTTCGGCAAGGGCCCGGCATCGCGTGTAAAAAGTTTTAAAGTAGCCGGCCTTCGACATAGCCTCAGAGCTGTATTTCAGTTGATTTACGAACTGGTCTACCTCCTTATTATACCATGCCCTGTAATGGCTTATGACAAAAATTACCTATGCATTACATTCGTTATTTTTTAAAGTTTAACAGAATTGTTAACGGATTTTGTTTTTTTTGTAAATAGCTAAATCGTTCCAAATCGTGGAGAGTATTCAAAGTTCCTCCCGGCCGAAATTACAGTTTTTTTACTTGTTTTAGATTAGTTTTGTCGATGATTGCCAGCTTAACGTCTTTCTTGGGCATGACCAGGCCCTTGGTCTCATAATATTTCCTACATTTATGACCATGCGGTTTCAAGGTTGAATTTCTTCACAACAGTTGCCGAAATAGACGTTTCTCCCCCCAAGTTCTTTCTCCGACTTCATTGATAGTTTTCGGTATTGTTACACATTTTACTTTTCATAAAAGACCACAAGATATATTTCTTAGATGACTATATGATTTTTTTTCATAAGGACAGAAAGATATGGTTCCCAGGGAGATATTCTTCCTAGAAAACTATAAACGGTTTCCCATTTTTAAACTTATTTTTAAGTACATCAAAACACACTCCATTTCTAAACCACTGAGAGCAATAATTTATTTAACATTTAAAAATTTACAATTTATGAATAAAAAATAGATATATTTGTCTTCTAAAAAAATAAAAAGATAAAATGTGGCTTATTAAATGAAACTAATACAAAACTAGATATTAATAGTTCTTTTTTCTTCTTTGAATTAAAAGAAAATGTGGTCGTTTGAAGTTTGCAGCATTATTGCCGATAAACTAAAATAATGCCGCCACTTTCAAATGACCCGTTGAGGCACAAAACTAAATTCAACAAAAACAAACTAAGAACAGGGCAGTTTTACAAAAAAATATTAGTTAACTTTTGTTCTCCCTCTGGGAAAATTGTCATGTATTCCCGCACATAAACACACACGTGCTAAAGAACCACAAAGAATGGTCGTCATCATTATCGTTTAATGTAATAGAGTTAGGCACAGCTTATGAAACATAAAAATGTATAGCGTTTAAGTACTTTATTAAAATACATTAACAAATATATGTATATATTTTAAACTTTATATGTCTCTTGGTTTTCGTTACAATCTTCTGCACAAACATTTAGGAAAAGTAAATTTGTGTCCACATAGATTTATTTATTGACAACAGGTAGTAGTTTTTTTTTCTTGGTGTCTGATAGATATTTTCTTTTTTATTTTGAATCAATTTAATTGATAGTTGTTTTTCGTTTAACGTTTAATATTAAATCAATAAATGTGCCATTACGAATTACAAGTTTTGTGTATTTGCCAATTTCAAATTGAATATGAATGGTTATTTAATTGCATCTGTATAGAAACATCAAAAAATAGTCTAACAATTTATGTAAATTTTTTTCGTAGTTGTATATTGTTCTTTCTTTTTTTTCTAGTTTACAACAAGAGTATTTAAAAAAATTGGATAGAAAATATGATTTGTTAACATATCTATTGATATTTACGGGCAGAACGTGCCTTCCAGGCTTTGATCAAATTATAGGAGAAATACAAAGTGAAACCGTGTATTTGGAAACCCACAAAACAGAAAGCATACCACAATAGGCCATAGGGTAGACCCTGAAATTGAAATAAAACATTAATATTTTACTTTTATGTCTTAAAACTTAAAAAACTAAAAAAAAACTTAAAAATCATCATTTAACTCACCCTCCACAGGACAATATCGGTTTCCTCCAAATCGGATTTATCTTCTAGGCTAAGATATTCCAAAACATCACCGAAATAATAGACAAAACAGTAGAGCAGTGGCAGCACACCAAACAGTCCCAGGGTAATCATATACTTTTGCATGTCACGTATTTTATTGCCACGGGCCGCCGACAGACCGACAAATGATGTCAACAGCGAGGCCAACCATATGTATTCCCACCATAATGGTGCTGGCACCTCCAGCTCCTCAATTTCTAACACAAAAATGTCCAAACGATCCAAAATATCGGATGTTAGCTTGGCTAACATTACAAAAAATAGCAGGGCATGAAAGAAAATGCAATATTTCAGTCGGGATTTGTTTAACAGGCTGTAAGAAAAGAAGGGAAGAAGAGGAAATTAATAATACGAATATGGCATTCAGTACTAGGTTTGATTATTACTAATTCCCGAGTCATCAAGATATTAATTTTTAATCTTCACCTCCCAAAATTATATCCACGAAATATCCAAGGAATAAATCTCGAGATATGAAATCTGATTTGGTTAGAAACTGGGGAGAAAACCTTTAAAATGCCGAATATCGGGAGTTATCATTAAATGAGCGTTATACTAAAAAGTGGACCTATATAGAATATTTTTTTGCGATCAGTTATAAAACCCACGTAGAACCCAAAATAACCAATTGCAGGTGATTTTGTCGGAAAATGAGCAAAAATCTTTAAGATATCAAAAGTCAAGGGGTATCTTTACTAAAAAGTGGGCCCATATTGACTATTTTTAGAGAGGAGTTAAACCACTTACTGAGAAACCGAAATGCTTGAAAATATCGAAAATAGGGAGATAACGTTATATGGGCGCTACTCTTAAAAGGCGAGCTAATCGATTATTTTTATTGAGGAGTTAAACCACCTAATGAGAACCTGAAATACCAAATTACAGCTTATTTGGTTTGAAATTGGGGGCCGAAAGCTTTAAAAATTCGAAAATAGGGAGGTATCGTTATTCATTGGCTATATCAAAAAGTGGACCTATATTGAATATTTTTTGCGAGCAGTTAAACCAGCTATTGAGATTACGAAAAATATAAAATTTCAGCTGATTTTGTCGGAAATTGGGCCAAAACCTTTAAAATATCGAAAATCGGGAGGTATTGTTATATGGAGAGCATTCCATAAAGTGGACTCACATTGAATATTTTTTGCGAGGATCTAAACCACCAATTAAAGCAGAGTTGATTGGAAACTTTGGGCCAAAACCTTTCAAATACCAAACCAGTAAGGAAAGGTTAACCACCAAATCGGATGAAACATATATATGGGAGCTATAGCTATATCTGAACCAATTTTCTCCGAATTCAATCTGCTTGATTCTAGACTTAATTAAGTCGGATGAACCAAAATTAAGGACTTTTGGACTGATATTGGCCATTGGGTGCACAGTTGAAGATATATATGGGAGCTATATCCAAATCCAAACCGATGTTGATAAAATTGTTCAGAGGTATTTCTGGGCTGTATCTGTTATCTATTACCAAATATGATTGTTATCAAATTCATACTACGAATTTGAGGGACTTAAACACCGAATCGGATGAAACATATATATGGGAGCTATAGCTATATCTGAACCGATTTTCACCAAATTTGATGTACTTGCTTCTAGACTGAATTCGATCTGATGTTCCAAAATTCAGGTGATTTGGACTGTTATTGGCCATTTGGTGCACAATTAACTCAAAATCGGTTGAAGATATATATGGGTACTATATTCAAATCTGAACCGATCTTGATAAAATTTGGCAGATGTATTTCGGCGCTGTATATGATATCTGATACCAAACATCATTCTTGTGGGGTGCATATTACATATGTTTGAATTCGGTTGGATGTGCCAAAATTCATGCCATTTGGACTTATATTGGCAATTTGGTGCACAATTAACCCAATAGGGTTCGTCCTTGGGCTAAACAAATATTGTTTGGAAAATTTCATCTCAATCGGGTAATAAATGCGACCTGCTTTACAATAGATTTTGTTGGAAATAAGAGACCGAAACTTAAGAAATATAAAATATAGTCTGGAGGTACCGCTTTATGGTGGCCATTTCTAAGAATCCATTTCAAGATGTTGAAAACGGAACAAATCGGCCATATTCCCTGCTGGGAGCCAATACCATAACGCGTACTGGCACTGAAAATAAACCGCTAAATTACAACCAATTTGGTTGGGAAATGTATGACAAGCTTTCAAATGACCTTAAATCGGAATGTATTGTAAAATCCGGAGGAATGACAACCATACCAAAGTTTGGATTTAAACGATTTTTCACAGAAAGATATGGTGCGTTTGTCTAAACCTTAAGCAAACACAAGCGATAATAGAATATTTTCAACTATAAAAAATATGAATTAAAAGTTTTCCTGACACACTGTAGATCATTGTGTGCCTTATCATCCTCATAAAGGGACACATTATGAAGTTTGTTTACGTTTTCTAATTTGAACTGACCACCTATAGCTTCTTATCTACCCCTGAACACGTTGCACTTGCCACGTCCTCAACGTTGAGGAAAAGAATAACAACAACTTGTCTTATACCAGCATGTCAGATATGCTGCCATGTTGTTGTTATTTTTCTTGCATTCAATATTGCATCAGGTCAATACTTTAACAACAGCATCGAAAATGCCAATGAAATTGGTCACCCACCAACATGGGCAGAGCACTTTTTTTCTGTAGTAATAAAAATAATGGGAAAATAACATAATAGCCAAGACAAAAACAAAACACAGTCGTCCAAGCAAAAACAATTGTAAACAAATTCTGGCACATTGCCCAATGTGCGGTGGCAGAGGCTACAACAATAATATATTGTAGGATTTGTTAGCTAGGTACAAAGTATGTAGGAAACACATCAAAAAAACAGCAACCAGCTCAACAATATATTAGCAAATGAAATAAATTGTGGAGCCCTAAAACAAAAACAAGAAAAAAATAATAATATATAAGAAGAGAGACAGTAGTCATTTGTCTACGACAACAATACGCAACATACGTACATACATACGTTGACTATAGAAAGATGTGAATGCAAATGGATTACCACTTTCGATGATACTTTCTTTGGATGTAAATTTCATTTGTTGTTGTTGTTGTTATGAGCTGGTGGTGTCAAACACAATTATGCAAAACACCACTCATCATCATCCAATAAATTAGGCCAAACGATAACCAATCTCCTTCGAGTACACCTTATAAAATAATCACTAAACTTATGTTAACTATATTATATCTATTAACCTAATTTGATGCGGTGCAGCTACTCGTTGTCTATATTCGAAATCAGTGCCATCCGTCCCAGCTACAACTGGCCCAACACCTCGAGTTGCCATTTTTCTGTTGTTGCTTTGCTTTTGTCGTTTCTTTTAGTTTTTAAGTTAAAAATATATATCCAATAGTTTTGATTCTCTCTTTTCTTAATTTTAACAATCACAAATCATTGCACTTTGGTTAATTTACGTTCACACAATAACGGAACGGTCGTTGTTTCGTATTAAAAATAAAAATTTTCAAAAAAAAAGGTTGAAATTGGCTGGGTATCGGTGGTTATAACTTTGATCAAAAAAAGAAAAAAATAATTGACTGAAGAAATTAGGGTTAGGTGGATCGACTTTGGAGCAATCGATTAAAATGCAATGATTAGAAATCGATTTTGTTGTGGGCAGTATTAGTGACGTTTTGGTAGATGTGGCAACATTGAATGTGTGCTTTCCACCAATTTTGATGGTCAGATGCAGAGGATTTCCTAGAAACTGAGTTTATTTGTAAAGAGGGGAGAGAGATAAGAAAAGTGCTACCATTTTTACGCATGCGAGGGACTTTAACATCAAATCGTATGAAACATACGTGGGAGTTATAGGTATTTCTGAACCGATTCTCACCAAAATTTGAAGTACACCTAAGTCTGTTTTTACACGGTCTTTTTGTACACGGTTTTGATATAACATGGTTTGAAAATTGAATATTTTTAATTTTTTTACACTATTTTATTCCATTTAGCACGATTTGAAATTTTATGTACTTAAATTTTTTTGTCAAATTTAATTTTTGCGAAGCTGGTCAAAGCAAATGTGAATAGCACTAATTTAGGGGAATTCCCTTTATGTGCATACAATAAAATTTACTGGTCAGAGCAATTGAAACGTGTTAATATTTTGTGAACTGTCAATGCAATAAGACGTGTTTGGTAAAAAAAATAAAAAAATTAAAAATTCTTGTTTTTCACTAATATTAATAAGTTTTAGAGATTAGGAACAAATTACCCATTTTTGTATAAGATCAATGTCTATTTTACACGGTTTTTTTTTACACGGCTTCTTCTGGAACCAATCTACCGTGTAAAAACAGACTTAGGTGTATTTCCTTCTGGGCTGTATTCCATCAGAATTTAGTCCATTTGGATGAAACATATGTATGGGAGCTATTTACTACTAATTTCTAGAATACACTCAGGCGGAATTACGAAGATTTAGCTCATTTGGGCTGATATTAACCATTTGGTGGACAAAAAATCTGATATTCGATAAAGATATATATGGGAGCAATATTTTTATCTGATCCGATCTCGATAAAATTTGACAGAGATATTTCTGGGCTATATCTAATATTTTGCGGAGTGCATATTAAGCATGTGAGGGACTTAAAAGCACAAACCGGATGAAGCATATATATGAAGCTAAAGCTATATCTGAACTGATTTTCATAAAATTTTGTATACTTTTTTCTAGACTGAATTCGGTCGGATGTAACAGATTTCATTTGGACTGATATTGGCCATTTGGTGCACAATTAACCCGAAATCGGTGGAAGATATATATAGGAGCTATAGGGTTCGTCCTCGGTGAACATTTTATTTCATGTTTGCGGCCGGCTAATTGGCCGTAAAGATCGAGCGATGCACCGTTTTAGATTAGTTTTTGTAGGGCTGGGCTCATGTCTATAAAGACGAACACAACATATGGACCTTAATATCAATTCAAATAAATATTTCTTACATTTTTCTTCATTTGATGTGTCTTTTTAACTTTCCTGTATTTTTAAAAAAAAATTATCTTTTACATGTATTCAACTCCTGTGATGAAAAACATCGAAGGCGTGCGTCAGGTATTAGGTAGGGATGTTATAAGTCGTTAAAATATCGATTCATTCATAAGACAATAAATCGATCTGTATGTCCCTAATAATAAACAACAAAGTTTTTGTCTGGAAGCACATCACTTGAACAATGTTCGAGAAAAAAACTGATAAAAACAAACAGGAACAAAAGCCTCGAGATGATGGTATTGAATTGGAGAATCAATATATTCTACGTCTTCCCGAAGAGGTGGCCAAGGCGTTGAGAGAAGCAGTCAATTCACCCAACTCAAATCTAAAAGATCGCATGACAATACAATTGGACAATGATTTGCGCTATGGTGAGGTACGGTTTGACCATTGGTTGTTGCATGCCAAGGTTGTGGATCTCCCAACCATAATTGAGTGCCTCAAGACCATAGATAACAAAAGTTTTTACAAATCGGCAGATATTTGTCAAATGGTAAGTAATAAGATCTATTTTTGTGCACCATCACGTAAACGTCGTTTTTTGTATACAGATGATTTGCAAAGAGGAACCCCATGATCTGGACAAGGAAGAATCCCCTAACAAGGGAAAGAAAAAAGATCCAAATAAGGTAGATAAAAAGTTCTTGTGGGCCCATGGTATAACGCCGCCATGCAAAAATGTGCGCAAACGTCGTTTCCGTAAAACGTTGAAAAAGAAAAATGTGGAAGTTCCCGAAATTGAGAAGGAAGTAAAACGTCTATTACGCATAGACAATGATGCCGTTAAAGTTGAATTTGAAATTATCAACGAAGATCTATCCAAGTCAACGGATTCTCAATTGAAAGATAGCATGGAGGGTGAAGAAGAATTTATGGATGATACTATGAATGATGGTGACAAGGGTAACAATGATTCGTCGTCGCAAAAGGATATTAATGTCGAGTCGGATGGTGATGATGAAGATGGTCCATCGGGATCGGTACCCTCAGGACATTTGGGTGTGGGAGAACATGATATCTTTGGTGAAGAAGTATCCTCATCTGACGATGACGAAGACATTGAACGACACGATAACAGTCGTATGCAAGATATGGATGAAACATCACGTATGTCGGCCGATGATTCTCGCATGTCCTACTTCTCTGTGGGTGGCGGCAATAACACGAATATGAGTGCCAAGACTGGTGGTCTTAACACTTCCAAGGATGATTTGAATGATTATAGTAAATCAATATTTGGCAGTCCCAAACAGGGCGATGATGACAACTCCAAATTTGGTGGTTCAAATTCGAACTTGGCTGGTGTTGGCTATTTTGATGATCGCAAACGTACACTATCCGATGATGATTCATCTAATGATGCTACCCCACAAATGAGTGTCGATCAGATACAAGCTAAAATTTCTGAATTACGTGGTCAATTGGATGACATCAAGGCCCAGCATACGCAGAAGGCGAAGGAAATATCTTCAATACAAAATCCAACGCTGCGACAAAGAATGCAAGACACATTGGATAATTTGGCAAGTCAGATGGTGGAAAAAGAATTGGAAATTAAAGATTATGAGAATATGCTGTAGATGGAATAATAGTAGTTAAGGGAGGGAGGGAGTAGAAATATATGATCAATCGTTGCGTTTTAAGATTCGATAATGTGTAAATAAATTATATATGTATTAATAAGTTTATGTTTATTCTAATGATTATTTTTGCATAGGGGGGTTTTAAAGGTCTTAATGCGAAGTCCTTTGAATAAGTTTTTATATAAAAGGACTTAAAGCGTCTTATCCGTGTGAAAACATTAAAAATCGTTACCTTTTCTCTATAATATCATGTGTAGAAGTTTTTGGAATCGCCCACGGCCCTATGGACTAGGTTACTGGTATTAAATAAAAAAAAATTGTTGAGCAAAAACTTTTATGGAACCTATTTTCTATAGGGAAATCAGTCTTCGAAGTGCATTTCTACAAAAAAAATATCGACATTCTTATTACCATGAACTACTTCCGTAAAGGAAAATGTGTTATGGGACATTTGTCTAGAATATTGGTTATCGAAACAATTTTGTATGGAAAAATTCGTTAACCGAAAAATTTTTAGTTATTTATAGTTATCGAACAATTATGGTCTGTTCCAGAATAACGCTTTTTACGGGATAATTTTATCAATGGAAAACGTTGTTATCGAAAAGTCATTCTGTTATCGAACAGAATAAAATTTATATTAAAAAAGTTTGTTTTTTTATAAAAAAGGTTGTTATCGAACATATTTTATATAGGAAATGATTGTCAATCAACTTTTATTTGATAAAGTTCGGTATCGGACCACTTTTATATAAAAAAAGATTGTTATCGAACAACTTCTTTGCGTCAGATGTTGTTATCAGAACAATTCTTCTTTAGAAAAGGTTGTTATCGAACAGCATGTTGAAAGATAATCTTGTTATCGAAGATATTTTCCACTGAAATAGATTGTTATCAAACATATTTTATACAGAATATGACTGTCGAAGAGCTTTTTTTATTGCTAGGGTTGTTATCGAACAACATTTATGTAATGAAGGCAGTTATCGGACCACTTTTCTTTAAAAAAAGAAATTGATCTCGGACAATTTTTCTTTAGAGTAGATTGTTATCGAGCAGCATATGGAAATATGTTGTTATCGAATAAATTTCCAATAAAAAAGTTGTTATCGATCATACTTTATATAGAAAATGATTGTCGAACAACTTTTTTTTATTAAAAAGGTTATCCGACAACTTTTATTTACTAAATGCTATCAGACCACTTTTCTTTATAAAAAATTGATATCGAACAATTCATCTTTAGAATAGGCTGTTATCGAACAACATGTTAAAAGATTATGTTATGTTGTTTTCACTGAAAAGGTTGTTATCGAACAACTTTTCAATAGAATGTATTGCTATCGAACATATTTTATACATATATATAAAATATTTATATAATATGGTTGTCGAACAACTATTTCTATGAAAAGCTTGTTATCGAACAACTTTTATGTAATGATGGTTGTTAGCTGACCACTTTTTTTTATAAAAAAGAGATGGATGTCGAACATTTTTTCTTTAGAGTAGGTTGTCATCGAGCATCATATTTAAATATATTGTTATTTATATTTCCAATAGAAAAATATTTTACCAATCAACTTTTTCTATAAAAAAATCATCGAACATAGTTTTTACAGAAAATGGTTGTCGATAAACAATTTTAATTGGAAAGGTTGTTATCGAACAACTTATGTATACTAAACGTTGTTATCAGACCACTTTTCTTAGCGGTTCCTTAGCGGTTGAAATTGCTTAACATTTGTAAATATGTTTTTACGATATCATAACAACAGAGGTCTTTTTCACAGGGTTGCCATATTTTACTCTGTCTTGTCCTATCTTTATACTTCTATGTCTTTGAATTTTTCTTTAGAACATTGTCATAAAACAACATATTGTTGTCGAACAACTTTTCCATAGAAAGGATTGTTGCGAAGAATTTTGATTTGCTAAAGCACAATTTTTTTAGAAAAGCTTTTCATCGAACAACTATTCTATAGAAATTATAATCATTGAATGATTGTTATATGGTCAATATCGCTATCGAACAACTCTTCTACGAACCCCTTTACTATATAAAAAACCTATCAAATAACACATTATCATTCCCCAGTTCAAGCGCAAATGCTTCGAACCGTTATAAATGCCAACATGCGTATAATGTTGTTACCGATCACATTTGGCAGCAGCAATATATAAATAAATACAACACAAAACTCCCTTGTTATTAGGGTCTGATTTTATTGTTTTTGTTTCTGTTATACGATAGGTAATATGAGAAAAAACGATTTAAGAATAATAATAATAGAGATAATTAAATGTTTAAACAAATTGTGTTAGTAAGTATGTGTGCGTGTGTGTATGATATAATATTTATATTGGTAAAATATGTGGGAACAAAAATAAACGGAAAGGAAATGTAATCTTATGTCTATTTATGTTTATTTTTTTATCAATATTCGCAAGAAACGTATTAGTAAACAAAGATTAATTTACAAAGAAAAAACTTTGATTTTTGAAAGAAAAAAAAAAACGATAAAATATAGATATGTTGCTTATCAAATAACGTACATAATTTTAAAAATTATTATTAAATAATATTTTTGTATTGAATATTCTTTTTTATTTTAATATATTCTATGAAGACAATCCAAAAAAATATATATGTATTTAGACACCTTGTCATAAATTTCTTTCTTTTATTTTTAATAAAAAAAGTTACAATTTTATCAGGTAACACAATATAGATTTTGATTTAGAATTAAATGAAAATTTCCAACATTTGACTTTATTTCTCAGTTGAATGTTATTTTACTTTTTAATAATATCTTAATGTTTTGTTTATACAAATGTCTTAATAACATATTTCTCATTGGGGGTCCATTGAGTCTGGACATGGTTATTTAATAAATGCAAAAATGGTTTGAGGTATTTTCTTTTGATAGGTAGGTACTTAATATGCTTCCTTGATATAGATTAAATACACAGCAATTTGCCAAGCTTATATTCAAATACTGTGCTCAAATTTCCCCCGTGACCTGGTGCCATTCCAACTGTGAAATATAAATGACTGTTAATTCCCCCTTCTCTCCAATGGCTTATCTATCTATTTTTATCGTCTCCGTTGTGAAAAACTTCTTATCTCCATGGCAATCAAATATAGTTTTATTTATAAATGTTAATTTTCTATTATCATCTTATTTAAATTATAATTAATTTTTTTTATTTGTATTCATTAACATAACCCCCAAAGGAGAGTAATGGCAAAGGGGTGAGCATGAGAGAGAGAGAGAGCGAGAATGAGATATGGCTTCTATTGATTACTCAGCAAAAATAAATTGTATTTGCATTCTTTTTCATCGGTGTGTTTCTGTTTTTAAAGAAAAAAATCCGCCTGCTCCATCCACATTTTATCAGAAAATGAAAATACCTAATCTACCAACTTAATTCGTCTGGCAATCCACCAGGATATTCCCCAGTCAAACATGCTGTACAATGACCACCCTCGCCTTTGTTCATCTCCTGACGATTCAAATTCACCGCCTTCTTTAAGCCCTCCACCGACAAATAGGCCAAACTGTCGGCACCCACATGTCTCGCCAATTGTTCAGCATTCAAAGTGTTGGCAATCAACTCCTGATGGGTTGGTATATTAATACCCATATAGCATGGATGCTGCAACGGGGGACTGGCCACACGCACATGTACCTCCAAAGCGCCAGCATCACGCAACAGCTTTATAATGGGACCAATTGTATTGCCTCTTACAATTGAATCATCTATCAATACCAAACGTTTTCCCGATACATTCTCCGACAAGGCACCAAATTTCTTGGCCACACCCAGCTGCCTGAGACGTGTGGAGGGCTGTATAAAGGTACGTCCAACATAGCGATTTTTGCACAGAACTTCGGCAAATTCCAGGCCCGACTCCTTGGCATAACCATGGGCCGCAGCGGTGCCTGACTCCGGCACCGAACTAACAATATCAGCCTTAATGGGCGCCTCTCTCGCCAATTGCCGTCCACATTGCATACGCACCGAGTACACCATTTGTCCTTCAAAGATGGAATCGCCACGGGCGAAGTACACATATTCGAATATACAAAATGCCATTTTCTTGTAGTCCGGCCTCTCCACAATATCCACAGTGCGACAGCCATTGCGTGTCATCTCAATAATTTCTCCTGGCTGTACTTCACGCACATAGCGGGCTCCAATTGACAGGAAGCCACAAGATTCACTGGATACCACCCAACCTTCGGCGGGCAGATCTTCGATTTTTTCCCCACCAGCATTCATGGGTATGATTTTGCCCAAACACAACGGACGATTGCCGTAGACATCTCGCACAGCATAGATTTTGTCCTTAACCATAATCACCAGGGAATAGGACAAATGGGCCAATTGCATAAAGTGTCGTATGCGTGCAGGCCAATCGGGTCCATCGCTCTCTGATACACCCTCCGGGCAACAGCACAGACTTTGGGCAATCAATTCACTGTCACTGTGGGTGGATAGACCAACACCACGACCCAAAACTTCACGGCGCAATGACTCGCTATTGACCAATTCTCCATTGTGGGCCAAGGCCATGGCTCCATGGGCAGTGTGTACCACAAAAGGCTGGCAATTGACCACCTCTGAGGCCCCAGAGGTGGAATAACGGGTATGACCAATGCCCAAATTTCCCTTCAATTTCTTCATTGACTCATCATTGAATAACTGACTGATCATACCCATGCCCTTGTGCATGTTGAACTGTTTGGAACATTTGCCCTCGCTGGTCACAATGCCAGCTGATTCCTGGCCACGATGTTGCAATGCAACCAAACCAAGGCATATCACGTGTGCGATATCAATCTGTGTGGGCCAATCGCCGCAGCCAATCGCACCAAAAACCCCACACTCGTGTGTGAGACCGGTCAACTCTTTACCTTCGATAGTCTGAAGTTGTTTGGCGCTGCCAGACGACGATGATGATCGACTACTACACGACGATAATGATGATGATGATGTTGTACATGTCTGGTCTTGCTCCAGTCCGCAGCAATTAACAACACCAACACTACTACTGTTATCGACATTCATTCTACAGGTGTTTGTTGTTGTATTTATGCCTTCCATGTGTTTTCTTGTTTTACGTTGCGGTTCTTGTTGTTGTCGTTTCAAGTATGTTGTTACCAGCCAACAGAAAGTGGTGTGCCTTCACAAAGTTTTTTATATATTTTTTGCAAAAATAAGGTAAATATACGGAGGTTATAGAATTTCGGTTACAACGCCGCCGCGCGTTTCTAATTATTTATGCAATATCCAAGTTTCGTAATTTCTTTACTTGCTTATGGCCCCACTCCAGTCGGGGTCTCTTTTTTATTTTTATACAAAAAACTATAGGTCTTGTCTTTTTGCGCGGATATCGTTTCGTGTTGTTGTTCTTGTATGGTACACACGATTCTTTGTCCGCACACGCACACACTCACTCCGCACAATACCAAAAAAATATATCCAATTCAAAATCTTCAAATATCGTTCAATAGGAAATAATGTGCTAACCGTACGAAGAACCACCGATTCAACTCGTGACAAACAACCTCCATCGGCCACCAAACCAAACACACTGAGTGAACTCCATCAACATAAATAACATAAATAGAGGAGCCGCGCCAAGAACATGGGAATTGCAGATTTTTGTTACTCAAACATTTGCTCTCTGGCATTGAGAGAGAGAGTAGATATTATGCTAATATTTATTTGGGGCGGAATTGTTAACAAAAATAATTGTGAGCATAAAGTTATTAAGTTCTTTTATTTAGTTGGTAAACATTTTCGCACATGGAGTTAGATTGCGTAATTTTAAAGTTGTCGCTTGCGGTTTTTTTCGTAGCTTTCAAATTCTTAATTCAACCGCCATAACAACAATCAGCTGATGATCAGCCAAGTATGTTCTTATACCATGTTCACACGAACGGATGAATAATACTGGGGGACCTAAGCACATGAAACTGAAGTGAACTCCACTAACATAAGAAGAGCGGTTGGCTTTTTCGTAGAGGAACAAAGGAGTTGTAGATTGACTTAGTTCGATTTTGGCCCTAAGCACCTTTATTCTTTTCCAATCAAGCCAGCCGATGACTTACGGCAGTCAAAAAAGCGTTTTAAGTATTTTCACCGTAAATGTATATTTACTTTAAGTCATCAACTGAATTCTTCGTAAAAAATGAGCGTAGGATGGACAAGCATAAATTATAGCTCAATTATAAGCTGTTGCATCCTATATAATCCTGATAGAAAGCGGGCATAGACAATCCACCTTTGAATGAAACCAAAAACTGTCGGAAATAGCATCAAATTTTAGAATAAGTTTAGATTTGTTCGAATTGGTCACCTTTGGCACGAATTATGGCCTTCAAACGTCCAATCAAACCGTCACATGCTGCCCGAATGTTGATCTGCGGTATTTTGACCCATTCCCTTGATGTGATCGACACTTTGGTACTTTTTAGTGCCAACCTTGCTTTCCAACATACTCCAGACACAATAGTCCAACGGATAGGTATCCGGAGATTTTGGTGGCCATTGTACGCTGGAAATGAAGCGGTGAACCTCATTTTGAAACCATTCTTTGATGGCGCGTGCTAAGTGCGTAGTGCTGAGTCATGTTGGAATGTCCAAGGTCTGCGGCCAAAATGTTTGCATGCCCAAGACTTTAATGTACCCTCCATAATATTTTCGCGATAATATTCGGCATGTATACTGATGCATCGGCTGTTATGGCGACACACACCATCACCATGGCCGTCGCTTGAGTTCTGGTGGCCAACTGAAGGTGCACATTTTCAGCTGACCTCTTTGTTTTGTTGTTTGTTTACAAACTGCTGGACAACGAATGTTTTTTCATCGGAGAAAACCAAATTCGGCAGTTCACCAATTTCGCCCAAGCGAAGCAACTCTTTAGCTCTTTTGATTCTATTTTCTTTATGTTGCGGTTTAAGTTCTTGCACTTTTTGGAATTTCATTGGCTTTCGCCGAGCTCTTTTTTCAATATTTGCCGAATGGAATATTGCGATATGTTCAGCTCACGAGCCATTTTTCGGTCATTGCGCCGCGGGTTTCGATCAAGTCGCTTCTTTACCATTTCTGCTGATGTTTCTGTTTCCTTCCGTACACTTCCTTGACGTCAGGTACGAGACACGAAAGATTTATTCACATTTAAATACTGGAGTGCTCTAACGATAGCCACTTGTGGTTTTGGTTTTCCAGCCAAATATAAAGAAATCACACCATCACGCTTGTATTCCCTGTGCCAAATTTATTGTGATTGGTCAATTATCAGGGTAAAGTCAAGTAGGGATTCAGACATTTTAATAAAAGTTTTGAATCATTTTGACAACTAAAACCACTATATTTGAAATGTCAATTCCATAGCGTATATGTCATGTGCATCGTATTCGCTATGGAATTGAGATCGATTGGATTTCATACATCTAAAAGTACTGTTGGTGTTTTTTAATCATATGTTTCTGTTTCTTTCCCCTAGTGTTGCCACATTTACAATAAATAATAAGATTTTCGTAATCCACCAAATCGATCGAAATCTAAAGAAACTAAAACAAAAACGCACGAAATCAAATAACGGACTTTAAACCATTTCGATCGAAATCTGAGAGATGCCTGTAAATTTTTGGTATCTATGGATGACAACGAATATGAAGGGACTGCCCTTTGTGCTCGAATTCGTTTCGAGAAAATCCCAACATAAAACCAATTTATTTAATTTATTTTTATATTTTATCTAAACTACAAACTTTATTTCTTTGTTGTTCTTGTTATTATTATTAATCACAATATGAATATATACCACTAGAAACCAGACTATTTCATATATTTTTGTTGTTGTTGCTGTATGTAACATAATATAATTTGTAACACATATCTACTATATAAATTTGTACATCATTATTAAAAAATTGTATTTAAATTAAAATGTAGAAAACATAAGTACTTACAAAATAATAAGTAGACGTGAAATGGGTTTGGGGTTTGTTTCCATGTAAAACAATGTGCCACATATATATGGGGGTATTGAGGTAACAATTAAAAAAGTATAATTTTAAGTACTAATTAAACACAAAACAAAATCTACGTGGATAGGTGGGGGTGAGAGGGAGGAAGGATTGTTAATTTTTTCCATTTTTCAAATTATTTAGAGAGCTGTTGCTTGAAAAATAGTCATGGTACTGTAGTTGTCTATTCGATTCATTTGTTTCCAGAAGGTCTTCGGCATCGGCAATGTCTTGTTTGATGCGTGCTATTAAGTCGTCCAGACTTTTGAAATTTTCCTCAGGTCTTAGGTAGCCGGCAATGCAAACCTTCAGCAGGCAGCCATAGAGATCACCATCGAATTTATGTAATATGTGGGTTTCCTGAAAAAAGAATTAGAAAAAGAAAAAGAAATTAGAATTAAGAATTAAAAATCGGAATTTTTTATGATTTTTTTTTGGAAATAGTTTATAAGAATATATAAAGTAACGTATTTAATATTATTGCCAAATTTAGATCGACTTCGGATATGGACAATCTCGGTCCACTCCATCTGGTACTTCCCACACAAAATGTCAACATTTTAAAGAAAATAATTTACTGCACAGAAAGGTAAAGAATAATCCGATTTTACTCCTGTTTTGCTAATCCTAATATTTCCATCAGTGCTAGGTCAGGTGCGAAAATGGACGATATCGGGTCACTCCATCAAGTACCTCCCCCACAAAGGGTCTAAATTTTGAATAATTATAACTCTTATAAAATGTGATGTAAGTGTGCGATTGTCTTCAAATTACACAAATCACAATATTTTTATTAACCCAAGGTCTGATGTGAAGATGGAATATTTCGGTCCACTCCTTCTGGAACTTCCCACACAAAGGCTAAAAATTTTGAATATCGATGAAACTTATAAAACACGGAATCAACATCCGATTCCATTCAGATTTGGTATAGCTTAATATTTCCATCAACACAACATCCGTTGTAAAGAAGGAATGGATCGGACCATTCCATCTGGTACCTCTCCCCAAAGGGTAAAATTTTTGAGAATCCATGAAGCTCATAAAACGCAAAATCAAGATCCCATTCCATTCAGACTTGGCACATCTCAAAATTTTCATCAATACAAGATCTGTTATAAATATGGTAGAGATTGGAGCATTTGTTCTTGTACCTCCTCCAAAAAGGGTCAACATTTTGAGTATCCATGGAGCTCATAAAACGAGAAATTAAGATCCGATACCATTTAGTCTTGGCATATCTCAATATTTCCATCAATGCAAGATCTGTTATAAAGATGGCACAGATTGGACCATTTCTTCTAGTACCTCCCCCAAAAAGGGTCAAAATTTTGAGTATCCATGAAGCCCATAAAACGCAAAATTAAGATCCGATTCCATTCAGACTTGGTATAACTCAATGTTTCCATCAACACAAGATCTGTTATAAATATGGAAGAGATCGGATCATTTCTTCTGGTACCTTCCCCACATGGGGTTCAAGATTTTTGAACAACGAAACACATCCAAACATTTTTGCTAACACAAGAGCTTACAAATTGCTCGTATATCGACTGTCAAAAGTAAAGTTGTGTCTATTTGCCTTCTTCTCGATTACTCTACCCTTCATATCATATCAATTTCCCTACATTCATCTACTTTCATTGAGTCCATCTCCCTCTCTTTCTCCTGTCCCATAAGAATAAATATTTATTTTCCTAGAAAATTGAAAATTATTTCATGCTTCGTTTTACAAATTACAATTACTCATCTACCTCACTCACTCACCATACTTTTTTCCTTATTGTCATAGAATGGATTCCAGCCAATACTCATGACCATTTTGTATACGGGTCCGTTGTCGACATTGGCCCAACCATAATAAACACCCGGTTGTATGGCATCGGGTAATGACTTAACAACCTCCAATGGATAATTTGCTACAAAATAAAAAAACACACACTGAAATATATATTTCACAAATATTCAGCAAAATTTCACTCACCTGTGGGAATACCCAATTCTTTGGAGCCACGACCAAAGCCCGATACTATCTTACCACAGGCAAAAAAGGGCAAATTATTTAACATTTTCTGTAGAGATAACGATGTTGTTGAGTGGCAGCAGTTACGTTTGGTGATTGTGCAAAAATTACGACTATTAAACAATAAAACCATAGATAAAGATGAAGCGTAAATTGCAGCCACTGTTTTTTTTTTTTTTTTTTGTTTTATTCAAGAGCGTGCCTGGCTGGAATTGATTGAATTGGCTTGACTGACTGAAATGATTGTTGATGATGATGATGTTTTTTGTTTAAAAGGCTAGTAATTGATTGGCGGTGGTGTTGGTGTGTTTTGATTTGTTGTTGCTGCGGCTGTGGTATTGGTTAATAAATGTAATGTGATGATACCCAACACTGAAAACACTTGGCCACTGAAGTAGATTTTAATGTATGAATGTTATATCAATTTTTCTCGCAAAAAACACATTTATTTTAAAGAATAAAGGTCATAAAATTTATCTAAACTATTACGAATTTATTTCAATAGTATTTAAAACGAGTATTCCATGGTATTTCGATGATATTCGCACAAGATATTTCTCTTATCAGAAAAAAACTTCACCTGTGACGTCACAAATGTCAAAAAAACATATGTTCAATGTAGCGTTACCTGACGTGAGAAATGTACATGAAATATTAGTGGTGATCACACACGAACACAACAATAAAAAAGTAATGCCAAGTTGGTACTCTGCTAATCACCAAGGACGGATAGCCCGGTATCTCGGCATTATTTGGCCGTGGTTAGCGAATCATTTGCTGCGCCTCTGAACTCTGTGAGAATTTGGAAAAATTTCTTTTGATTAGAAGGAAAGAAAAAAACACGGAACCATTTTCTTCTATTGTAATTGTGGGTCTTCTCGACCCTCTGTGGCTATTGGAATCGGTTTCGTTATTTTCATTTGCTATTTACGCGAAAAAATGTCAAAAACTGCCTCAAGCTGTGTTATTTGTGGCATAAAAATAGAATTTCGCGAGCGATTGTGTAAAACAAAGAAATCTATCAAAGTATAAGAGTAAAAGGTGGGAGTTGTATATCTTGTGTGTATGTTTTGGTCACCTTCGCCTTCGTGCGGCGCGGCGCTTTTAACAAACAACAAAAGGAAAAAAAAAACGAAAAGGAAAAGCAATTGTGTTTTGCTATAAGAAAATCCAAAAGGATATTAAAGTGAAGTGAAAACAATAGCTAATTGTGGTGTTAAATAATTATTGACATCGATTGCTTGGTGTTGCACTCTCTGTTTTGCTCGGCTCCACACACTCTCTCTCCCTCCCTCTGTTCGAGTTGAGCTAACCGAACAGACAATTATTTTGTAAATTTGTGGCCTTTCCTGTATCAATTTGTGGCCATCGTCGAATTTCGGCTATTGTGACGGCGATTTTACAAACGCCGCCGGCAAAGTGGATCCCCGAGGTTTAGGACCCCAGGACTATGCCGGCATGGTTGGTTTGCCGGGCAGTAGTGCTGGGGTTGTACAAAATGGTGGACCGGGCATGGGTGTGCCACCCGTTGGTCCGGGTGGTCATATGTATCCGGGCGTTGGACCACAAGATAGTAAGTTTGTTGTTGTAACAAAAAAAAAAAAAAATGAGACAAAATATATAAATAAAACATTTATTTGCCACAGTTCGCGATATTGTCCAAATGCCTCCACCACCACCCTCGAATGCACCCACATCGGCCGATGCTTGCCTGAGCATTGTCCATTCGCTGATGTGCCATCGTCAGGGCGGTGAAAGTGAAGGATTTGCCAAACGTGCCATTGAATCGCTGGTCAAAAAACTCAAAGAGAAACGCGACGAATTGGATTCATTGATAACCGCCATTACAACCAACGGTGCACATCCCAGCAAATGTGTTACAATCCAGCGTACTTTGGATGGACGCTTACAGGTGAGTCAACAGTCAACAGCAGCTATGAATTATTTCCGGTGTTGTTTTTGTGGTTTTTCTTTTGCTCTCTTTCTCTGTTTTTGGTGGGGGTTCCTGGCGATTGATGATTGTGTGAATGAATGTCGCCGTTCGCCGCTCTTTTATCAGTGTAAACAATTATCGGTAGCCAAACAAACTGTGTGTGTGTTTGTTGTGTCATCGAGCAACCCATGAACCGGTAGCGTAGCGAGCGAGCGCTGGGTTAATCATGTACATGCAGGGACAGACAGAGAGAATAGCGAGCGCTGTGCAGGGAATAATTGATTGCATTGGCTCAATATTAATACCCTACATTGCTGCACCAGGGTGCCATGGCTTGGTGCATTTTTTTGTAACCGAATAATGGATTTCAACTTGACCAATTGCAAGGGACACGTTCAGGTTATATTTCCCGCCAGTAGATGCATTTTTATAATCAAATTGCAGGTCGTGGATATTGGTCCATTGTGATGGGAAAATTTGGGTTTCCTGTTTTCAACCTTGAACCACTACGTATTTACAGGTGTTCTTCGTTTGGCTCAAGTGGGGTTTAGGATTACCTTTGGTATCATTTGTGGTCTTAAGCACAACGATGCAATTCTTTTCTAGAAGAAGTCCATACTACCCGATTTATTGGCCTTTAAAGTTCCATGAGTAGACTGACCATGGATCATGGACCGACTCATACACCAGCTACGCGACTTAATCTTCTTTTAAAAAGTGACGTTTTCGTACTCAGATAGGGGAGCTGTGGTGAAATTTTCCAAAAGATCGCTGAGGGGACGCTCTACCCTTCTTGTTCCTGGTGAGGAGGCCGATAATAAGGCTTAATTTCTGCCGCAAATGGTTTGACCTTCTATTAACCACTCGAGTTTTGTTTCCTGGCCCTTCCTAAGGGACCATGATAACCACAAATACCTGTTCACTCTAATTATTTTTTTATGGAGTTGCTCGATTTCAAAAAAGACAAAGTTGAGGTCTAGTCAGGAGTATAACCCTCTTGTTCCTACGGGGGGGTACTCCTTATATCTTTATATCTAATTGCATCGGGACATCATCTGGGGAACTTTGTTATTCCTTGCCAAATTTATTCTTCAACTAAAAACAACCTATCACTGAAGGTTCCATTAATGTCCTACCTCGTTTCCTTTTGTCCTTAGATGACATTGCTCTCGTCTGTAGATGCCAAAGTATCCACTCAGGATATCTAATCCTCTTCGTCTCTACCTGTTTGAAACGCTACCTATCACTGAAGACTCCCTAAGGTTCCTACGTCGTCTCCATTTGTAGGTAGATTGCATTACCCTTGTCTATGGATGCTAAAGCCCTCACATCTCTAACAGAGATTGAATCGGAGACAGAACAGCGGCAATACAGGATGCGTTCCAAAGACTTTAAACACCCTTTGTCATTTAACATCGTTTTATTCGGCTGAGGAACATACTTATCAGCTTTCCATGGAGGTCCCATTTTGCGAATACTTCTTACAACAGGTTTTTAAATGGATGAAAGCTCTTAGATCTCCGTTTTGCCCCTAGGTTACATTGCCCCCGATGATAGATATCAAAGCACTCATATCTCAAAGAGAGCTTGAGTCATTTACCGAATAACGCAATCCATCATTACAGGGATATTTAAGACCAATTCTGTCATATTTTGTCCTTGACCCACTTTCTCCATGAGTGGCGTTTATTAGAGGAAGTGATGTCAACGGAAGTAAGTTTTGGGGAAATAATAGATTCCCTCAGAAGGATGTAATAGTTGAACTCAGTTCCATTTTGGCCTCCCAAAAAAATATCCTCAGATAAGAACAGAATAGTATGAAAACTCGTCTTCTTTCTATTCCCCAAGGAGAGAAGCATTCTGTAGTTATTAGGCAATTTCCTCAGTTTATAAAACCACAGGGTTTTTTCACCACATTTGCTATAGATTCCAATTGGAATATGAAGAGGATGCCGACTAAACAATTAAATATTATTTTTCATTTTCTTACATTTTCTAATTCCCATTCCTCTTGCAGGTTGCCGGGCGCAAAGGCTTCCCACATGTCATCTATGCTCGTATTTGGCGCTGGCCGGATTTGCACAAGAACGAATTGAAACACGTTAAATATTGTGCATTTGCTTTTGATCTCAAGTGTGATTCGGTTTGTGTGAATCCGTATCATTATGAACGTGTCGTTTCGCCGGGCATTGATTTGTCCGGTCTCAGTCTGCAATCGGGGCCAAGTCGCCATGTTAAAGATGAATACTCAGCTGGGCCGCTGGTGGGTGGTATGGACATTGATGGCAATGATATTGGGACAATACAGCATCATCCATCACAAATGGTGGGGCCACCAGGCGGAGGTTATGGCTATCCCCAGGGACCGGGTAAGGCAATTTTCTTTAATTATCTTTTTTTTTGAGTTTTTTATTCATTTTTGTTTTCTTTCTTTTCTTTTTTTTTCTTTGCGTTGCGTTTGCTTTGCATTTTTATTGATTTAGTTAATGACCCGAATCACATGAATGCCGCCGCAATGTATGCCGCTGCAGCAGCAGCTGGTCGTACGATACCAAAAATTGAACCAAATGAGGCAGGTCCACGTAGTTCGTGGATGGTGCCACCACCGCCACGGCTGCAGCCACCTCAGGTGGGCCCTCAAGTACCGCCAACACAACAGACACAGCAGCAACAACCACAAACTGTGGTACCGCCACAGTCAGCCACACAACAACAACAGCAGCAGCATTCAACACAAACGCAACAACAACATTCACTTTGTAAGGGAGTTACTTTGATTTGTTATCTGGCCTCTTTTTTTTACTTGTCTTCTACTGGCATTCTAATTTATTTCCGTTTTATTTAAAAAAAAATTTCTAAAAAAAACCTTTTTTGTTTTACAGCTGTTGGCCATGGCATGGGCATGCCAGGTCCCATGAATCCCGGCCCTGTAATGGCACCACCCCAACCACAAAATCCTCAGGGTAATGGCCATGTGGTGGGCCCCCATCATGGCCCACCCACAAATTCTCCCAATGATCCTACTGGACTAGGAATGCAACAGCCACCCCAGGCCGGCCCCACCATGTCGGCGGCCAATGGTGGCCAAGTGGCTCCAGATGCCAGCGGTTATTACGGTACACCCAGCACCTCACAAATGCCGAATGTGGCTGATGCTAAATTCAATGCTGCCCTTAACAGTGGTGCTGGACCTGGAGGTGGTGGTGGTGGCGGCGGCAATGTACAGCAACAACAACAGCAACCCATATCCCCGCATATGCAACAAAACGGCTTCGTACCAGGTGGAGGAGGAGGAGGAGGCGGCGGAGGCACCGGCGGTGGTGGTGTTGTACAGGGTGGTGGCCAACAACACAACTATGCTCAACAGGTGCAAGGTCAAAATGCTCAAAATGCCAATCAACCAAATGCCACAGGTGGTGGTGGTGTTACGGGCAATACGGCATCACCGGCGGGTACATGGACTGGATCGTCAACCCTAACCTATACACAGGCCATGCAGCCGCCTGATCCCAGGACTCTGATGCCAGGAGGTTATTGTAAGTAATTTGATGAGGGAGGGCATGTGAACGGTCGGACCGAACTTTTAATACCCTCCACCATTTCAAGGAACTTGAAAATTTTCAAAAAATTACGAAAAAATACCGTTATACCTTTACGAAGACATGGACCTGCATACGAAATTTTCAGGAATAAGCTGTAGTACCCATTACAAGCTTCGAATACGAAATTTGAAACAATTCCGACGAATAATGTCACTGTAATCGTCAAAATACTGAATAAGAAATATAACGTTATATGACGGCTTTACGAAGACGTGGACCTGTATACGAATTTTTCAGGCATAGGCTGTAGTACCCATTACGAACTTCGAATACGAAATGTGAAACAATTCGGGTGAATAATATCGCTACAATCATCAAAATACTGAATGAGGGGAGGTAACGTTATATGGGGGCTATACGAAGACGTGGACCTGCATACGAATTTTTCAGGTATACGAAATGGGAAACAATTCGGGTGAATAATGTCGCTAAGCTCATCAAAATACCGAATATCAGGAGATACCGTTATATGGGGGCTATACGAAGGCGTGGACCTGCATACGAAATGTCCGGGCATAGGTTTTAGTACCCATTACAAGTTTCAAATAATAAATTTGAAACATCTCCGGTGAATAATTTCGCTTAAATCACCAAAATACCGAAAATAGGGAGATAGGGAGGGCTATACGAAGACGTGGACCTGCATACGAAATTTTCAGGCATAGGTTGTAGTACCCATTAAGATCTTCAAATACGAAATTTGAAACATTTCCCGTGAATAATGTCGTTTAAATCACCAAAATACCGAAAATCGGGAGGTACCATTATTTGGGGGCTATACCAGAACGTCGACCTACGTGGCCCATTTTCAAAGCCAAAAGTCCCACAGACATAATATACAGTTGAGTAAAATTTTATCAACATACTTTATTCCGTTCGGAAGCTAGAGGGATTGCCACAGACGGACAACAGAAAGCCTCAAGATCCCCTATTGAAAATATAACAAATCGCCAATAGACTACCTCAAAGTCCTCTATAGACAAAAGACGTCCTCAAAGCCTTTTATAGTCAGTAGAGGTAATAGACGATCGATCCCAAGGTTCCCTATAGCTAATAGAGGGACATCACTGAAACGACATAGAATTTTATGCTGATCAAGAATATATATACTTTGTGGGGTCTAAAATGTATATTTCGAGGTGTTACAAACGGAGTGACAAATTTAGTATACCCTCCATACTATGGTAGAGCATATAACAAATGGGATGTTATTTCCCAGGAATAAATTGGCAAACTAAATTTCGAAAATCTTCTTTGCATTTCTAGGGAACAACATAAATGTCATGCCCCAACAGGAACCTCCACGTTTATTGTCACGCCAACCACCTCCCGAATATTGGTGTTCAATAGCCTACTTTGAATTGGATACTCAGGTTGGTGAGACATTTAAAGTACCCTCGGCCAAGCCGAATGTCATTGTCGATGGCTATGTTGATCCATCGGGTGGCAATCGTTTCTGTTTGGGTGCCCTCAGTAATGTGCATCGGCAGGAACAATCGGAGAGGGCAAGGTAACACACATATCAATATAATACATGCATTTGAAAATAATTACCATTTCATATCCTTTCCGCCTAGATTACACATTGGCAAGGGTGTCCAATTGGATTTGAGAGGCGAAGGTGATGTTTGGTTACGTTGCCTTAGTGACAATTCGGTGTTTGTACAAAGTTACTATTTAGATCGTGAGGCTGGCCGTACGCCCGGTGATGCTGTACATAAAATTTATCCAGCGGCATGTATTAAGGTAAGAGTCTTGGGGAAACGAAATGGCCCAGAACAACTTTTTTTTTAATCTAATCTCCTCTTTATCAGGTATTTGACTTACGTCAATGTCATCAACAAATGCACTCACTAGCCAGTAATGCTCAGGCGGCAGCTGCTGCCCAGGCCGCCGCTGTGGCCGGCCTACCCAGTTCCCAGCTGGGAGCGCCGCCCAGAAGTAAGTACCTTTGGCATCATACAACTGATTTGAAATCTTAATATTTTTTTTCAATTTGCAGATATTTCTGCCGCCGCCGGCATTGGAGTCGATGATTTGCGACGTCTATGTATTTTACGTTTAAGTTTTGTAAAAGGTTGGGGACCTGATTATCCACGACAATCGATCAAAGAGACACCTTGTTGGATCGAGGTGCATTTGCATCGTGCTCTGCAATTATTGGATGAAGTTTTGCATACAATGCCCATAGATGGTCCAAGGGCGCTTGCCTAGAATCTTAAGCTAAATTAACAAAACAAAAAACACAAGACAAAAATAACAAATAGAACAAAACAAAAAGGGCAACAACAACAGAATTAAATTTATAATATATTTAAAAAAAAAACATTGAGAACCATAATTTGTTCAATTGTTGTTGAAAAAAAGCAAAAGAAAAACATATATTTATAAGCAAGAAGGAGAAGAAGAAGAAAAAAACAATCAATTAAACAAAAAGAGAGAACAGAGAACATAAGTTAAACGAAAAAAACAAAACAATTCTTAAACTATTTTAAATATGTAATGCTATTATATTTTTTATAACAATTGTTTAACTTTAGTTTATATATTTTTTTATTTTTATTATATTATATATATTATGTTTATGTTTTATATTTTATATATACATATTATATAATTCTTATTAATTCTTTTTTTTATCAAAAACAATGCCTTTGATAATTGCTTTAAAAAAAAGTTTAAACTTTTAAAAACAAAACAAACAAAAAACAAAACATGAAAATACAATAACAAACCAACAAATAAAACACAAAACAGAAAAACAAATTTTCTTAAAAATATTCTTAACTGAAAATGTTTTCAAATTTTGCTTTCTGGGTTTTCTTATTTTGTTTAAAGTTTTTACGGTCACACTGAGCGCAGCGATAAGGCAAAATGGAGCTTGTTACGTTAAGCAAGTGCCTCAGTTTACGAAGCTCAATGTCACCCACAACATTAGGCCCGAAATCTTAACGGTAATAAATGCATGGTTGTGAATGGAGTCTAGTACCCGGTCATCCGTCTGGGAGTACTGAGCTATGTAGTGGCGATCACCTAAACGAGACAGAAATATTTTCTTTGGGGCCTGTTTGGGGTTTTACCGTTAGAGTCTCCACATGCGAGTCGGAAAGGCCATGCATGATTTAGGGAAAAGCTATCAATATCTCAGTACAATTTTTTTTCGGATATAATTCGAAACATATTCGAAAATTCCATTGGTTTTATTTCAATTGTAATTAGGAATAATATTTTACCCTCCACCTTGTAAAGCAGGGTATATTAACTTTGTCATTCCGTTTGTAATATCCCTAAATATTCGTCATAGAGACCATAAATTATATACAGGGTGAGATGAAAAAACTGGAAGCAACTTCAGACTGCTGTCATTTCTAAACCACTCGTCCGACAAAAGCATTTTGGTGAGAATTTTCTAGAAAAAAAGTTATTCGCGATGGAATTCAAGCGTGATAGTGTGATTTCTTTATATTTGGCTGGAAAACCACAAGTGGCTACCGTTAGAGCACTCCAGCATTTAAATGTGAATAAATCTTTTGTCTCTATGGTACCATCGCTCGTTACCGTGATACTGGTAGCTGGTAGCGTAGCCCGACGTCAAGGAAGTGGATGGAAGAAAGCAGGAACATCAGCAGAAATGGTGCGAAAAGTAAAGAAGCGACTTGATCGAAACACGCGTCGCAGTGGCCAAAAAATGGCTTGTGAGCTGAACATATCGCAATATTCCATTTGGCAAAAATTGAAAACTGAGCTCGGGGTAAAGCAGTTGAAATTCCAAAAACAGCGAGAACTTACACATCAACAGAAACAACAGAAAATAGACCTTAAAGAGCTAAAGAGTTGCTTCGCTTGGCCGAAAGTGGTGAACTGCCGGATTTGGTTTTCTCCGGTGAGAAAACCCTTGTTGTCCAGCAGTTTGTAAACAAACAAAATTATCGTGTTTTTACTTGCCAAAGAGGTCAGCTGAATATGTGCACCTTCGGTTGACCACCAGAACTCAAGCACCGGTCATGGCGATGGTGTGAGCCATAACAGCCGATGGTCGCTCTTCGCTCGTATTAATCGTCCGTGGCATTAGAATAAATGCCGAATATTACCGCGAAAGTATTCTGGAGGGTGTATTAAAACCTTGGGCAAGCTAACATTTTGGCAGCAGACCTTGGACATTCCAAGAGGACTCAGCACACGCCACCCAAAAATGGTTAGAAAATGGTAACCAAATCTCCGAATACCAATCCATCGGACTATTGTGTCTGGAGTATTTTGGAAAGCAAGGTTGGCACTAAAAAATACAAAAGTGTCGATCACCTCAAGCAAGCGCCTTGCGGGAATGGGCCAAAATATCAGCGTGTGACGGTTTCATTGGCCGTTTCGAACAAATCTACACCTATTCTAAAATTTGATGCTATTTTTTGTTTTCATTCAAAAAAATTAAAAAAATATATATAAAAATTACGTCGTTTGAATTTGTTGCAGTTTTTTATATCACCCTGTATATATTCATAGTGAGCATAAAATTCTAAGTCCATGTTAATATCACGACACTGCCCACATTATTTGACGTAGAGCTTCAAAAATTGGCAGAACAATTTGTGTTGTGTTTAGGATGATTGGTGTTGGTATAGCCGCCATGTAACGGAACCTCTCGATATTCCGTATTTTTTTTTTGCACATTTTTCACGGATTTGTCTAAAAAATGGTATTTGTAGATCCTAATTGGTTCTAGCTTCTGTGGCGGAATATAGTATATACAGGTCCACGTTTTGGTATATTCCCCAATTTAACTGTACCTCCCGATATTCGGTATTTTGATAGTTTTTGCCACATTTTTCCACAGATTTGTTTAAAAAATGGTATTTGTAGGTCATAATGGGATCTAGCTCCGGTGGTTAAACATTGTATGTATAGGTACACGTTTTTTTATAGCTCCCATATAACGGTACCTCCCGATATTCGGTATTTTGATGGTAGATGACAACCCTTGAAGTATAACATAGTCTATAGAGGTTCCCGTTTTGGTATTGCCCCCATACAAAGGCCTCACCCACTTCATGGTTTTTTGAATTTTCTCAAAATTATGAATTTCATCTTTAATTCGAAAGAATATCAAATTGGTAGAAATGCAACTCTGTATAAAATGTTTATTTTTCTTGAGTGTGGCCATATGCGAATGACAACTCCAAATGTCCTAAAACAGCGTTTTGGCCGTATATTTTTTTTTTTTTTTTGTAAAATTTTAGCATGACTTTTAGTAGGTGAAATATTTTAAAAAACATTATTTATTTTTGTAAAAATATATAATTTGTAAAAAAGATAAAACCGAAATTTTAATTTTTATGTAAAAAAATTATTATTAAATATATTTATATCAAAGAAAACATTGAAAGAAAGACAGTGGATTTGGTTTTTTTATAGATTGTCGATAACACGTAGGAGGATAAACAATAATGTAGGAATAGTTTCTAGAGATATGTTTTAAAATAATGTTTAATCCAAGTTTCAAATTAAAGTCCCAAAGTGAAGGTACATATCCCCTGCATTTGTTCTAATACTAAAAGAATGTTAAAGGCCTTTGTAAATTGTTTTTTAATGGACTACAGAGTTTAATCAGAATTTTCCTATATTATTGTTTCAATTGATAAAAATTAAATTTCAAAACTAATTTCTCATAAGAAAAAAAAAAAACAAATTTTGCTATTTTTATTTAAAAATAGTAGTTAAAAATACTATATTCGAATAGCATTCATTATATATTAATTTATATATTTCTATGAAAATATTATCAATAATTTTAGTATTTGTCAATTTCCAAATTAACCTGTTGATCCAGCCAATCGCACCATTCCGGGGTGACTTTCCTCTCGTAGGTGATTTCACGAAACACCTCGATACGTTTCGCCTCGACGAATTGCATTTTCTTAAACATACGCTGAGACTTCTCATTGTCCATGCCAATTTTTGCCTCAAATTTATCCACCGCCAGCGTACCTTGGGCATACTTCATCATAAGTAACATGGCTTCCCAGCCGTATCCTTTACCTCTTGCCTGCGGCTCGGCAATCATTATTTCTGCCTCAGCTATACGTTCATTAGTTTCTGGATCTTGTGATAGAAAAAGATTTGTATCACCAACAAGGGCTGTTATTTCATCATGACACTCTTCATAGGTCCGGCGACAAAGTATCAGGAAGGTACATTTATCCTCATCTACACGCCAACTTCTTTGCATTTCGTATTCTTCTTCCAGTGTTAGGGGTTCCGAGGCTGTCAACTCTTGCAGTTCGGCAGATTGCATCCATGTGTGGTATTTGGGAACATGTTTCGCTTCATATGGTACAAGTATGACAAGTTTTCCAATTATCTTGATGTGTTCATTGATTTTCATTGTGTGGATGAGTGGATGAGCAGGTGGATAGGAGGAACAAGACTCTTTAGCAATGCATAGGGATATGGCAGCGCTAAAAGTAAAGGAATGTACCGATAAAGAATAATAACCAAAACAAACAGAGAGTGGGGGAACAAAAGATCGAAAAAGGAAAGTGAACCAATGCAGTAGGGACATAGAAGTCGATAAATGGATTTTAAAATAGCTGTTTAAGTGGTCTACTCCAAGGTAGATGTACTAGGTAATCGCATCAGCCCAGCTGACGGCACCATTAAATGTCAAAACAAATTGTTGTAATGAAGAATTCGCCCTAAATGAATGCAACAACATATTTGTTTATGTTGTCTTCCCTAAAACTATTTTTATAATATTTCAAATAATTTAAGAGCAAGTTAAGAGTGAAACCAGTAAAAATAATTAAAAGAAAATGAAGGAAGGAGGTTAGAATGGAGTACAGCTTTAAGAATTAAGTTAGCCTCAACATCTAAGATTCCCAAAGCACATCACGGGAAGTAGTGCAAGAATTCGACTCTTGCCATTTGCAGTTCCGGAAAATTTTCGGTTTAAACCAGTAAAATATAGATATTATAAGTTTCTTGATTTAAAAAATATCGCAATACTACAATTAATACTTATTTTACTCTTATTTGTTTTACAATAAAAACTTTTATTGCGACGTTCGTTTACGACGAGAGGCACACAAAATAAAATGTAAACAAACACCTCGTTTCTGATTGGTTGAAACAAATTTGCCGCAACCTTTAAATGTCATGGCGAATCTATGTTTTTCGCCTTAGATGCCAATTTTGACATTTGAGGGGACCACAAAAGTTGCTTTGTTGTAGCAATTCGCCGATGCGGTTACCTGTTAGATCTACCTTGGTCTACTCCTTGCACAATTGAGGAATTATTGCTCTGATCCAGAGCCTGCGAGAGCTCATAAAGTACATAGTAACATATTTTACATTCTTTTAGTATTAGAGAAATTGAAATATTGTGAAAAAAGTCAAATAAACACAACCACTTGCATTTTCTATTAGTTTGACCAAACTTTCGGCGATAGGTCCTTACATTCTTGACAGATATTGTCTTGAAGTGCTGAAAGAGTCTTGTTGACATAAGCCCGTGACTTCAAAAAGCCCCACAAAATAAGTCTGGAGCGGTTAAATCAGGCGATCTTAAGGGCTAGTGCAAATTGCCAAAACGGGTGATAAAGCACGCGGGAAATGCATATTTCAGAATATCGATTGAGGCATGTGCAGTGTGTTGCGGCAAAAAGAAATCGTTGATCATTGCTCTGTAGCACTCACCATTCACAGTAACCGTTTGCCCCTCGACGTCTTCGAAGAAAAATGGTCGGATGACTCCTCCAGCGAAAACAGCACACCTTACATTGACTTTAAGCGGGTGTAATGGCTCTTCGCGAGTTGCTCCAGGATTTTTAGTGCCCCGGAAGCGTAACTTTTTCTTATTTACGTACCCGCTAAGATGAAAATGGGCCTCATCACTTATGAGTATTTTTGATAAAAATCATCTTCCTGGTGGTGAATAAATAGCACGTGTTTACTACAAAAATGTCTAAACATAAGTGACATTAGGGGCCAATCGTAAAATTTATAGTATTTTCTGATAAGAGGATTACTTTTGCGCCACTTTGTATGTTCGAAGTTACAAGAATCTCGCTTCAGAGTTGTATATATATACATATAATCAATCTGCATTGTAATTATTGTTCCATGGGTCTTTTCATTTGTTGTAATTTTTGGTTGTTATTTCTTATTACATTTATTACTTTTCTCATTAAAATGTGAGTCCATTTATTGACAATGGCAGACCTTAAATCCTTTTCGCCATAACTGAAGGATTACTCAAATTACTCGGTTAATTGAGATCCAATCGATTATTTGTGCAAAAACGACTATTTTTGCACTAGGTATATGTAGTTAAGGAAAAGTCCAATCAATCGTTTGTTCGAAAGTCGATCTATGTTGCCCTATTTTACAAAGAACATTGAAGGAATTTTGTGTATTGTTTTTCCTCTGCAAATTAAATAAATTTTAACCAAAAATAAACAATTTATTTGATAGCTGCTAATGTAAACTTTATTCCGAAGTACTTTTGCAATAGGTTTTATGTCAATTTTCATGTAAATAAATTAAGATATGATATCAAAAACCATTGTGAAAGTGGCTTCTGTCGCTGCGACAACTTAGGATACGACGATACGATTTCAGCACAAGGCGTTGACAAAGAAAAAACAAAAAAGACTCCATTGTGGTGGATTTATGTTATTATTATTGTTGTTAGTTATTGTAAAACGAGATAATATCCTCCTGCTCCCAGGGCACTCGCACATAATCAATTTGATTTAATCCAATTGTATGCTTTCACTGGCCAAAGCATTCATGTATAGCATTAAATTATTGTTGGATTTAATCATAATTGGCTATTAAAACGAGTTGGTCCCAATGTCTACGAATAACTTTTTGTTGATTTTTTTGTATAGTATTAAAAAGAAGTATTGAGTATTAAATAAGAAGCGTTAATAAAAATGGAAATTGACGATGGCAATAATGGTTCCTCTTCTGCTGTGCCAGAACAATACGGTCCCGAATGCAAGAAACCCAAATTAATGGATGACACTCCAACGTCTTTGGATGATCATGCCAAGGCAATGAAAGTTGCCGGCTTCTCGTTGAGCGCCATCGAAGAGATGCGCAATCGTGCCGAGGAGGATTGCAATAGCCAGACTTTGGATCAACAGTTGCGACATTTCCAGGTTCTAGATGAAGTCGGTTCCAATTCAGAAGATGAAGAGGGTAAGTAAATGTTGGTATAAAAAATATTTAATATGTGAATGCTATATTTCCTAGTCAAAGCCACTTCCGAAGAGAACATTTAATGATGGGACAGTTTGTCAGGGAAGCTTTATTTACATTCGCCAATTTATTTTGCTCTTCAGCTGACATAGGAATACCCTCCATATTTATTAATTAATCTAGTATTTTAAGATGAATATCTTTGAAGTGGCTTCCATTGAGTGAAGGATTACTACTAAGGAAATTGAGAAGCTTAACTTTCTTTTCGCCTAACTGAATGATTTTCTTTTTGGAAAATTTTCCATCCTGAGAAGGCTATGTATCAGTTATTTAAATGTGAAGACTATTCGTATATAAAACTTTCAGAAAGACTTGTCATCCGCTTTGAGAAAACTTTCAGAAAGACTTCCGAATGAGGGGGATTCCTGTCTTAAGAATATCTTTCGAAAGTCTAATGTGCAGAACAACTAAGGAGGTTTCGGTTTGTAAAAGTCCACCGAGTTTTTCATTTATATCTTACCTTTTGAAATTCATGCATCTATGAACGTTCTGTAGATGTTTTCCAACTGCAAAAGTCATTAAGAAGATCTTCAATTTAATGGAATCCGGATTTATTTTTTAATTTAAAGAAAATTACCTTATCTTTAGCAAGACTGGAAAAAGTATACTACGTTTAGAAGTCCTGCAGTTGACAAGTTTAGAATCCAATGGAAGGCAACATCAACCTTCTGTACGTACTCCCTCGCAATACGTTGCACCTGTACTGTCAGTCCGATTTTATCGCATTCACAAATCAAAGAAAATCAAATCTAACATGCTTTTCAGTCTTATCACAAAATCAACAATGAACGCGCTCATTCTCTAGTCGTTTAGCGATAAAGAAGATAAGAAATTCCCTTTGCCGTTAAGAAGCTGTAACGTAATATTAACAGACTCCAGTTTGGCTAAAGAATTGTTACACTTCAGATCGGTTAAAACTGTGAATGGAAAATGTAGTGACTGAATAATAAGGAATTTTGGAAATCTCTCTCTAAAGCATGACAAATTAGAACATGATAATTATATCCATAACAATCTATAATTGAAACGATCCATAACAAACGAAAGAAATCTCAATACAAAATGCGTATGATACCTATTTTGCGTATGGATGTCATTGAATCAGGTGGGCAATGTGTAAATAGCGAAGATTTGCTTGAGGCAGTGGCTTTTTTGTGATTTATCTGTTTGCTATTTTGATCTCTTGAGAGGTATTGTGAGGCTTAGTAGGGAGATGATTTTTAGTAATACTCAAGATTTGTATCTGAAGAAAAATGTTTATCATGCAGATATACTAAAACTAAATGTGGGCCTGCTTTACATTTGGAGTTAATTAATGGATGATGTTACGTTTGGGATCGTATATGGGATAATTCAAATTTTTGTGTGTCCTTAACGTCAGGAAATCCATACTTCCAATACTTCTCAAAATAAATATATCAGCTATGTACACCAACCTATAGTTGCTATTTTTGAATAACTGTTCTTTGGGAAGTTTATCTTTTATCCCTAATAGTTATTTGTCCTTATCAATTCCTCCATTTGATCTTAAAATCCCTTTTTTAAAACAAAGAATAATTTATTTATATACGCCACTCCAATACCTTAGACAATGGCAGCGAAAACGGCGATGGCATCCGTAGCAGCCAACAAAATGGCGATGAAGATGATGGCGGTGATGAATCCTCCGATTTGGACTTAGACGATGAAGAAATTGAACATTTGCTGGATGAAAATTTACCAGATGACTTGAAGGGCTCAAAAAAGCCAAAATATGAGGAACGTTTCAAGACGGTATTGGAAGGTGAGTCGAAATGAAAAATAGTTTTTAATTTAAATATTATTTTAATATTTTTCCCTTTGTAGAAAAACGCCACAATCATTTTGAAGTATTACCCGAAGGCTGGGTACAAGTCACCCACAACAGTGGCATGCCTTTATATTTGCACAAAAAGACTCGAGTTGTTTCAACGACAAGGCCTTATTTTCTAGGAACTGGAAGTGCTAGGGTAAGGACCACAAGGAAAAAATATCAAAAAAAAAAACTCTTCCTTGTAAAAAAGACAAGCTTTTCGAAAGACAGACGACCTTTAAGACGTTTATTCTTGATAGAAGAGCCTGGGTAGATCTTTTAAAGACCTATACACCTCAAGAGGTTTGCTGAGATAGTAGAGCTTGGATAGATATTTTAAAGACTTTTTATAAAAGGCAGAAAACCCTTAACTCGTCTTCGATAGACAGATGTCCTGTAGAAGGCCTTTGATAGATCGAAGACCATTACAAGGTCCTTTATAGTGCGACAGAGTGGAAACATATTCAGTCCTGCCAGAATGCCGCCCTTAGAACCGCGACAGGGTGCCTCCTCATGACACAAACCCGAGTAGTTTTGACTCAATTAAGATCCGGATGGTGCAGCGGCCTCAATTCCTATTAGGTCCGGATCGACAGCGATGTGCAGAACATCTGCCCGGCTTGTGGCACAGGTCCACATGACAAGCTGCACCTATTTCGCTGTCCAGCTAAACCTACTCACCTAACTCCAGTGTCGTTTTTGAGCCTGGACTTAGAGCCAGAACCCGATTGAGAGGAGTCAGATCGAACACAGAAGTATGAGCTGCTACAACAACAACAGGGTACATGTTGAAGATCTTTTCAATGTCTTCTTTCAGTAGAATGGCTCATATATCTTCCACCAAACGAAAACCTCTTAAAGATATTCTATTTGAAGACGTCCTCAAAAAAAGCCTTCTGTCTTTATAAGACCTTTTTAAGAGTTATAGAATATCCTTTGATACTCGAATTTGCATAAGACTTATTGAAGGTCTTCTTTCTTTAATTTTTTTTTATCTATAAACGATCTCTTGAAGGTTTTATGTGCACAAGACTTCTTGAAGGTAAGGTCTGTAAGGTCTCTTGAAGGTTTCAATATATTGAAGACATTTTGAAGGAATCTTTTGATAAAAGAGTTCTTCAAGGCCTTCTAACTGTAGAGGAAATTGTAAAAGTCTCACCCATCTATTTAAGATGTCTTGGAGATCTTTTATATATCTGAAATGTATTGGCAACTAGAAGACCTCAATAAAAATCTTCCATATATGTAGGATGTCTTATATATTTTAATTAGATTAGACTTTAATTTAATTATTAATTAGACTTTTTTCCGGATATAGATCTTTTTTAGATAGAAGATCTCTTGTAGATCTTTTGTAATTAGGAGAAATTCTAATTTCCTCTATTTGCTTCCAGAAACATGCAATTCCTGTTGGTTCCATACCCTGTCTAAACTATCGACGAGCCTTGGCCGAAGAGGCGGAGGCTGAGATAAGAAAGTCTGCCGAAACCACGAAAACGGCTGAAGAAAATGGCAACAATGAAGCGGCAGTATCCTCATCGACAGTAACAAATTCCAAGTGTCCCTTTGGGTTTTCAGCCTCAGCGTCTGGCACAGAGGAAAATAATGTTACAACTTCATCCTCGGCCGCGCCAATGGAGAGTATTGAGCAAAATGGCAACAAAGAAAACAACAACAACGATGACAATGATCAAATTATGACTGAAGAAGGCAATACCGTGACAGAAGGCAACTCAGCCTCGACAGCCTCGTCGTCCAACAACACTGAAAGCAATCAAAAATCATCCGATGTAGATAAAGAAAAGCTCCGCAGCCTGGTGCCGGCTGCCAAAATTGTCACCGTCAACGAGAATATACAAAAAGAATCTCTTACCCCCGATCAGTTCAATGAATATTGTCAGAAACTTTTCAAGTTTCGTGTGATACGTGTTCTGCGTTTCCGGTCCTGGAATGCAAGGCGGAAATTTACCAAAAATCGGAAAAACCTAAAGAATATACAAAGACCAACACTGCCCGATGGTACAAAGTTGATAAAGTTCCCGGTCTTGGTGCCCGGCGATGGCAAATCAAATCCTCGTGCCCGCCGTGAATGGATTATGAATCCAAGTGGTAAAAGTTATGTTTGTATTCTACACGAGTATGTCCAGCATGCGTTGAAAAAACAACCCACATATGAGTTTAAAGAATTGGAAAATGCTGCCACACCCTATGCTGCCACTGTTTCCATAAATGATTTGAAATATGGTACAGGTTATGGTACCAGTAAACGGCAGGCCAAATCTGAGGCTGCCAGAGAAACCCTGGAGATATTAATACCCGAAATGAAGGATAAAATTACTGGGGTCAAACAGGATAAAAGTGCCGTGGCCAGGAGTAATCAAAAGGATTTATCGGTAAGACGGAGAATTGATATAAGTTGAGTGATTGATTTAAATTTAGATTTCTTTAGGTATTCGATGACATACGAATAGAAGATCCCCGGGTAACAGAATTTTGCAATAAGACCACAGAGCCCACACCACATGCCATACTCCTGACATGTTTGCAACGCAACTATGGCCTGGGCGAGGATGTACAAATCAATTATGAAATCAATCGAACCCATAGCAAAAAGAACGAGTTCACCATGACGGTGGGTAAACATACAGCCAAAGTATTGTGTAAAAATAAGCGGGAGGGTAAACAACTGGCCTCTCAGGCTATTTTGCAGGTAAGTTTTTTGTTTTGTAATTAATCCTTTGGCATTTTAATTTATATTGGTTCCCTTTTAGATCCTCCATCCCCACATCAAAACCTGGGGCTCTCTGCTGCGCCTCTATGGCAATAATTCCATCAAAACTTTCAAGGAAAAGAAACAAGAAGAACAGGAAATCACTGTGTTACAAAGCAAGGCTGCCATTAATCAACCAAATTATGCAATTCTAGATAAATTACGAACGGAAATGCTCAAGTTGTCGGAAAAGAATAAATCGGTACAGAGTATAGGTTTATTTATACCACCAAGTGATGTTGATTTGCCTTCATCTTCCGGTTCAAATTTAAACAATGTTGAACTTTAGATATAGAAATATGATAACCTAAGTTAATATCTGACACTTGTTTATGGCGACAAATGCAGTTTTGTTTTATTTTTTTTTTTTTTGTGGATATCAGTCATGTACTTACGTATATATATACACAACAACAACTACTATTCTATGCTTTTGAACAATAATTGTGTGTTTATTTTCTTAGTTAAAAAATTTGATATTGTAGTCGAATAAATAAAGAAATAAATATTTTTAGTCTCTTCTTTAGTTTAAATATTATTATTCTTAACGTGGATGTCTGGACAGTTTCCCACTGAGGGGATAATACATTCTGAGCAAGTATTCTTAGATGGACAAGAGAGAAGGTGCTAATGATTTAGATTTGGAAAAAATATTCCAATTTGATAATGAAAGAAGCAATTTCAGGCAAAAAACTTACTCAACAAATTGATTCCATTCGCAGAGTGGTATGTCTAAGTCTGTAAAATATTTGCAATTGTGTGAAGTTTAAGAAAACCTAGCATTTTTATACCCTCCACAATAGTATGGAGGGTATATTAAGTTTGTCATTCTGTTTGTAATACCTCGAAATATACATTTTAGACCCCACAAAGTACATATATTTTTGATCAGCATAATATTCTATGTCGATATAGCGATGTCCGTCCGTCTGTTCGTCTGTGGAAATCACTCTGGCTTCCGAACGAAATGAAGTAGGTTGATAACATTTTACTCAAATGTGTATTATGTCTGCAGGACTTTTGGTATTGAAAATGGGCCATGTAGATCTACCTTTTGGTATAGTCCCCATATAACGGTACCTTCCGATATTCGGTATTTTGATGATTTTAGCGACATTATTCACCGGAATTGTTTAAAATTTGGAATTTGAAGTTCGTAATGGACACCACAGCCCTAGACAGAAAATTTTCTGTGCAGGTCAACGTTTGATATAGCCCCCATATAACGATACCTCCCGATATTCGGTATTTTGATGATTTTAGCTACATTATTCACCGGAATTTTTTAAAAATTTCGTAATGGATATTACAGCCTACGACAGAAAATTCATTCCAAATGGTGGAGGGTATTAAAAGTTGGGCCCGGCCGAACTTAAAGCTTTTTATTTGTTTTTTTTTTTAATACTCCCGTACATCTGTAGATGATTGGTGTTATCTAAGAGATGTCTTTTCCGAAGAAATTGTGATTTTAGCAGAATAATGATTAAATCAAAAAGTTGTAAAAAGGGCGTGGAATTCCCAATGGCGAAAATTATATTAGAAATCAATGGCACTTTCGAATACTCGTTTGAATGTTGCAGTTCTCAGGTCGGTATTCTGACAGGCCTTCTATTTATAGAAAACTTTTTCAGGACATCTGCCTATCAGCAACCTATTAAAGGCCCGTTACAGGTCTTCTGTTCATCTCAGACAAATTGACATCTTCTGTTTGTCGAAGGGATTTAAATGTCTGTCTGTCTCTCGAAGACTGTTTAAGGTTCTGTCTATAGAATATATTTAAAAAGTCTATTAAATCACCTGTAGAAGACCTCTTATAGGTCTTATATCTGTAAAATAACTCAATAGAACAAATTTTAAAGAAAAAACTAATTAAAGAAGTCCTATTAATCGTCTATACCTTGAAGACCTCTAAGAGGGTAATTTTTATAGAAGGCCTCTTGAAGGCGTTATATTAAAAGCCTATGTCTATAAGACGTCTTTATATGTTCTATATAATACTCTTTGAAGCTCTTAAAGATTATTGATGGTCTTCCATCTATAAAAGACATCAGGGATATATTTTATCCATAAAAGATCTTTTGAAGGTCTTCTTCTTCAAAGTCTTCTTTCTGTAAAGGAACTCCTTAAAATCTCCGATCTATTGAAGATGTTTTTGGGAGCTTTTATTGAAAAAAATACATTTTCAGATCTTCAATTTATTTGTAACTAGAAGATCTCTTTCAAATCTATACATATAGGATGTCTTATGTAGGTAGACGTTTTTTTTTATAGATTTTCCTACGTTCACCTCCAACAGAGGTGATGCAGACCTTCTGGATCTATATCAAAATGGAACTAATAGAAAATGCCTCCTCTTTTCAAAACAATGCAACGAAAGTTCGCAGAAGCGGTCAAAGCTGAAGAAGAAAATGGCAACAATAAAGCGACAACAGTTAAAAATTCTGGGCAAGCATACTGTTGCCAATTCAGATAATTAAAAAAACACAAACATTTATACCCTGATTCTCAATAGATAAAAATCATTTTAGCAGGGCATAAGTGAACATGTATCTGCTTTACGGCAAATGGAGATGATTGATCCCATGCCATTCCACCCCAGCTGCGCCGAAGAGGAGGATATCGAGTACTTGTTGTGGTAATGCTTCTTCTTTGGAAAAGAGTTAAGTTGGCCCAATCCTTATTTAGGCATAGCCACAGCTTGAGCATCTTGACACACGATTCGTCGTCCACTCGTGCAACAGGTTTTGTAATCAATTCTTAATTTATCAACCTCAGGGACTTATCAAGATTTCGGTTTTCCAACAACTTAAGATATTTAACAAAACTTGAACCTCCCCCCCCCAATACCATTTATTAAAAGGAATTCAAAATTGACAAGGAAAAATATATTTCCCATACACGCCCTAGCTGGGCTGAAGGGGAGGATCCGAATTTATTTAGGTAAAGGTATTGTTTCTACTTTGGAAAAGAGTTTAGTTGACCTAGTCCTTATTGAGGTATAGCAATAGCTTGAACAACTTAGCATACGATCGGTCGTTCACTCATGCAACAGGTTTTGTACTCAATTCTTAATCTAATGCCCTTAGAGACTGATCAAGATCTCGGCTTAAAACAATTAAAGATTTTTACCATACCATAAACCTTCCACCCCAATGTCATTCATTTCAAGGGATGCAAATTGGGCAGGAACAAACGACAAATTTTCAACAGTAGCCCTAGCTGCTCTGGAGAGCAGGATATCGATTATTTGTAGTTATTTTCATTTCGGCCAGTCCTTATTGAAGCATCACTGCGGCTTCACCAACTTAGCGAGGTTTTTAAGCAATTCTTTATTTAACACCCTTAGGGACAAAACATGAACCCTCCACTCCAATGCCAATAATTCCAAGGGACACAAAATTCGCCAGACAAAAAACATTTTCAAAAATTGCCCTGATGCCGAGGATATCGAATATTTGTTGTTAAAATCACTGCTTGATGTTAGCAAGTAATCGATTCGTGGAACAAAAAACGAGTAACCATTTAATTGTATCGGCTTGCACGACCGACGAACGACTTGAGACAATACGCATTGCTGCGGAAAATTAGCAAGTAAACAAGCAAAAACGAAAAAACGAAAAAGAAGAAACAGCAACCAGACAAACAACTGCTGGCTGGCTGGCAAAACTCTGAAGACACTTAAAGTTATAATTAAAAAGGAACAACGACTTCTATCCTGGCGCAAGCACATCAAGTATGTACCCACATTTGTAGTTAATAAATCAATCTACTAATTTTCCTATTTTCCCAAGAACAAGCATCACGTTTTGGTAGCGATATTGAATATAGACAATTGTTGGAATCCTATAGCTGGGTGCTACATCGTTTCGCCAATGCAGATGATAATTGTTATTGAATGTAGACAATTATTGGAATCCCATATCTGAGTGCTTCATCGCTTTTCGCCAATAGCTGTTTCATTGTGTATGTATGGCATTTTTGGTTAAATACTCCTAAGGGGCTTATGATGGGATACTGTAGATCAAATCCTCTATTGCTTAAATACAAATCTCAAAACCAATACCATACACTATTACTCCATTAAACTATTAAACTGGTATAATTTATATATAATCAGTTTATAAGTATATATGTTCATATGTACATATGTACGTAAGATTGAACACGTACAATTTGTTATTACAAACAAACATATCATGATGTATATCTGTAGGTATGTCGAGTTGTCTTTTCATCAACAATTGCTTTCTACCGCCGCCGCTGGTGATGTTGTTGTTGTTGTGGTGGTGGTATTGGTATTTTGAGGTCTTTGAATATTGTATTTTTATGGATTTTCTTTCTTCTCTTGTTTTATCTACCTATTTGCTTTTCTTATAATATTTTGTGGCAACTGAATTTTGTTAGCTGTGGGATTATCTCTCACGGACAGGTTATCTTTCTATTTGTTGGTTTATTGGTGTTGTGTAGAGTTATGTCGGCGCAAAAGTCTCCACACCAAATCTATTTATAGCTAATGTGTGAAAGTAAATTGCATGTGCATTTCAAGGCGGTGGATGTCCAAGTTTTGTCATTGAATAAAATTGGGCATTTTCCTAACTTAAATCAAAATGGAAATATCACATTTATTTCTTCTCTAATTGAATCATCATGATATTGATAGCTCTTTGATGAATCTAAAATATGAGTAGGTATACTTTCTCATAATTACGAACATTTTGTTTGGTTGCCTAAATTCATACAAACCCTTGGAAATCATAGAAGTTATGTTTATTACAAGATGACTATGTCACCTATGTTTCCGTCGAAGATGAATCATCGTTATATGGATTTATAGTTCACTGTTTGAATCTCAAATGTAATTACATTCTCCTATGTGTGGAAACATTATATTATGTTCCCTAAATTCATAATGACTGAGGCATTTTTTAGGTTATGTATTTTAAATAATTAAATTGTTATTGAAGCAGATTCCATTTTATTAATATGCCACGGGCCCACAGAAAGTTAAAACCACTTATACATTTATCAGGTCATTCATTAATCATTCAATCCCTTTTGTCGACGTAAAAGCCTCCACCACAAATTTCATGCTCAAATTTGTTGCTGAGCTCAGGAGTGAAAATAAATGGAATGATTATTTTAAGGTGTTAGAAGTTCAAGTTTTATCTTTGAATAAAGTCGGATATTAACCAAATCAACAGACATTTCCGTCGAAGATGAATCATCGGAATATGGATTTTATAATTCACTGTTTGAATCTCAAATGTGTATACATTCTCCATGTGTAGGAACATTATATTTGGTTGCCTAAATTAATAATTATTGGGGCGTATTTTTGGCTATATAATTGAAATACCTAAATTTTTAGTAAATCTTATTTGTTTCCATTAACATGCCATGGGCCCAAAGAAAGTTAAAGCCCTTCTAAATCTATCTATAATCATTAGTCACTCAATTCATTTTGTTGTTGTTGTTTATTAAATCAAATGTCGGAAATAGCATCAAATTTTAGAATAAGTGTAGATTTGTTCGAATTTGGTCACCTTTGGCATTAATTACGGCCTTCCACCGGCCAATGAAACCGTCCCACGATATGCACATTTAAATTCCCTAAATAAAGAGGACATGTCAGTATTCTTCCAGGCATTACCTGCCAGTACTGAATCTCTCTTCGTGCGCCAAATATCTCGGTATGTTTAAACTGGAGCCGGTACATCGAGTATAGTAAAAAAAAGGGCCCTTGAAATTGGCTCCGCCGAGCCAATCAGTTGATACATAAACGCAACCCTTACAATGGAGAAGGCGCTGAAACAACAGGTGGAAAGGGCATAGATAGCTACTGTTTAACTCAGGGGAGTGGGGGGAAAGGCTTCGCATAGCGGCAAGAACAAAAACTCCCCAGAGTTATTATGATGAGAGGTGTGAGTTGTGTAGTTGAGTGATTTGGTGAGGTGCGGGTGATACGCGTGTGTGGTGTAGGATAAAAAGAAAGACAAATGCAAGAAATAAAACACAAGGATTAGGTCCATGGTTTTATTGGTGATTCTTTCTTTTCTAAAGGACAAATTACCTTCAGTAATTGGGGTGGCGACAGAGGCCGTGTGTGTTCGCTTTCGTTTCTACGAGACAAGTGTACGCAGAGGTTCTAAGTGATCGCAGAGGATCCCTTGTCTATTTCTAATACATATGCAAATGCAGACAAGTGAACGCAAAGGTTCTGAGTGACCGCTGAGGGTCCCATGTCTGTGCAACTACTTTCAATGAGAGCAAGGTGAGCCTACCGCCAACAACCAATATCCGCTCACTACGGTATCCGTCAAGGGAATTGTAGAGGAGATGCCAGTGTGCCAATCAGCATCCGTGATTGACGAGTATTGGAAAGTTGTGGTGGAACGTATCGAACTTATACAGCTTCAATGAAGGCTAAAGCGAGTGACATAAAGTTATCTCGCTAAAGAAAGCAGCCAGTGACTGTAAAGAGGATGCAGTCCACTGAGGAGCAGCAACCCTAGGTGAAGAAAATGACTTGCAACGTTTTCAGGCGGAAATTATTGCAATCAAGAAGTCCGCCGAACTGGTAAGAGAATTCTGCAAAACAGCACCAGTGGCTATGTGTCGATAGTCATGCTGCCCTCAAAGCTATCAAGTCGAGTTGAATAAAATCGAGATCTCTTTCTGACTGCAAGAATGCTCTTCATGAAACCCTCTTCAAAAAAGGCAGAGCTGGAGGTTCCAACTTCCAAACCGGTGCTGAGTTCCAATCTATGAAACTGCAGGCCACCAAAATGGCTGCTAGGTAGATGATGAAATCGAAGCATTTTAAATCCTCGAATTTGGCTCTGCCGAGCCCATTGGTTAATTTATCAGCAGCATAGCGGGAAATTAAATGGCTGATCAATTAGTTTGTGGCGGATCTCAGTTGTTGTTGTAGCAGTAGCTACAGGTTTAAAAATTCCGCTACCTTAATGGGCTGCAACCAGAGATCTTCTGGAGTAAGTTGGGTAAATTTGGCGGTTCAATTAAAGAGGTGCAGCGTATTGTGCGAGCCGGTATCACACGCCGGGCAGACGTCACGCACATATTCGTCAATTCGCGCCCAATACGAATTGAGACGACTGCACCATCTCGAACGCAATTGCGCCAAACTAACCTGGTTTGTCTAGGCAGCTGACGTTTTTCAGCTGCAATGGATGAGTGGTGGACTCCGATGACGGCATTTATCCTGTTATTACTGATAGCATGTGCGACTGCATCGATATGAGTGCTTGATCTAGCGGTTCTCTCTTATAGCGTTGGATCTCCCTCTATAGATCATGTATGTCTTTCCTGACACCCCTGGGTAGGGTAGTTGTATCCACCATATGATGGTTGGTATGACTCTCACGGTAACACCCAAGCAGGCACTGCAACGAAAGCAGTCGATTGTTCTACCGATGACACTGTTAAATCTGTAATGTCAGCTATTATGTCTGCCTGGTAATCTTGAGGAGAAAAACAAGTTTCATTTTTTCACTTTGTGGTTTTGATCTAAAAGTCATGTTAGGCATACTGACTTGCGACTGCTGTAGTATTCAATATCTGACCTGAAAGATGGGATAACAGAGTTCCTGACTTTTGTAGATCTTATGAAGATGAAGAAGAGGTAGAGACTATTGCACGCCTACTATGCAGATGTCTCATGTTATGCAACAAGAGACATAGACTATTTGGTAGGTGGAAGATAGAAACACCAACGTTTTTCTCAGTTTTATTTTTCTCAGGCAGACCATGTCCAAAATTATACGTTAATTCTTAAATAGGGAATATCAGATAATAAATTATTGATAACTTTTGTCCCTCACAACTTTCTATAACAAATATTACACCGCCGAACAGGTTCATAAATCATATAAACATATAGTTCTATCCCCTCATATCTGTGGCACAAATGATTTTCAATTTTCTTCGAATAAAAAAGTCTCCACAAAAATCAAATCATACCCTGCCAGACTTTTTTCAACTAGTTGAGAAAATCGTTAGTTATAAATACATTATTCTACAACTAACTACAAATTAGTTGAAAAGTCATCTGAATATCAACCACTTCAAAAACCAAAACGAAAATAAATTGCAAAAACAAAACACATATAAGTTCTCTAGAGAAAAAACAGCCCTAAAAAACAAAGATGATTGGTTATATCAAACTACTTTGCAATAATTCGCATAGTACATTTCCAAAAATACTTCGATATAAATGCAACGTACAATAATACAAGCTAGTGCTGCTAACCTTAATACACAAGTACATATGCTTAGAAAAACAGTGCAGCCAGGGTATCTGAAAATAGCACTCCTCCTTCAAATAGAAAATAAAGAATTTGATTAACAAAAAAAAAAAAAAAATAAATAAATAAATAAATAAATAAAAAAATAACTTTCTGAACTTTTTTAACATATTTTTTAACTGACTAAAAATTGGCTTAAAAGTAATTGGTTTATAGTTAGTTTCAAAGTAACTAGTTTATATTTAGTTTCAAAGTAATGCAGGAATGGACAATTGTCCACTGCCTAGCTCATCCCCATGTTAAAATAGTTAGTTGGCGTAAAGGAAATAAATCAAAAAAATAACTAGTTGTGGTTTTTTTTAACTAATTTTAAATTAGTTTTAAACCAATTTATTTCCCTGCAGGGTATGTATAACTCCCACTTTTTTGTGTACCCCAAATAGGAGGTCATGTTTGTGTGTGTTCCGTCGAAATATAAGTGTGTGTGTGTTTAGAAATCCAAGATGCACAACACATTCTTTTGCATTTGTTCTCTTTTCAAAACAAAACAAAAACATCGAGAGAGAGAGACACCACAGAAGGGAGACCAGCGATGCCAACTTAGTGCTTTTCGCGCTATTTATGGTGCTTTTTAGACCCCCTAAAACGCCAAAATAGTGGGCATAGCGCGAAACGAAAAAAAAGCACTGTACCTACGCTTTTCATCTTTTCTGTTGGTGCTTTTAGCGCGTTTTAGATTTTTAAATATAACAATGTTTATACATTCGAATATTTTGATAGTATGACATCTACTTGTCGCAAGTTCTTTACAAATTCTTTACGTGTCATTCCTGTCATTGAAGTTCTTTTGTTTACTCTTTTTTAATAAACCATAATAAAATGAAGAATTTTGTGTATTATAAACCAATTGAAGGAAAAGTGAAATGAACGAGAAAAAAACGTAAGTTTATACATGGCTGCTTTGTTGTACGAGTTTACAAAACTTCAACTGAATTTGAAGCTATGGGTTTTATGGGTGAACATAATTGTTTGTAAAAATGTGTATGTCTGCAAGTTTTAACCACATGTAAAATGTTCCTAATATATCATATTTTTTTAAAAATATGTATGCACTTATATACATGAAATATTTATATATGTTGTTGTTGATTTAAGACACATTTTTCAATGGAATTGTCTGCAATTCTACACAAGGAGTTCTTTGTGAGTACTTTACCCCTGAAATAGAATTGTCGGTAAGGTCCACAATATCGTATATCCTCAATATATCGGCATCTTCCGATATTGGGTATTTTTGTAGATTTTAACAGAATTTTTAATGGATTTTTTTTGTAAATTTCCTAATTCGTTTTAAATGGTGGAGGGTATTCAAAGTTCGGCCCGGCCGAACTTACTGCTTTTTTACTTGTTTAAAAATATGTATGCGCTTATATACATGAAATGTTTATTTTGTTGTTGCAAAATGGTCAGGCTTTATCTCTTTATTGTTGTTTTTATAAAAACAACGTTTGTTTAATTTTTTAATTTTTGAATAAGACAGTATTTAGTTTAAAAAAAGTGTTTTATTGACAATTTTGGTTAGAAAAAATACATAGCGCTTTTTACGCTTTTTTAAGCAAAATTTTTACGCCATTTACGCTTTTCTGGTTTTTAATTACGCTTTTAGCTCTCAAAATGTTGGCATCACTGAGGGAGACTATTATTTGTTATTAGCTCTCTCCCTCTCTCTATTTAACGACACAAATTTGCCATGTGGTTGGCTGGCTGTCTGGTTAGTTCGGTATTTTGAGCTTCGGCAAATGTTCATACCATGGACTATGTGTGGATTTCAGTCAGTCAATCGGTTAGTATGTGCTTTTTAGTATTATTCTTCGCTGCTGGCCTTCTCTTCGTCGTCGTAACGTAATTGTGATTCTTTGCTTTGCTCTACTCTACTCTACACTGTTATTGAAATCAGCAACCATATAGTAGTACTATTTGTTTTATTTTGCATTGTTTTTTTTTTTTGCGTATTTTGTGTTGGCTGGCTTCATCATCGGTTTGTTGTTATCCGTGGGGCTTTCTTCGTTTTGTCTTACACGACTTATAATGTATGTCTGGTATGTGATTCTTTGTAAATTTTTTAAGATATATTTTTTGATTTTGTTTAATTACGCCAACTAACCAGCCGCAGTAGAAATGTTGATGTTGTTTTTGATGGAAGATAGATATATGAGCTAAAGTAGATGAAAACAAAAACTAACAAAAAAATCTCGAATAGTTATGCACAAATCAAAGACCACGAATCCACCACAACATACCAATCATACCCCGAGAGTACACGACGAATCAAATAATGTACGAAGTTGCCCAGAGCTCTGGCAAGCATTCATTCGTTTTTCCTTTCATTTTTTTTTTTCGTTCTCAAAACATGAAATTTTAGTTTAATTTATTTTCTTTCTTTCTGTTTTTTACAGTTCCGAACAAGCCAACGCATCACAGTAAGAATAATACGAACTGGGAACTCACATCAACGGAAAGCTTATGTAAGTAAAATTTGTATTTTTATTCTCGGAAAGTGTATTCATTTATGAAAATTACTATTTTGATTCATAGAGTCTAGACTAAGCACTCGGGAGGAAATTATCTGCGATTATAGCGATTTGGTTAACATAAATTAAAATGGCTTAACGTTCGGCCGAGCCGATATGTATTTTCGCTCCTCTGTGAAGAAATTAAAATTGCACTGTGCAACATTCTTAAGGCAATCGCGTGCAAACTACTTCTAGCGAGCATGCTATGAAAGTACAGACCCTAACTTAAGACCTTAATTGTGCTTAGCTGTTATGGACTCATCTGAACCTAGCTTAATATAAACAAGTTAAATAGTATCAGTCGGATTTGCCGACAGATGTATATCCCCAGGCTTGAGTTATGACTATTCAAACTGTTGACCCTTTATGGGAGAGGTTCCAAAGCAATGGGCCAATATTTACCAATTCGTATCGGACCTAAGACTGATATAAATACAATAACGTGACATATCGTCACACCAGACCTTGGTTTAATAATATTGGTTTAAATATTGTTATGTGTGAAATTTGAAGACAATCGGATGCTTATTTCGAATTTTATAATCGTTTTTGTTATTCAAAATGTTGACCCCTTTGTGGGGAAGGTAGCATAAGGAATGGTCCGATCTCTACCACATTTTTAAACGGATCTTGCATTGATAGAAATATTGAAATGTACCAATTCTGAATGAAATCGGATGATAATTTCCCGTTTTATGAGCTTCATGGATACGCAATAATGTTGACCCTTTGTGGTGGAGGTACCAAAAGGTGTTGACCGATATATCCCATCTTCACACCAGACCTTGTGTTAATAAAAATAATGGGATGTGTGAAATATAAAGAGAATCGGATGCTTATTTCGGATTATATGATAGTTTTTGTTATTCAAAAGTTTAACCCTTCGTGGGGGAGGTACCAGTAGTAATGGTCCGATTTCTACTATCTTTACAACAGATCTTGTGTTGATGGAAATATTAGGCTGTACCAAGTCTGAATTGAATCGGATGATAATTTCCCGTTTTATGAGCTTCATGGATACGCAATAATGTTGACCCTTTGTGGGGGAGGTGCCTGAAGGAGTGGATCGATATATTCTATCTTCATACCAGACCTTGTGTTAATAAAAATAATGGGATGTGTGAAATACAAAGAGAATCGGATGGTTATTTCGGATTTTATGATCGTTTTTGTTATTCAAAAGTTTTGACCCCTTTGTGGGGGAGGTACCAGAAGGATTGGACCGATATATTCCATCGTGACACCAGACCTTGGGTTAATAAAAATATTGTTATGTGTGTAACTTGAAGAGAATCGGAAGTTTATTTGGGATTTTATAATCAGTTTTGTTATTCAAAATTTTGACCCTTTGTGGGGAAGGTACCAGAAAGAATGGTCAGATCTCTACCATATTTTTAGAAGACCTTGTGTTGATGAAAATATTGAGCTATACCAAGTCTGAATGAAATCGGATGATAATTTCGCGTTTTATGAGCTTCATGAAAATTGAAAATTTTGAACCTTTGAGGGGGAGGTACCAGAAGGAGTGGACCGATATATTCCATTTTTACACCAGACCTTAGGTTAAGAAAAATATTGGGATGTGTGTAATTTGAAGAGAATCGGAACTTTATTTGGGACTTTATGATCATTTTTGTTATTCAAAATGTTGACCCTTTGTTATTCAGAATGTTGACATTTTTTAACGGATCTTATATGTATATATATTGAAATGTACCAAATTTGAATGGAATCGAATGTTAATTTTAAGAGCTTCATGGATATTCAAAATTTCGACCCTTTGTTTGGGAGGTACCAGAAGGTGTGGACCGATATATTCAATTTTCAAACCAGACCTTGGGTTAATAAAAATATTGTGATATGTGGAACTTAAAGGCAATCGGACTCTTATATCTAATTTTATAAGAGTTATAATTATTCAAAATTATGACCCTTTGTGGGGAAGGTACATGAAGTAATGAACCGATATTGTCCATTTTCGCACCTGGCCTTTGTAAATATTGGTATTTACAAAGTTGGAGCAAAGCCGAATTATCCTTTCTCATTCTGTGCAGTAAATCAGCTTCTTTGAAAATTTTGAACTTTTGTGGGGGAGGTACGAGAAGAAGTGGACCAACAATGCCCTTCTCCGAACTCGATCTAAGTTTGACAATAATATTACGATGTACCAAGTTTGGGTAAAATCGGATACTCCCTTCGAGAGTTATCGTGCGCACTAATCAGCCAGACAGATGGGCGGACGGATGGACGAAGGGACATCGCTAGATCGACTCCAAATGTCCTGAAACGGATTTGTTTCAAAAAGACCTAGGATCTAAAACCTTTATTTCGATGAGACACGTTTAGCCGCATCAAATGATATAAACACTCTCTAGCCACATGGCTGGGGGTATAATAAACAAAGTCCAGGAACAGAGTCTAGGGTCTTTGTTTTCAATTGTCTGAAATTCTTTTTATGAATATATTGTCGAAATAGTTTATAGGTTGAATACATTAATGGGCTATGATTTTGATTAGTTATACTTTCTTATCCCACACACATTTTTTTTTGCAGGAAAATCAAAATAAATCGAATTATGGAAAAAAGCAACCCAAATGAAAACATAGATGAGGATGATATACCCACATCTGTTCAGTATGTTGATAGTTCCACACAGAATGTGGAACCTACAGACATTTCGGAGGGCATTAACAACTACAACAACAAAGAGTTAGTCGATTCACCACACAACTATCCATCCACAATTACTGTAGAGCACAGTAACAATGAAAGCGGTGCCGGCCGACAAAATCCCCTATCATATTCGTGGTCAGCACCGCGCATCGTTCAAGATGACAGTGGGCTAATAAAGAAAATAAAAATTTCCACGGCGAAAAAGTTGGTGCAAAGTTTTGCTCAACATTCACCGACCAGCGTCTCCAATACTTCCTGCGAAGAAAAACAGTCCATGACGCCATCACCACACCCACAACAGCAGCAACAACAAAATCATCCACAAATACGTACCAGTACCCCATTGTCGCGGGAATATGTGGCATTGCAACAGACCCAAAACGAATCGAAAATTATTAAGAAATTCGTTACCGAAGCCATGATGGAAAGGACACGAAATGCCAAGGTGAAGAATTTAAATAATTCCAATAACACCACCACCGCCGCCACACTCAACAACAGCAGTCCAAATGTTAGTACAACAACAACAACATCCAATGATCATTCATACACCTCGCGCAGCAACAACTCGTCACATGAAAAACTGCCCACCGATGAGGGGGAAACTCATCATCATCGCCATAAACGTCGTTTTATACCAATCAAGGGCCTAGATGAAGATGATGAAACGTCCCGCGATGGGGCATGGCGTCGACAACGAACAACTTCACGCAGCAAAAGTATGAATAGCAGTGAAAATAGCAATTCTTCAGCGACATTTGAGCTGGACAAAAAATACCCATCGGATGAGAGTTTAACAACACTGCAGCAGCAGCAGCAGCATCAGGCTGCGGCGGCGGCCTCTAAAAGAACAAATATGCGTTCGGAAAATTCTGAATTTGTACAAAAACAAAGGGAATTCCTACAACACATAATTAATTCGACACAGGATACACCGCGTAAGACACGTTCTCGTTCTACGGGGCCGGAATCGACGACACCGCCGTCCGCAACAACGACGACCATGACCACGACAACAACACCACCCTCTCTGAGGGATAAGAAATCACGTGATAACTCCGTACCATCATCGTCATCATCAAATCGTCGTCGTTCGCGTTCAAAATCGACGGAGAAATCAACGAAACGTTTAAAGACAGGCGATGATTTAAGTGAACATTCGGAAATTTCCAATGATGATGATAGTCATCATCCATTGAAGGTTGGTGATCTTGATCATTTGAGGAAAGTCTGGCAACCACCGCCGAAGGTAAGCGAGAGTAGGGTGTTTTGTTAATAGGAAATAATGTGAGGAAGTTATTGGAAAAATATATAAAAGTGTGTGGTTCATTGTCATGAATGCCTTTGAAAATGACAACGCAGATAATCCCAGATTTGTTGGCATCAAGTCTTGGAAAGAAGTCCGTAATTTTTATACCCTCCACCTATGCCCTTCCACCGTTCTATGGAGGCAGCTAATGGGTAGTACAGCCTATGCCTAAAAATTTCGTATGCAGGTCCACGTCTTCGTATAGCGACCAGATAAAGGTACCTCCCGAAAACTCAAGATTTTTTGTCAGGAGTTCCTTAAATTTCCCCCCTAAAAATTCACGATTATCCACCAAGACGCCCAAATCCGTTTCAGGACATTTGGAGTCGATCTAGCAATGTCCGTCCGTCCGTCCGTCTGTTTGGCTGGCTGGTGCGCACGATAACTCTCGAAGGGAGTATCCGTTATGGTCCAAATTTGGTACATCGTAACATTTTTGTCAAACTTAGATTGAATTCGGATATGGGCAATATCGATCCACTCCCACAAAAGGTCGAAATTTTCAAAAAAAAAAAAATATATTTTCTGCACAGAAAGAGAAAGAATTATCCGATTTTGCTCAAACTTTGCGAATTATAATATTTGAGTCAGTGCAAGGTCAGGTGAGAAAATGGACAATAACGGTCCACTCCAACAAGTACCTCCCCCATAAAGGGTCAACATTTTGAATAATTACAACTCTTATAATATTTGATGTAGGAGTCTGATTGTCTTTAAATTTCACACATCCAAATAATTTTGTTAACCCATGGTTTGGTGTAAAGCTGAAATACATCCGTCCACACCTTCAGGTACCTCCACCAAAAATTTTTCAAAAAAAAAAAAAAAACAAAAAATTAAATAAATAAATCAATAAATATTTTCTGTAGAAGCAATAATCTGATTTTGCTCCAACTTTGCGAATTACAATATTTCAGTCAGTGCTAGGTCAGGTGAGAAAATGGACAATATCGGTCCCCTCCATCAAGTACCTCCCTCACAAAGCGTCAAAATGTTGAATAATTACAACTCTCATAAAATCTGATGTAAGAGTCCGATTGTCTTCAAATTTCACACATCCCAATATTTTTATAAATCCAAGATCAGGTGTTAAGATATTGATACACTCCTTCTGGTAACTCCCCCAAAAAGGCTCATAAAACGCGAAATTAACTTTCGATTCCATACAGACTTGGCATATCTCAAAATTTCCATCAACACAAGATCTGTTGTAAAGATGGTAGAGATCGGATCATTCCTTCGGGTACCTCCCCCACAAAGGCTCAAAGTTTTGAATAACCAAAACGTTTTTAAAATATGAAATAAGCACCTGGTTCTCTTTATATTTCACACATCCCATTATTTCTACTAACACAAGATCTGCTGTGAATATGGGATTTATCGGCTCAGTCCTCCCGGTACCTCCCCACAATGGTGTTAAAATTTTGAATAAAAACGCTCATAAAGTGCGAAGTATGTATCCGAATCTCATCAAATTTCAGACAACCCAATATTTGTACTAACACAAGATCTGATGAGAATATGGCATATATCGGCTCACTCCTTCTGGTATCTACCACAAAAAGTGTTCAAATTTCTTTAATAATAAAACTCTAATAAAACGCGAAATAAACATCAGGTTCTCTTCAAATATCACGCATCCCAACATCTTTACTAAAGCAAGATCTGGTGTGAAGATGATAGATATAGGCATTCTGGCACCTCTTCCACAATTTTCAATATACATACCTCTCAGAAGTCCTTGACAATTTTTTCTTAAAAATCCAAGACTTTCGGTCAGGATGTTGTATTTTGTTCCTAAATATTTTTTTTCTTAAAGACTCATGATTTTTTGTCAGGAGTTCCTTCAAATTTCCCCCCTTAAAACTCACGATTTCCACCAGGACGCTCCTGATTTTTTTTTGGTAAATGATTTTCTTTCATGAGTCCTTTAGAAATGATTCTTTAAAAATCCATCATTTTCCGTTGGGGGTCCTTGAGAGTATTTTCTTGAAAATTGCGCGACTTTTAGCCAAAATGTCCTTAAAAGTTATTCTTATAAAAATTCACGATTTTTTGCGAAGAGGAGGTCTTTGGTAATTTGTTCTTCAAAATCCACGATTTGTATTTTTCCTGCAATCCACACAAATTTCGGTCAGAATCCACATACATTTTTCAGAAAATCATTTGATTCTTTTTAAAAGATCCGAGATTTTATATGGGTTATATAATTTTCATTTTTTGGTACCAAAAAGGGTGGTCAAATATTTTCTATATTTTCTTTTTATCAACATCAACTTTATCCTAATTTTTGTTTTTTCTTTTATTTTCTAAGCCCGGTGCTGATAGTTTCTGTTGGAAGTGTCACGATGCCGCCGTAGATATATCCTGCAATAAATGTATACGCAGCTTTCATACAACGTGTGTCAAAGCGAAAATCGATAGCTCATGGATTTGTACGGAATGTTCTTCGATTGAGAATATCTTGAATAGTAGCAAAAAGTAAGTATATTTTCAAATGTGCATATTCTTTTTTTTTACAATATTTTCTAATGTGATAAAAATAAACTAAACAAGTTTTTGTTGTCTTCTTCTTCTTCTTCTTCCTCAACTTGCTTCACTTCGGCTGCTAAACGCTTGGCACTTTGTCATCATCATCAACAACAACATCATCATGACCACACTCTGATTGGTGCTACGTTTGCTGTTATTGTTCGTGTTTCGATGAATTTTCAGGTCACGACGCAATGAATTGTCGGTGGATCTGTTGAGTCAATTATTGACATTCGCTTTGAAGCGTATGCGTTTTGCCAAGGGGGTATGTATCGACCTACGACGTATCTATGAATTAGATAAATATTAATTAAATATCTCATAAAAACTTCAAGAGCCATTAGCAATTGAATCGCAACTCATTGAACAATTTTTGAGGTTATGTTGAAGTTAGGGGAGTTGAACACTCAACAATGGAATTCATTGTTTTCTTTTCCATTTTGTAATTGCTAGTATTGTTTTATTATTTCTATAGTTTGTATAGTATATAATTGTAAACTAGCAAGGTGTATCATATTTTTTTGTTATTTTATCGCTATTATTCATTGCTGTTTCATTTCATTTCATTATTATTATTTTGCATTTTCATTGTTTTTTTTCTTCTTGTTTCTTCTTGCTTTTTGTTTGTGTCTGTAAGTGTGTTTATTATCTCCCAATTTGTGTGTATGTTTGGTTGTTTTGTAGACTTTTCCATTGGTAAATTCACACAAATCTCTGAGAATGCGTTGCCCGTTTTTTTTTTCTGTGTGGTTTCAATGTTTGCTTTTTTACTCTTTGCATGATACTCTCCCATAATTGTTATTGTTTTTTTTTTAATTTTCTCTACACTGCTGTCGTTTTCTTTACATTATATTTGTATTTATATGAAAATGCATACATTGTAATGCATATATTGTCATCTGAATCAATACGTTTGTGGGTATGTAATTTTTTTAAGGTAGAACTAGAGTGAGATTAGTTTAGGTTTCTTGTTTGTTTCCTGGGAAGAACATAGATAGGTCCACAATAAACCCATTTAATATTGTTTAACAGTTTTGGAAACAAAATCGGCTTATCCCATATCTCTGAATCCAGGAAAGATAAAAGAACATATTGTAGCATTTTGGACAGGTTGGAGAGTTAGCTATGATTATATGTTTTATGGACACCCATAATCGGCTCTTTTTGGATTTTTGAGGTTTTATATAAAAATAGAGTCCAAAAATCGATTGGAAAATTCTTTGTCCCCCCAGGAAAAAAAATCTCAAAATAACTCGTGAGTTTTTACTAAAATAGAATTGTTCCAATTTAAAAAAAAAATAGTAATTTATACAATTTTTTCTTTTTTTATAAACATTTACAGTGTTTTTACTAATTTTTGTCTATATATTTTACTGAAAAGATTTAAAAAATGCGACCAAGAAACTTTGGTGGAAATGGTCGGTCAGAATTGTATTTTCAAACTTCTATGCTGCTCCATAGACCTATCAATATTCGACACATATATTTGAATCCTAAAATTTAAAATTTATTGTTTTTAAGTTGCTTAATTATTGTAGAAAACGAAAGCTCTTAAATTTTGACACCAATTTATGCAACATAGGTTTCACAAGGTGCGAAAAGGACCCATTAGCGTTGCCATCTCAACTAATTATTTTTCCTCGACTATTTATGACCTAATTTAAAAATATTGTTTATAAGTCCTCAATTTTGTTATTATATTGTACACTGGAGTAGACAATTGCCCTGTTTCAGAACCTGCGATGATCTACTAGTTTTGATTAAACCGTCAGTCACATGGCTAGTTGTACCATATGGCTTGAAACATAGGTTTCACAAGGTGCGGAAAAGACCCATTAGCGTTGCCATCTCAACTAATTATTTTTCCTCGATTATTTATGACCTAATTTAAAAATATTGTTTATAAGTCCTAAATTTTGTTATTATATTGTACACTGGAGTAGACAATGGCCCTGTTTCAGAACCTACGATAATCTACTAGTTTTGATTATACCGTCAGTCATATGGCTAGTTGTACCATATGGCTTGAGAGGCTCTATATCATTTGATATGGCCAAAACGTGCCTCATCGAAATAACGATTTTAGACCCTAGGTCTGTGTGAACATTTGGAGTTGATCTAGCGATAACCGTCCGCCCTCTGTCTGGCTGGTGCGCACGATAAATCTCGAGGGGAGTATTCGATTTGGCCCAAACTTGGTACATCGTAATAATATTATAAAACTTAGATCGAGTTCGGAGGTGGACAGTATCGGTTCACTCCTTCTGGTACCTCCCACATAAAATGTCAACGTTTTCAAAGAAAATAATTTACTGCACAGAAAGAGAAAGGATGATCCGATTGTTCTTCAACCTTGCAAATCCTAATATTTGCATCAGTGCTAGGTTATAAAAGGTTATAAAATGTAATGTAAGACTCCGATTGTTTTAAAATTACACACATCACAATATTTTCATTAACCCAAGGTCTGGTGTGAACATTGGTCGATATATTGGTCCAATCCATCAGGTGCCTTTCCCACAAAGGGTCAAATTTTGGGTATCCGTGAAGTTCATAAAAAATTTAATATCCGATTCCATTCAGACTTGGCACATCTTAATGTTTCTATCAGCACAAGATCTGTTATAAAAATGGTAGAGATCTGACCATTCCTTCTGGTACCTCCTCCACAAAAGGTCAAAGTTTTCAATAACCAAAACGATTATAAAATCCGAAATACACATCCGGTTCATATTTCACACATCCCATTATTTCTACTAACACAAGATCTGCTGTGAAAATGGACTGTATTGGTCCACCCCTTCTGGGACCACCCTCACAAAGGGTCAAAATACGTCATTGTCTTGTGAAGGGAATGAGGTCGACCATGGTATAGCCTCCGTATTGAAGTGCTTGAATTTAGTTTTTATGTTTTTCCATATTTTTTTGTCAAATATTTTAATTTCTTCTTTCTCTCTTCCTCATTTCAGAACTATACCTTTGTTATGCCCTATGAGAAGACCAACATCTACAAGAAATACATTGTAAATCCTGTGCATTTTGGCACACTGCAGGAAAAGATTAATGCCAAGGAATATCACTGTGCCGAAGAGCTTGTAAATGATACAAAATGGATGTTACACAATGCCTATATTATATCGGCAGGAAGTGAGTTTATCAGTGGCATTTGTGGGAAATCAGACATAGAGAAATTTATATAAAATAAAAATGGAGAAGGGTGGGGAGTGTCTCATCCCCTTCTCTTCATAAAACCTATTTTTTCTTTTATGAGTCTTCTTGTGTCTGTATCCCAAAATAGAATGCCGAATGTTTATTTCTAAAATCTTCTCTCTTTTTTTCCTTTTCCAAACAGACAACTCCAAACTGGTGCAGAGTGCCAAAAACATTCTCAAAATCTGCCGCCAGGAGGCCATTGAAATCGAAACCTGTGCCGAGTGTTATTTAAATGCCAATACCCGTACCGATTGGTTTGTCGATGTGTGTTCCCAACCCCATCTGTTGTTGTGGGCCAAACTGAAGGGTTTTCCCTATTGGCCAGCCAAGGCCATGAGTATGGGTCAGACTTCAGTGATTAATGTTCGTTTCTTTGGTGAACATGATCGGGCCTTTGTATCGGCAAAGGATTGTTTTCTCTACTCCGAACAAGATCCCAATACGCAAACGGGTAAAAAGGCGGCCCGCGAATTGGCCGGATGTATGAAAGAAGTTGAGGAGCATATTGAAAAGATCCGCAACAAAATTGGTGGTTTTCAATATGCCCCCTTTAAGACACCCTTTGATCCCAATGATGTAATGCGACAGCTGGAAGAAATGATGCCAGGGGTACAGGAATTTATGAGACAGCAACAGGTTTTGGTAACCAAAACGCCATTGCAGTTTAAAATTTATCGCACGGCCGATAATAATATGTCGATTGTGCAAAAGGCTTCGAGTACACCGGATTTGGTTTTGGCCCAGCAACAACAACAGCAGCAGCATGATGTGGTGGTGGCCCTTGGCGAGGATAGCCATGGCAGTTCCAAGAAAAGAAAACCTTGTCCGGCCAATATCGCAGTGCAAGAGGACGAAAGGCCATTAAATGAAAAACAAGCCACATTGGCTGCCAAATATGAGGTCATATCGAAAACCATCAACGAAGATAGCCGTACGTCTAAGTTAGGTACTGTGATTCTGAAAAGAAAATCCGATAGTCTTAATGGTGGAGGGGAGGGTAAAAAGACTCATGACCATCATAATACGGATAATGATGATGAGGATACCCGGGGAATGAATTTACCCAAACTGCAAAGAATTGAAGAGGTAGCTTCTAATGAATCGGCGCCAGCGAAAAAGAAAAACGAAATGGAGAAGGTGAAATCCAGTGATAATGCCAAGCCCACGGAGCAACAAAAAATACCCATTTTGACGATAAAAACAAATACAATAACCTCGAAGGATCCTCAAGCTTTGGAAAAAGATCCTCAGCCCAGGAATAATTTGGAAAAAGTCAGCCAAACAAAAGAGGCTACAAATGTGGTTGCCCCAAGCACACCGAACAACAAAGACTTGGAAAAGGAAACCAGCCGGGCCAAGGAAAAACTCACCTCTCCTCCCTCAGCGGCCACAACAACGGCCCAAAAGGTTGTAGAGAATTTGGTGAAAAACAAACAAGGTGTGACCATTAAAAAGATAACAAATAATGCTAACAACAACACCCCTATGCCGGAACCAGCGGCTGAAAGCCAGGATGAAAACAATAAACCTCCAGATGATCTAATTCCCGTTGCCAAGGTTCCTAAGGAAAAGCCTAAGGAAAAGCCAACACCTAAAGCGAAAAGTAGCGATAAAAATAAACAGGATCAACAGGTCAATATTATACTCAAGGGTTTGGTTCCTTTTGTGGAAATCAAACAGGAGGTTACGTCGGATAATGAGGAAGAAACGCAGCCACCACCACCACCAGCACCACCAACTCCAAAAGATACTTCAACAGATAATGTGGCAACAAGTGCAGCAACTGAAAAGCCCTTAAATGTCCCCCAAACCAGAAGCTTCTCCAAGGAGACTTTATCGTCACAAAGTAATTCGCCGCAAAAGGAGACAACCACCAATGGAGGAGGAGTTGTTGGCATACAGTCATCAGGTGCCATGCTACTGGTGCGTGTTAAAGAGGAGTTATTCTCCGATGAGGAGGCGGAAGAAAGAGCCACTACAGCAACAACGACAGAAGCAACAACAGTTGCCAAAAATACCAATGAAATACGAGTGGTTGGAGATACGACAATACAGAAAATCTCCATGAAAACTGCCCAGCAAGTTAACAACACCGGCAACAACAAGCGTAATGTATTAAAGGGTGTACCCTATGGCCCTCTACCTGCCTCGGCATTTGCACAATTATCGGCCACAGATTCAACATCAAACGAAAGTCAAACAAGGAATGCCGCCAGCACATCGTCTGGAAACACAGACAAACCTGTAGCATCTTCCACAACAACTGCCATGGACATGCTTAACCCCAAGCAAATCAATTTAAATAGCAATCCAGAGACATGCATTGCAAGATCCATATCCAGTAATACCATGGTCACAATACCTGTGGACATAGCCTCCACCACACGCAGCATTATGTCTCCAATACCCGTGCCACCCCTCACAGCTGTTTCCAAAACCATATCTCATTCGAGTCAAACTTTTAATTCCATGGCTCGTCACAATCCCGTTACGGTCTCCGTTTCGGGGACGGCAGGAAGTCTTTCAACACCCCTGATAATGTTGACTCATTCAGTGGGCAATAATTCCTTCAGCTCTACGGCAACTTCGGCCAACACAATACCTGCCATTAGGACGATAACAAGTTCACCCATTACCGTAACCAATAATAGCACACGAGTTGTGGCCAGTACTAACACATCAATGGCAGCGCCATTGCTTCCATTGCAAAATTCCATTAATCCTCTGAGACTAACCACACCACCACCATTGGCGGGACTTTCAGGGGTAAATTTAAATAGCAATCTTCACAATGATATTGTTGGTACCCCGGCCTTGGACACAACGTCCACAACATTGGCATCAAGCACTCCAGCCCTTAACACATCGACGGATACTCAAATACCTCCCCTAAGAATAGCAACGCCAGCGGATGTAACCACGAATAGAATATTACCCAGATTAACGCCACGTCCTAAACCGGTAATTCCACAAACGACAGAGACACGTTCCAGTTTCCCCCCACAGGCAGGTCCTGTGCACACGCGCTTATTTGAAAATGCTTTTAGGGTAAGTTCTGCTCTGCTCTTTTTTCCAGAGGCGAGGGGGAGGATTGAGCTTGAAGGTTGTCTTTCCAAAGAAGACTTTCCGAAAGCGTTTTTTTTCGATATGAGACCTTTCAAAAGGCCTCACAGATGAAAATCTCTTAAAGAAGACTTTTAGAAGGAATAATTTTAAAACAGACTCTTTGAAGGTTTTCTTTCCATAGAAGGCTCTTCTTTCGATAGGAAATCTTTCGAACTACATCTTTTTCTAGAAGAAAATCAAACTTATTTCACAGAAGAACACTCGATGAAGGTCTTCTTTCCATAGAGGATCTTTCAAAGGAGTCATTTTCATAGAAAACATTTAGAAGATCTTCTCAAGAGGAATTTTGTGAAGGTTTTTTTTTTCTTAAAAAGTCCTACCGAAAATCTTTTCTTTAAAAAACCTTTGAAAGGTCTTTCTTTCACGGATTTAGTAATTAGACCCTCAGACAAAACTCCTCTACCAAGCTGAACAACAGTTTAGCAAGGGAGAGAGGAAAAAGGCAAGAGGCATCAATACACTTAAGCGCTAATCATCACTCGTTTCCAACCGAGCGAATGTAGCTACTACAAGTATAGCAAAAAAAAATCCTTAAAAAAGAAAGAGAAAAAAAAAACAATAAAATTATGTACTTCATGGAAAATAAACAACCATAAAAATGGTCACCCGGCCAATAACTAAAAAGAAATATCAAAAAATAAACCGCAACCAGAAACTCAACCGAAACAGACAAATATTCAAAACACCTCTTCTTGTACATATCAAAAGAACAGGTAAAAAGCTGATTCCACAATCTCGCAACGCTCACAACAAACGCCTTCTCACCAACTACAGACGAAAATCTTGGAAACAGCAATTGCGGATTTCGAGATGATCTACAAAACACAAACTTATTATACAAAGGAGAATTAACATTCCTCATAATTCTGTAATGACACAAAATAAGGCGATATTATTCAACATATCTGTCAAATGACAGTCCAAGAAACTTAATAACATACTGTGTTACACGATCACTACGGCGCAACCCAAACACATATGTAACAATAGAGTTAAGAAGTTTGCGTATGCGCAGAATTAGGGAAGCATTCGCCCCAGAGATGACTTCCAAACGATAGTTGACATGAGACATTAATAAAGATCTGGCAGCCATCATCCTAACACTAGGAGGCAAATGAGCTTGAAGACAAACCATTAGAGGAGATCCACATAGAAAGCAATCTCAAAGTAGTGTTTGCCACATTTTCCAACTCAAAGAGATCATCTGCACTTCTAAAGAAGACATGAATGTCATCCGCATACATGAAAACTTCACAACTGGAATTAGACACAGACGCCACAATGTCATTATTGAACATAATAAAAAGCAGAGGGCCAAGCACAGATCCTTGTGGGACACCACACCGCACCGCACAGCACGAACATCAGACTGAACAACCCTGTGCACAACAAACTGAGATCTTCCACACAAATACGACGATATCAATCTACACGAAGAAGGAGAGAAACAAAACTTGTCTCTCAGCTTACAGAGCAGAAGCCTATGCGTATCCACAGAATCAAAGGCCTTAGACAAATCAAGGCCAACAAGCAAACCAACATCAGAACTATTGAACACATCACGAATGAGATCAGTGAGGGCTAAAAGATGAACCGTGGTGCTAGAATCACGCCGAAACCCAAACTAGGAAATGCTCAAATACTTACGGTCATCCAGAAAATCAACAATCGCATCCTTAATAACATGTTCAACCAATTTCGACATAGCCGGCAGAATGCTTATTGGTCGAAGATTCGTCTGATGATAAGAACTCCCCTTCTTCGAGCACGAGCAACCTTCCACGCAAAATACAATTTACAAAATGCAGAAAGTGACCACAAATGTAAGGGAATACGCATTTGAAGAACTTAATAGGTATGCCATCATCGCCTACAGCATTTGACTTAATATTCCGAAACAAAGCACGAAACAAATCATCCATGTACACACAGTCAAATCTAAAAGAATCAAAATCATTGGCCTCACACTAACAACAAAATCACGAGACGAACCTAAATTACCACCAACACCACTACAAAAGTAATTATTAACAGCATTGACATCAATAAATGGGACATCACAACCATCATCAAGACAACCACATGATTTTAACGACTTCCATATCTGCACACTACTCATACGACCAAACATTTCCTCATAAATTGTCCTTCTTTCATTACGCATGACAGCCTTACAGCGGTTTCTATATATACATATCATATCTGCCTGTTGCGAACCGTAGGACGCCTACGCCACTCCAGATAAGCCTGATCCCTAACGTAACAGGCCGACTTTACCACATCCAACCCCAACCAAGCATCATTTTTTGGGCGAGAACAGTCGGTAGCGGTAGGTACAAAAGACAATAAATTTTGAAACAACAAATCAAACAAAGCCAACTGTTGGTCAACATCACTTGTAAGATACAGAGGACTAAAATCAAAATTCCGAATATACATGGCTGTCATAGAAACCAATTTTGTCACTATTGGTTTTAAAAACGACAAGAAAAAATGCTTTGGTGTCATGAAAATCAATGTTATCGGTTTTATTTTCGAATCAGAATTTTGTCGGTTTTGGTTGTCACAGAAGCCAATGTTATGGGTTTTGTTATTGGAAATAAACCAAGTTGCTTAGAGCTGTCACTTCTCATTTGCTTTGGATTTTTTAAACAATTTTTAAAGGATATTCAAAGGACTTAAAATGTGGATTTTTTAAAGAATTTTTAAAAGATATTTAAAGGACCATAACCGTGGATTTTTAAAAGAATTTTTAAAGGACTATAAACGTGGATTTTTTAAAGAATTTTTAAAGGACTATAAACGTGGATTTTTTAAAGAATTTTTAAAGGACTACAAACGTGGATTTTTTTAAAGAATTTTTAAAGGACTATAAACGTGGATTTTTTAAAGAATTTTTAAAGGACTATAAACGTGGATTTTTTAAAGAATTTTTAAAGGACTATAAACGTGGATTTTTTAAAGAATTTTTAAAGGACTATAAACGTGGATTTTTTAAAGAATTTTTAAAGGACTATAAACGTGGATTTTTTAAGGAATATTTAAAGGACTATAAACGTGGATTTTTTAAAGAATTTTTAAAGGACTATAAACGTGGACTTTTTAAAGAATTTTTAAAGGACTATAAACGTGGACTTTTTAAAAAATTTTTAAAGGACTATAAACGTGGATTTTTTAAAGAATTTTTAAAGGACTATAAACGTGGATTTTTTAAAGAATTTTTCAAAGGACTATAAACGTGGATTTTTTAAAGAATTTTTAAAGGACTATAAACGTGGATTTTTTAAAGAATTTTTAAAGGACTATAAACGTGGATTTTTTAAAGAATTTTTAAAGGACTATAAACGTGGATTTTTTAAAGAATTTTTAAAGGACTATAAACGTGGATTTTTTAAAGAATTTTTAAAGGACTATAAACGTGGATTTTTTAAAGAATTTTTAAAGGACTATAAACGTGGATTTTTTAAAGAATTTTTAAAGGACTATAAACGTGGATTTTTTAAAGAATTTTTAAAGGACTATAAACGTGGATTTTTAAAGAATTTTTAAAGGACTATAAACGTGGATTTTTTTAAAGAATTTTTAAAGGACTACAAACGTGGATTTTTTAAAGAATTTTTAAAGGACTATAAACGTGGATTTTTTAAAGAATTTTTAAAGGACTATAAACGTGGATTTTTTAAAGAATTTTTAAAGGACTATAAACGTGGATTTTTTAAAGAATTTTTAAAGGACTATAAACGTGGATTTTTTAAAGAATTTTTAAAGGACTATAAACGTAGATTTTTTAAAGAATTTTTAAAGGACTATAAACGTGGATTTTTTAAGGAATATTTAAAGGACTATAAACGTGGACTTTTTAAAGAATTTTTAAAGGACTATAAACGTGGACTTTTTAAAAAATTTTTAAAGGACTATAAACGTGGATTTTTTAAAGAATTTTTAAAGGACTATAAACGTGGATTTTTTAAAGAATTTTTAAAGGACTATAAACGTGGATTTTTTAAAGAATTTTTAAAGGACTATAAACGTGGATTTTTTAAAGAATTTTTAAAGGACTATAAACGTGGACTTTTTAAAGAATTTTTAAAGGACTATAAACGTGGACTTTTTAAAGAATTTTTAAAGGACTATAAACGTGGACTTTTTAAAGAATTTTTAAAGGACTATAAACGTGGACTTTTTAAAAAATTTTTAAAGGACTATAAACGTGGACTTTTTAAAGAATTTTTAAAGGACTATAAACGTGGACTTTTTAAAGAATTTTTAAAGGACTATAAACGTGGACTTTTTAAAGAATTTTTAAAGGACTATAAACGTGGACTTTTTAAAGAATTTTTAAAGGACTATAAACGTGGACTTTTTAAAGAATTTTTAAAGGACTATAAACGTGGATTTTTTAAAGAATTTTTAAAGGACTATAAACGTGGATTTTTTAAAGAATTTTTAAAGGACTATAAACGTGGATTTTTTAAAGAATTTTTAAAGGACTATAAACGTGGATTTTTTAAAGAATTTTTAAAGGACTATAAACGTGGATTTTTTAAAGAATTTTTAAAGGACTATAAACGTGGATTTTTTAAAGAATTTTTAAAGGACTATAAACGTGGATTTTTTAAAGAATTTTTAAAGGACTATAAACGTGGATTTTTTAAAGAATTTTTAAAGGACTATAAACGTGGATTTTTTAAAGAATTTTTAAAGGACTATAAACGTGGATTTTTAAAGAATTTTTAAAGGACTATAAACGTGGATTTTTTAAAAATTTTTAAAGGACTATAAACGTGGATTTTTTAAAGAATTTTTAAAGGACTATAAACGTGGATTTTTTAAAGAATTTTTAAAGGACTATAAACGTGGATTTTTTAAAGAATTTTTAAAGGACTATAAACGTGGATTTTTTAAAGAATTTTTAAAGGACT